CCCCCCCCAAAAAAGAAGGTATAGAACTTATCTTCTTAAAAAATTTCTTCTAACAAGAGGATGAATAAAACCACGCATCCCCCATGTAGTAAACACAAACACGTTGAAACATTTTGTCTGATAAAGTGACCTAGCTTCCATTCACAAATAAGGGTGAGGATGGGAAATAAAAATATTGTTACATGTAAAAACGTTTTATTTTGTGTTGTCCGTTTTTTTTTTTTTTTTTTCATACTGTTTTCTTTTTTTCATACTGTTTTCTTTTTTTCATACTGTTTTCTTTTTTTCATACTGTTTTCATTTTTTCTTTCCCTTTTTTTTTTTTAACGCAAAGCAAAATTTATTGTACATTTTACACGTTTCTATTTTTATGCCAAGTTTCAATCTTTTTAACTGTTTTAATTAGTTAAATTCTGAATATGAATATTCCATTTATCGAAAAAAAATGAAGTAGCTTTACCATTCGTTAACCTAATCATTTTTTGTTTACGATTTCACAACACACCGTTCTCACAATTACGTTATAGGATAGACTGTATCATTTTAAAATTACACAGCCGATTATCATGTTCTGCATATTTTTTTTTTACAATTTTTAGATTCTACTAATTAGTTATTGCACAGTGGAACATTTACTTACATATTACACATGTAAAAATAGAGGGTGAGCGAAAAAAGGTTAGAAGTGTAAATAAAAACCCCTCTCCTCCTCCCCCCCCCAAAAAAAAAAAAAAAAAAAAACTTGCACATGCGTATGTGCATATAATACACACATTTAATAAAAAGGAAACATGATGAAACCTGAAGTAATCAATTTGAACGACGATAGTAAAGATTATTCTCGATGGAAAATTATATACCCCAATTATTTAAATAAAAAGAAAAAAGTTAAAGAAGGAAGAAAAGTAAATTTAAATTATTGTGTAACTGATCCATCCGTTGATGAAATTGCATTAGCGTGTAAAGAATTAAAAATCCAATGTGTTGTAGAAAAAAATAAATATTATCCAAGGGATTGGCTAGTTGAAGGGAGGATACGTATAAAAATGCCAGATGCTCAGAGTAACATATTAAGTAAATTTGCTTTAATGAAACAAATTGGATTGAAACTGCAAACCATAAAAGCCAATGTAGAATCCAATGTTTTAGTTAATACGCACAATATGCCAAAAAAAAAAAAAAAAAAAAAAAACAAAGATTAACTTAGACATGTGGAAAATGTACATAATTTCAACTACGCCTTGCTTATTTTTATATATATTTTCCTTATGTATTTATTCTATATTAACATGATCATTGTTAAATTGTTAAGAAAGGGGGTTATGTCAAGACTTATCAAAATTGTCAAGATCGGATATAATTTTGGCCTACGTATCTTGTAATTTTTTCCATTGAACGTAAAACCCCAACATGCCATTTTATGGGAGTATTTCCAAATTTACAGTTTTCCAAATGAAAACCCCTCTTATTTTTTATGTCGTGGCAAATATACACAACATATACATGTGTGTGTGTATGTAACCCAACACCAACCAAAGCAACATGTATGCGGAAAAATACACATATTTGTGTCCCGAAAAACTGTAAAATACATCAGCTAAATTGTTTTTAGTTATATATTATGCAATACAAAAACGGCGCACACATGTCTTCAACTTTTGCTTGAAATTTTTTTTTTTGGATTTTTTTTTATTAAAAACCTATAATAAAGCTTGAATGTTAAAGTATGTGTAAATTATCAGGAAAAATAATCCCTTTTTTTTCGTTCTTATTCTCTTCATTTTTTCGTTCTTATTCTCTTCATTTTTTCTTTCCTACTCTTTTTCATTTTTTCTTTCCATTTCTTTTTCATTTTTTCTTTCTTATCCTCACAAGTTTCATCTCTCTCATTTTTTTCCAAAAAAAAAAAGTAAAAGCATAATATAACATAAATAAAATTAAATAATATGCCTTATTCAATTTAACTACTCATACTGTTGTTGGAGTCGGAGGGGTAAATATTTAATAAGGCTTGTTTTAAAAAAAAAAAATGACACAAAATAATAATGTACAAAGAATGCATAATTAATGATACGTTTTATTGAGGGTATAAAAATTGAACAAGGAATAAAAGAAACACTTAACCTTGTATTCTTATACATTGCCAATGGTAAAAGAAAAAAAAAAAAAAAAAAAAATATATATATATATATATATATATATATATATATATATATGCTAAATAATGAATAAATAACAAGTTCATAATTAAGCAAAAGAAAAGGGTTATTATACATGGCTTGGAAAATAAAATAGAAACATCGTTACAAATATTTTTATCTCGGATTCAGAATTCATATTATTCTAATTCAAATTGTCATATAAGTGGACACGGAAAGCAAACAAGTATTCCCGCGCATAATATTGAACATATGAACACAATGTTCGTGCGAATATTTATGTCTAATATATACACGTACCGAATGCTTGAAGTAAACCATTCATCTTTTTACTATGGAGCTATAGGAGATACAACATTATTCATAAATGTTTTCAGCAGTTCATTGGGGTCTTCATCTTCAAATGATATTTTGTGAAGCACAGTGAAAAGGGGAAATTTATTGGTTAAGTTGTTCTCTTTAATCATTTGATATACGTATTTTAGGGTTACGATTCCCTGTAAAAAAAAAAAAAAAAATAGCAAAATATGGTATTAAACACTTCAACAAAAATCAACACATTGATAAGCGGGATGGACACGTTTCCAATGGTTCATGCGTGTGGTATCTGTATTTTTCACATTAAAAAATAATCCCTCTTCTTTCCATTTTCACAATTTTTTTTTGTTATTCCACTAGTTATATTTTTTCCTTTGCGAAATTTTATATGTGAGAAAAAAAAAAAAAAAAGAAGAAATTATTAACCTGTAATTTTTGCCCCTTAAGGATTTCATTCTCCAATTGTGCCCACGTCTTCTTAGGTTTACTTTTCACAAACTCGGCAGAACATTTTGCGTTTCTTCCTCCCAAAAAGGATGTAATAACATCAGCCACTCCGCAGCTCTCAAAAAATATGTTCACATCAGTGTAACTAAAAAAAATTTTCCCAAACATAAATGATTCTTTAACTCCAATTCTGATAATTGCAGATTTGGAATTAGGGGAAGCTTCAAGCCCATCGCAAAATCCAGCTGCTAGGGTTATAATATTTTTTAATGCACCAAAAATCTGCGTGTCGTGGATATGCAAAAATAGTTGTGCAAATATGTAGGTATATTTTTAATACGTGTGGCAATAAGATATCTTTAAAATACATTTTGGGGATAATACATATATGCATAAACACATATATATATATATATATATATATATATATATATATATATATATATATATATATATATATGTATGTATTTTATTTTTTTCATCAGTTTTAACCTCAACTCCCACAGTTTCATTAACGCAGTTTATTTTAAAATATGGCAAATCGAAAACCATTTGCCATATTAGCAATGCATGTTTGTCATTTCCTCCTATGGTTGCTTCCGAGAATTCTTCCTTAGCAACATCCTGTATTACGTGGATAGACAGATTGAGAAATGGGATTGGGAACATTTAAGGACATAAAAATTTTTTTTTTTTTTTTTTTTTTTTAAAGAATAAGTGGATATGGGAAATGTCCAAGATGCACTTGTGTGTGCTTAAGAATGTAATATTTTGCACTGCTTCCATTCTTTACAGAAAGTTTAATGTGCATATATAGTAGCTCATAAATATATAATTAAATATGTGTATACGTACCATAGCTATGTTTGCACCTGACAAAGCACAACAAGGGATATCCAAATAATTACTAATGTACTTAGAACAAAGGTTCAATTGATTATTTTTAACAATAAATCCTTTAGTTAATGATATGGCCTCTGCGTGCTTCTCTATTTTTATAGATTTGTTTTCTTTTATTAATGCTAATACACTTTCCAGATATTGGGATGGGATAATAAATATTAACAGGTCAGCAGTGTTAATAACTTTTGATAAATCTGAATATGCAACAATGTTATGCGGTAAAGAAACTCCTTTTAAATATTTTATATTTTCATGTGTTTTGTTAATTATATCTGATATTTTTTCTCCGTTTACCATTTCATCTCGAATCCACATTTTTACTTCATTCTCAAATAAATAATTATTCTTTGCATTTGTTCCTACAATTTTGCTGATTGCGCTGGCCCAATTTCCACTGCCTAGGATTGATATCTGTATATGCGGATGAGTGTTGAAAAAAAAAGAACAAATAATAGTAATAATAGTAATAATGATAATACATAAATAAACAAATACGTAAATAAATAAACACAAATGTATCATGTACAGGTAAACAATCGTTAGACTCATGCGAATACACACTTGTCACTGCATCATAGGCTTTTATTCTATGTTTACAGTAGCACTGTGGGACAAAACAAAATGGTACATATTTGTATGAACCTGCACATATATATATCTGTGCTTGTGTGCACGTATGTATTTGTGCTTTGCTTGTTTGTGTGTTACCTTCAAAGGGCCTTCCTTCAATTTATCGAAAAGGTTCCTGTGCATATTTTTTAACTTATAAAAATGGCACGCTTGTAAAGTTAGGGTAGGGGATGGGTTGTATATACATATGCGTATTAAATATTATTTGTTTTATTTATTGAATTATTTCTTTATGAGAAAAAAGTACTAGCTAAAGTGGCTGTATTCTTTAGTAATTCTTCATAGTATTGGAATATGTGTGCCTATATAGATATTTACACACTATCGGTATGGTTATTCCCACAATTTCTCCTTTGATGTTATTTGAATATTTTTTGGGGTTTTCATACACCTCCTGTAGTATATGTGATAGTTTTTTTCATCTTTTATTTTTTAAAAATAATAGCACTTATTTTCTGTAATATATGGGCCCCTCCACCTCCCAAAAAAAAGAAAAAAAAAAAAAAAAAGTAGCCTCAAACAACAACAAAAAAAGTAAATTATTTTGTACCCCCCCCCCCAAAAAAAATATTATTTTTTTCGTCAATAAAGATTAATGAAATTTAAAAGAAAATCATTTTAACGTCACCCATTTGTAATACTTTATCTCTCTATTTCCATCATATGCTCATGCATCCACAATATGCTGAAATGTTTTTACAAAATTTTAATACAGCATTCTTGAAAGGCCCTTAGGTGCTAATTTATATATATTCAGCGGCAACTTTCTTTTGGTGTTGGCCTTTTTTTTGTGCACAGTCCAAATAAAACAAATATGTGTGAAAATTATTTTACGTTTTATTAATGGGAATATTTTTAATATAATATATTTTTTTATTTTTCTTCAACTTAAATTGTGTATTTATTTTATAATTTGATATATATTAATTTTTTTTTTTTTTTTTTTTTTTTTTTCCCTTGTAAATTTTTAAATGACATTATTATCAAATTGAGAGAAGTGTTGTGGATCATGCATTTTTGCTTAAGTACAGAACCTCGTTAACCTTAACCACTTTTTTTAAAACAGAATTTAGTGAATCTTTTCAATGTTTTGTGTATTTATTTTTTATATATATATAAAGGTAGCACATATACATATATTGTAAGGTTGTTCTTTTTGATTTTATATCTTTATGAAAAAATATAGAAGTTCCTATATTGTTCGTTCGTTCGTACGTACGTATGTTTTATTTTTTTATTTTTTTTTTTTTTTTCCGCTTTATATTTTCTTTCATTTTTTTATTCACCAACTTTCATACACGTTTATTTTACACATTTTATTCCGTACGAACAGCTTTTTTTTTTTCCTGGAAATGTTATTTTTTTTTCCTGGAAATGTTATTTTTTTTTCCTGGAAATGTTATTTTTTTTTCCTGGAAATGTTATTTTTTTTTCCTGGAAATATTTTTTTTTTCGGATCAGTCATCTAATTGCATGGAAACTTTTCTTCCCCTATAAATCTGTGCCTCACTTATTAATAATAGAAGCAAATTAAATATAATAAAACAAATTAAAATCTTACACTGTCTAAACATCCATGCTGGTGTTAAACACTTGGTGTGTAGTAGGTAATAATTTAATAACAGTGACATATATGATATGATTAAAAGGAAAATGCTATCTCTTGGAAAATTTTCACATAATGATGCTGTTATTAAACCAAAAAATAAAGGGATTATGGAAGAAATAAAACGTAAACTGTTGTATAAACCTTTGTATTTTCTTTTTGGTGGTATTCCATATTGAATTAATTGGAGTAATGAATTAAACCCCCCATGAAATACTAAAAAACATGAACAAGAATAAATTTCTAGCGAAAATATATCTCGTATGTAATTCTCTTTATCTATTTCTGGTAATATGTGAATTAATAATACGCCGCTTGAAATAACAAACAAAAAAAGGTACTGACTAATTTTAAAACCTTTTGGTACATTATTTGTTCGTCCTTCCATGGGTAAATATTCAAACAGCAATTCGTTGTGACTCTTTTTTGTCATTATATCCGCTATTTTCCTCTCGATTAATTTGTTGTTAAAGTATATGTCTCTTGGATCTTCTTCATTTGATGTTTCGTCCAGTAAGACATTTGGTTTCCTATTTCTGTTCTCCTTATACTTTGTATTCAAATTTCTCTCCCATTTTGCCTTGTCGATATCCTGCATTCTATTTTTAATACCTCTGATCTTGCCATTTGAAAATTTCCTACTCAAATAATGTCCGTACCTAAAATACAATTCCCAATTTTTGTAACCTTTTTCTTGCTGAGCAATGATTGAAGCTGCGTAATTTTTTCGAAATAAACGCATCATCCTTGTGCTATAAAATCCATGTGGAAAAATAAAACATTCAGCATTTGGTACATTCTGCGTGCACCTGTGGATCATCATAAAAGCGTTAAAAAGTACATGATTTACATGCATATATTATACATACATATATATATATACACATTTATACATCTATGCAGCCTCTACATTTTTATTCTACCACAACCTAAAATTGTTATGTCAACAAGAACTTATTGAGCTAGCGCAGTTTTGCTGTTTCAAAAAAAAAAAAAAAAAAAAAAAAAATTGAGATAGTTTGTTAACATGGTTGTAGCGAGAAAATAAAATAATAAAATGAAAAAAAAAAAAAATGAATCTCATTTATAGCTTAATAATTTAAAAGAGCACAACGTGAAAGTAGCACACACAATGAGTGAGGAGAAAAAACTAAACAAATGAAAAAAGAATGCATAATTATAAAAAAAAAAAAAAGGAAGCTACGTGGTTTCAACAAAATAAAAACATCGACATCCAAAATTATATATGACAATAGCACAATCCACAATGCCCTTTATGACCATAATATAATAAGCATACATACATGCACATAACTAAATGAATACTTTCCAACAGAATGGTACAAAAATGGAAAAAAAATTAATTCACACCTTTGGCTAAAAAAATGTATTTTTATATCATCACATGCTATAAATTATTTCTCTTTTTTCCTTATAACTTTTGACAAGTTCGAAAGAGATGTGCAAAAATAGATGATCCATAAATATTATATGTGAAACCACAAATATGTGTAACATAAAATCGAAGCCTTTAAGAGGGGTAAGACTTGGTACATAGGGTGGGGACGGGTATCCTGTTTATACTACTGTTTATGGGGAAAGTATGCCAAAATAAATATGTACACAGGGACACACATAAACATGAAAAAAAAAAAGAAAAAACAGCGATAATGATAACGATCAGAGCAACGCCAGCAGCAACATCAGCAGCAACATCAGCAGCAACATCAACAGCAACGACAGCAGCAACAGGATCAAAATTTGAACGCGCTCTACAAATTAATGGTTGCCGCGTTCATAAATTTTCGTAAGGCCTTAGGAATAGTTAGCTGATTTTGTTCGCCCTTTGAAGTTCTCTGAATTTGATACTGCTCCAATATAATTGCCAAGACCCGCCCCACGGCCAAACCAGACCCATTTATAGTATGACAAAAATAATTATTCTCAGCCTTTCTATATTTTAAATTTAATTTCCTAGACTGGAAATCCAGGCAATTGGAACAAGAAGAGACTTCAATAAATCTGTTTTGACTTGGTAACCAAGCTTCTATATCATAACATATAGAAGCAGCAAATGGAGTTTCAAAAGAATTCAGGAGGACTAATCTGTATGGTATTTTTAGTTTCTTTAAAATATATTCACATTGTTTTATCAAATCATTGTAGAACATATGAGAAGTTTTTTTATCACTGATATTAATTAATTCGACTTTTTCAAAAATATGTTCACGTAACAACCCCTTGGATGCTTTTCCATAGGTGAAATTTTTTTCTATTCTAAAACATGACGAATGACTAACTAGTTTTATGGGTAAATTTTCATGATTTAAGATGGTATTTCTAAATAAATTTAACAAGGAGACTTCACTAGTGGGGATTAGATAAGCTTCTTCATTTAAAATTTTATAATTGTTATTAATTTTAAATAAATCATTTTCAAATTTTGGTAATTGTCCAGTATTTGTTAAGGCAGATTTTGTAACTATTACTGGAGTTTTAACATACGTATATAGAAATTTATCTACATGAGTATTAATCATAAAATTTATTAATGCCCTTTCTAACTTTGCAATATTATTTACTAGTATATTATACCCAAACCCTATTTTATTTGTTATATTAGAAAAAATATTATTATTATCATATCTTTTTAAAATATCTTCATGTGGTTCTAAAAATTTATTGTCTTTCCCAATTTTTATGTTTTTTATTTTGTACGTTTTAACTATTTTATTCTTGTTCATCGTTTTTCCATCTGGAACCATATCCAATAAGATGTTGGGTAGTATATTTAAATGCTCATCTATTTTGCATTTCAAATTTAATATCTTCGTTTCGATTAGGTTAATATTTCCGTTTATTTCATTTATTTGATTTTTCACTTGTTCAATTTGTTTTTCATCACAATTTGTGTTTTTCAGATTTTGCTGTTTTTTCACGTCTTCGATGCGTAAATTAGGCTGTTCATCCTGATTATCATCATAACCATTCTCTTCTTTTTTCCCGAATGTGTTGACTAAATCTGATTCGTTTAATTCCTTATCATTTTCATTGTTTCCATTAATTAATGAATTCTTTTTTTTTTCCTCTTTATCCTTCGTTGCATAGTGAACTATAGAATTTTGTGCAAACATCAAATTTTTCACCTGCTCGGACAGAATTTTTCTCCTATTCCTGAGATCATTTCTCAATATTTCAAACTTATTTTTTTCCTCTTTCAGATTTTTTAATATTTGAGCATGTATAATATTTTTTTCCATGCCTCTTTTTTTTAAATTTTCAATTACTACATTTTCATTTTTTTTTAAAATTCTCAGATGCATACTACATTCATTATGTTTTCCTTCACAAGGTTCTTCACGATTGCATTTTTTCGTACACCTAAAAGAAGTATTTTTTTTTAGCAAACTTGAACATTTGGATTTGTAGTTATTATGAAATACGTTAATAAACAACTTGTTCCCATTTTTGCTTACTTTTCCAAACACACAATAAACGCATAAAAATATGCTTAATAATGTTTTTCTTTTTATATGCATGCTACATATTTTGCATTTTTGCTGTTATGGTAATGTTTTCGCTTGGAAAAACTCTCCGCTTGCATCTGTAAGCGTATACACATATGTATATATATATACATGTACAAATACATCACCATCCAAGAATATCAACATGTGAAATATGAAAGTGTCTCTTTTCAATACATTTGAAAGGGTCCTCTGAAACTGAATTTTTCTTATTTCTTTCTTGTCGTTATTATGAGCTCATAAAAACCTCCTTCGCGTGAAAAATATGGCATAACCCATAGGCCTCTTGAACATTCTTGCACTTGTATATATTTACATATATATATATATATGCACACGTAACAGTGTGGTAAACACAGGACGAAAAATCAAAAATTTTGCAGCAAAATATGATAAAATGAACACTACACGCAACCATGGAAAATTTTGGTTGGTAATGTCACTAATGGGGCACTGGTTAACAACACAGCATACAACAATTCCCCACAGTAATAGGCATACGTCCTCACTTATGCCAAAGTTAATTAAAAAAAAAGAAAAAGGTAAATCGCTTTTCTTTCGAAGGGAATAGTGCTAAAATTTCACAATTTATTAGAAAAGAAGTGTTTAATCACGAAACCTTTTGATGCAGTATGTATAAGTGTGCATTTATATACATACATTCACACATGCATACTTTTATGGGTTATATATAATACAGGTAAATATGTACGCATGGGGAGGAACAAAAAAAAATCCAAATTTCTAGAAAAATGTTACAAAAATATTACACCAAAACAAAATTGTTAAAAAATAAAAATATGCAACGGAATAACAATTGTTGTAGATGCAAAAAAAAAAAAAAAAAAAAATTTTAATGTTTAAAAAAAGTTAGCCAGGGAGTGAAGGGGCAATTCGGAAAATCACATAATTTCTTTTAAAGGAATGAAGCATGTTGATATGCTATATATTCAATATGTATCATTCTAAGTAGGAACAGATATAGAGTAGAGGTATTCTAGTGCCTTATTTTGTGTTGGTGCATTATACCATTGTCCAATTGATATACATAAAAATATCGAATTTAAAGTTCACGTGGGACTGAAGCAAATATGTGTATGCATATACATTTTTTGTTTATATGTAACATGTTTTTTTTTTTTTTTTTTTTTTTTTTTTTTTCCTTATACTTTTTTTTTTTTTTTTTTTTATTTTTTTTTTTTTTTTTTTTTTTTTTTTTTTTTAACTACGTTTTATATGAAAACAAATTAATAAATTATTTATGAGGAGAAAAAGTAAAAAGGGTTAAAATTATAATACGAAATGCAGATATACAAAAAAGAAAAAAATAAGTAGCTTTATTATTTTATTTTTTTTATTATTTTGTTTTGTTATTTTGTTATTTTGTAATTTTGCTATTTTGTTATTTTGCTATTTTATAGTTTTTTTTATTTTACTTTTTTGTCTTGTGTTTAAGGGGATATGCCTATGATACACATCCTACACAAAATGAGGCACTAGTAAGGAAAATGTGACAAAAGGGAGTAAAAATATAGTGCAATATATATATAACAAATTTGGAATGGTTGATAAATATGTTAAGCATCGTTATTCAGAAACAATTTCATTTATTTTTTTTGCTAATACGTGGATGTAAATATCAACTTGTTTCAAACACGCATATTAATTTTTTTTTTTTTTTTTTTTTTTTTTCATTATAAAAAAGCTTAGAGAATTCACTTAAAAATTTTTTGTGTGCATACGTTATTCCACTATATGGTTACACATTGCAAGGGACACTTCAAATGATATTGCAAACATTGCTACAAATGGCAAGCTTAGGTGACATCTTCTGCAGTTGTCTTAAAATTGGAAAAATCCTCCATCTCGTCAATATCACCAATTTCAGTAAAGTGTGAAATTCTCTTAAGTCTATCGGATGGTCTGAACAACATAAACATGGCAGTGAGTATGATTAAAAACAAGCAGCTTACAATTCCCTCGCTTATGTAACATTTTAAGCTCCATATGGTGTTATCTACAATAAGCATGACAACAATATCTATGAGAAAAGCCATGACTGAAAATATAAGTGTAAATATTAAAACGTTAAAAAATTTTTTGAACATATTTAATTTTTCATATTGTTTGTCTTCATTTAATTGAATAATAATTTTGCTAGCTGATGTAAATACCCATAAGTATATGATAGAATATATGATTGTTACTGGTAAAATGCAGAAAAGAAAATAAACTGTATTAACTTCTGAATCAGTTAAGTGCATATCTAAGAACTGTTTTATAAAATCAAAAATGATAAAAAAAAAGAATAAGACTTTTATCTTGATAAATGTTTTCCTATCTAATGTTGGTATTACTAATCCCCAGCCTAATGCTCCCAATAATATTAAAAGATATGAACAAACATTTTTTAATATGCTTGAACAAACCGAAAGGAATAATAAATTGCTATTCACTCTTGCATGTAAATTATATGCCAAGAAGTATAGAAAGAGAAAAAAATTTTCTATAAGATATAAAAATATACAGACTAAAATCCATATTTGAATTTTAATAACAAATTGTTTATTCCTTATTAGTAAATAAATCCATGCAAATAAATAAATTGAATATATGGTCATACAAAAAACATATAAATTTAATTTCGGAACTTTATCTCCTGGCAAATATCCATACTTATTTAAAATATGTACATTTCCATGTAATTCTAATTCATATTTTTTACTTTTCGAACAATTTGACAAAAATAATGCATACACATTGGTTTCATCTATATTATATACATACTTATTTTCAATTTTTTTTAAAAGTTGTTCATGATTTACTTCATTTTCTGACTCGGATACTACATCATTTTGTATCCTATCATTTACAAAATACACTGGTAATTTTAATGAATACATATTTGATTCATCTACATATCTCTTTAAATATCCATTCCCTGGACAAGTATAAGAATCACTTCCATCCATACCTGTTTCTTCTGTATGACAACAAACATTAGAATCTTTAGGTAAATAATACTTATTAAAATCGCTTTCCTTCATTATTATCATTTCCAAAAATAGGTCTGATGAATCTAAAGATTCATCCTCCCCTCTTTGCATATATTCTTTTTTTTTTCTTAAATATGGGTTGTTTTTATACAAGTTTATTTTAAATTTTTTTTTTTTTTTTTTTTCATCATCAGAACCGGAATCATCATCATTTTCATCATCACTTTCATCTTCATCACTGTTGTTTCTATTTTCCCCTTTTGAATTATCGTCTCCTGTGTTTTCATCATCTGATTCATCTTTTCCCTGATCATTTATTTTGTTATCATCAAGATCGAAGCTGAAATATTTTGTATTCTTATTATCAGTTGTACTAATTCCTATATTTTCAAAAATTGCATGTGGCCCTTTTATGGCCATATCCTTTTTTTCCCCTAACAAAACATATGGAGTGTCATTTTTTCCAAATATGTATAATCCTTTCAAGACATACAGTATATAATTTGTGTTTATTTTCTGTCCATCCAATTTTATTAATTGGCTGTTTGTTATTCTAGTGAAAAACAAAAATAATGCAATGATGAGAAATTCGATTTTTCTTTTAATTTTCTGATTGGGCTTCCATGTCATCATGCTATAGTTCGTGTGCAAAATTTTAGGCCACAATGGCTGGTTTGAGAAAGGGATCCCTTTTCGTTTGCCTATCCGTTTGACTATTCGTTTGTCTGCTCGACTGGCTATTCGTTTGTCTCTTGGATTGGCTATTTATTCGCCTATTTGTTTTTTGCCTATTTATTTGCCTATTGGATTTCCTATTTGTTTGCTTTATTTATTAGCCAATAATTTATGTATTTGTGTATTATACGCTTTGCTGTGTATATGTGGATATTTGCTTGCTAATCCAAATAGGATAAATTCGGACAAGTCAAAAAAAAAAAATGATCTCCTGTTCCCGGTTACTGTATGCATACATATACAAGGCAAAAGCGTGGTCGTAAAAGTGGTGAGTTTATATGTGTGTATAAGGTTAAACAAATTCAGGGATAAAAGAACAAAAAAAAAAAAGTAAAACAAAATAAAGCAAGCAAAATAAAAGTAAGCAAAATAAAAGTAAGCAAAATAAAGCAAGCAAAATAAAGCAAGCAAAATAAAGCAAGCAAAATAAAGCAAGCAAAATAAAAGCAAATCGAAGAAAATCAAAGGGCTGAAAAGAGAAGCTAAACTGTATTTGTTTGCAATTATTCCAATTTCATCATTTTATTTCCTTTCCATTTTAACGAGTTACATTAAAAAAAATTGGCAACGAGGAAGAAAAAATTAAATTGTGAAAATGGAAAAAAGTGGATTAAGAAAATACCAAAAAAAGAACGATTTACGAAAATAATTTAGTGAGCATTGCGAAATTAAAAAGAAAAAAAAAAAAAAAAGAGGGGGCAAATTACGAGAATAATGAAGTACGGATTGCGAAAGAAAAAAAAAAAAAAAAAAAAGAGGCGGCAAATTACGAGAATAATAAAGTACAGATTGCCGTTTACCTTTGTTTGTTGTGGAACTTGAATTAAACGAAAAAATACAACTTGTACATACATTTACATATATTTATTTATCTTTGCACATAAGAAAAAAAATTAATGTATGTAAAATTTATGAATTCCTTTATCTCTTTTAATGTTGTTTTCAATTTTTTAAGCTCTCAGCGGTGGGAGAGCGTATTTCCATATTTATTTTATTTTGAACTCCTCCCAAGTTTGCAAATTAAGGCATTTATATGTACACATAAGAAGGCCTTAATACCCATACGACGAGGAATACTTTTGTTTGCCTTTCTTATAAAACAAATGTGTGTGAGAATATCGTATGCACATATGCTTGTGATTTTTGTGGAACGTAATATAAGCATGCATTTATTATTTTCCTTAACTCCCCTTAGATTGAAAATGATCTCCTTAAAGTTTTATTCAGTATTTTTTTAACTACCCAAAAATTTTCCACATGGCAAGTTCCCTCAGTTGGTATGACAACTTAGATCCATATTTTCGTTCTACTTTTTCTTTCGATTTTTACATTCGAAACATGTTAACCCCTCCAAAAAAAAAAAAAAAAAAAAAAACACCCATGTATAATCTATCAAAAGTGCTGATAAAGCGAATGAACATTTCGCAAGCACCCTTACGAATATTTCAAAAAAGGAAGAAATGGGTAAATACTGTACATGCATAGGATAAGAGGGATGAGAACAGCAAAAAAGCAAAATAAATAAAAAGAAATGAAATAAAAGGTATTTTACTTAGCAAAAAACTTATTTTATGTACGTCCTATATTTACACCAATGCTGTAAGGCATGAGGAATTATCTCATACCAAGGGTAACGAATAATTCTCGACCAAATAACATTTCCCCTGAAAAAATTTTGAGAAAATAGTAGCAATTTACAAAAAGGTACCCAGAAAAAGGTATCATAAAAATAAGCACAAGGGGGATGAATAGAACAATAGAATGGGCTACTTTTCTCGAAGGACACGCATATAACCCGTAACCGTATGCAAAATATGTTGCACTGAGAAATTTGCGATTGTTTGGAGTGAATCAAGTGGATCTTTACATATATTATTTCATATTTATTTTTATTCTTACTTTTTTTTTACATGTATTTTTTTATTATTTTATGAGCATTCCATTTGGAACATTAACATGAAGTCCTATTAAGTGTCCCCAATTTTTCACAATTTCTCGACCCCCGTAAAAGGGCGTAAATAGTTGTATTAACAAAAGTGACAGAGTTTAAACAAAAGTTTTATATTTAAAGGGTCCAAGGAGTGCATCCCGTGTGCATGTAATTTTATTTTGTTTCGACTTATTTTGTTTCGACTTATTTTGTTTCGACTTATTTTGTTTCGATTTATTTTGTTTCGATTTATTTTGTTTCTTTTTTTTTTTTTTTTTTTGCGTATATATGTAAATGTTGCTACGTGCAATAGGCACAGAAGCAACGATACATCTGCAGCCCTTTTTTTAAATTCGAAAAAGGCACATATTATTTTGTAATACACATTTGAGATGTATATGGATTGACATGCCTTGTTTGGATTTTTTTTCTCATTTTTACTTTTCTTGCACATTTTGCACACGATGTTATTGCTTACAATCACCTTAAATTCGTCATGCACTAAGGCAACAAAAAAGGGAGATCATAGTTAAATATTCCATTTCCTATGTATAAAGAGGCGTAAAATGGTGTGTTAAGAATATGGTAAAAGACATAACCCGGGTATAGACAATTCATGATTGAAATTTTACTTAACTGTTCATTAACTTTTATATTCCACATGCTTGCTGGAACATCGGATTTAATGGAATCCAAAAAATTATTTAGAAAAAAAGTATTACAATTTTTAATTTTATCATATGTTAAATTTTTAGGGTATCTAAAATGTACCCACGATGTTAATTTTAATGCATCTAAAATGTTTAGTCCTGTAAAATTGGCAAATTTCATTTCTAGATTATTTGTTATTTTAACGGAATTGTAGGGTACAATAAATGCTTCTTCGTCTATTTTCCTTACAATATAAGACAATCTCTCAAGTTCTGTCACAGTGCTCTGCTTCTCCTTTTTTGTATCTTTTTCGCTTTTTTTTTTTCCCTCTCTTTTAGGATTCCCGCTTTCTAATTCTTCACTTTTGTCGTTGTTACCTTTGGAGATGTCGCTGCAATCGCTACCATTGCTACCATTGCTACCATCGTTTTCATCATTTTCATCATTTTCATCATTTTCATCATTTTCATCACATTTATTACTTTCATCACTTTCATCATTTTCATCATTTTCATCACTTTCGCTGGTACCATCATTTTGACTCTCCACCTCTTCCCATATAGACTCACAATCGTCAGCATATAAACTGCTTGGAATTCCAGTAAACAATGTAAAAGGAATTTTCTTTCCTATTTTCTCGATCAACATGTCATTCCCTTTTATTATTTGTTTAAATTCATAATCATTATTACAATAATAAAATTTCTTTTCTGGAAAAAATTTGTCATTATTCAAATTGTAAGTTATATAATAATCATTTTCTATACCTTCTATTTTACCCCATAAATAGACTTCCTTATTTAGTTTCTCTTCCAAATTTGTCATGCCGTATAGTAACCCAAGTTTTTCCTCTTCATTAAAGCATCTGTTGGATTCGCTTAAATTATGTAAATGAAAATCTAAATTCTTTATTTCTATCATTTCGGCTTAATAGAAAAAAAAAAAAAAAAAAAATGTATACCGCTGTTTTTGTTACATGCATGGATTCAAACAAACATGAGATAATACACAGCTTCTATTTGGTACTCACAGATGACTAAAACGTGAATAACTCGAAATAAGCAAAAAGCTTTTTTTTTTTTTTTTTTTTATGTTATTGTGTAATATTTTTATTTTATTTTTTTTTTAGAAAATATTACTCTCACTTATTCTATACCTACGTTGGAACATTGAGGAAAAACAAAGTAGTAATAAATCAAATTCCATAATATTTTCTTCAATTGTACAGACATAGGGATTTATACATATTCTCTCTTAAATTTTAGACCATACCAATATGGTATATATATATATATATATATATATATATATATATATATATATAAATAAATAAAATGGATAAACCTAAACAAATTTTCCTATTTATAAGTGCATTATATTAGTTCTTTCTAAAATGCGACGCAATGAAAATTAGACATTTGCCTCTCGGTGAGACAAAAAAAAAAAAAAAAAAAAAAATTCATTCATTGGGATAGAAAAAAATAAGGTGAATATGCTTATGTGTGGTTATTTTCCTCAGCATATATCTGCAATTTTATTAGAGTAATAAAAAATAGAATAAAATAAATAAATAAACAAGTAAAATATAGACAAACTTACTTGTCTCTTTTCATTCGTCCGGTACTATTTGTGAAATGGAAGCGAATAGGTTTAGAGACTACTTGTCTATTTATCTCACAGTTCAAATTTTATTTATTCCTCTTTTTTTTGAAAAAAATGACAATTTTTTTTGCACATTTCTAAATAAAGTGAAAACAATTTTTGAGCTCTGGTGATAAACCTACGTTAGTGAACACTTATGTATGTATTCACATATGTATGTATGCATGTATGCACTAATGTATGTATTCACTTATGTATGTATGCAAAATCTTAAAGCACCGAAGATAGCACGTTAAATAACGAAAAAATATTCCCATTCTAATCATAAGAGAAAATGAACTATTTCATGAAAAGAAAAAATGAGTCTGTCAATAAAAGAGAGGCTTTTATAGCAAACGGTAAACATACGAAAAATGATGGAACTATCTTAAATGAAGACATATTCAATAGCATAAAAACATTTGAGAAACGAAATTCTCATCAAATAGAAAGAAATAACCACCAAATAAATGATAATCATAAAGACAAGGAGATAGACACAAGCTCGAACTCTTTTCTAGATAGTAGTTTTAACGAAGAAATGGGTATTGTGCCTCATAAAAGTGCAAGAGCAAATTCTAAACAGAATTTAAATAAGGATTCTCGCTTTGAAGAAAATAGCCATCTTCATCGCTCTAGCAGTAATTATGGCATGGAAAGCTACAACGAAGAAATACCAAAGGAGTATAATCAGAAGGAGCATAGTCATAAGGAAGTTACTTCAAAAAATGAAAATTTAACACATACGATAGAACAGTGTAACATTAACAAGAATAATGAATCCTGTGATAAGGATATACATAGCCAGGTTGAAGAGAGACACAGTAAAGATCAATCCATGCATAACAGTGGAAGGAATCGAATATTTTCAAAAGGTGTAGATAAGGATAGACAAAATTTTCCGAGTGAGCAAATTCAAAATGATTTTAAAAGATTTGTAGGTAGTCAAAAATATAATAAACATAATTCATCCTTTTTAAATAATCAATGGAAGGAAAAATATTCATCAAAAAGTGATGAACGAATAAATGAAATAGTATCAAAAAATAGCAATTCTATTTCGAATGAAAATTCTAACAATAGTGCAAGCAATAATCAAAGAGATAATAAAAACATAAATCAGAAAGAAGATGAACATTTTTATCAAAAGAAAAAATCAATCAACTTACATTCTGGATTAAATACAAGTAAGAGTTTGTATATGAGTAATGGAGATAACAAAATTCAACTTGATAATCTCATTTTTGGTCGCAGAAATCGAATATCACACTCAAATGTAAAAGCAGAAAAAGACACAGATGATTCTTCTTCTGAAACCTATTTGGAAAACACAAAGGATTATAAAAATAGTAAAGAATTTGCTTACGGAGAAGAAACAAACTTTAATGGAAATTCGTTAGACCAAAGAGAAAACCTAAAAAATTATGGTAATACCAACGGTGGATGTGCTGTCAACATTAGTACTAAAGGTAGTGCTTATTCTCATACAGGAAGAAATCTTAAGGAACCAACTAACGAAAATGTAAATTCACTTCACCTCTCGCAAAGGTATGTAGCCATAGGTGAATCTGTTAATATTCAAACTTCATCAAGTGTAAATCAAGAAAATAGTAAAAATATAAATAGCGAATTTTTGAAAACAAATATTTCTTCCACAAAAAATATGGACTCTTATAATAAATTAAAAAGTAATGTCATAGGAACCAAGGAAAAAATCAGTGAAAGTGATTTGCAAACAAGTGCGGATGTTGCTCTAGGGCAGTTAATGAAAGCTAGCAGGAAATTTAGATATTCCAATAGATCTTACACACAACCGATGAAGGGACATGCGGTAGTTAAAAACAGCTCTCTGTTGTTGAGCAGGCACTCAGTAGAGTCGAACGAGGAACTAGCCGAATCGAACGGGGGATTAGCCGAATCGAACGGGGGATTAGCCGAATCGAACGAGGAACTAGCCGAATCGAACGAGGAACTAGCCGAATCGAACGAGGAACTAGCCGAATCGAACGAGGAACTAGCCGAATCGAACGAGGAACTAGCCGAATCGAACAGTATATTATCTAAAAAAATTCTAAGTCACAATAAAGCACAGAATTCAATGCAGCTAAAATCGAGTCACATAATGTCAAGGAACAACTTACACAAATCAGTAAGCTACCATGATAAGTCATCCAAAAATGCAACAATACATAAAAATAGTGAAGTAGAAGAAGCATATTATGATATGGATCTCTCAAATAACATACCCATGGAAAATGGAAGAAGTTATATAAATTTAAACAATCTAAAGAATGAGTCAAGAAGTTATTCCATAACATCAAATAGAAGACACACAACAATGTCGAGGGAAAATTTTGAGGATTATAAAAACAGCATAATTCTCTCTCAAAATAGAACTATAATACTGCCTGAAAATTTAATAGAGTTAAAATTTAATCTAAATGGATCTGTAAGCGCCATTACAGAATCGACGAGCCAGATGCATATGGAAAATAGTTCAAACAAATCACAGACAAGACAAGAAAATTTAATGAACAAATCAGAAGAATCAATTAGCAGCAGTCGGAATATGAACCATCAAATGGAACACAGGAAAAGTTTTGCAAGGCAGAGCAGGAATCCTCAATCAGAAAAATACCACCAAAGTGGACATAACAGTTTATTAGAATCGAGAAGTGATGAAGTCACTAACCATTTATTAGAATCACATTATGAGCTACACAAATATAATGATAACATGCTAGATACTAATGATAGCTCTATGAACCTAAATAAAAGTCGAAACAAAACGAGCAAATGTACGGGAAAATCGTGTAAGAACTTCATTAAATCCGAAAATTCCACGCACGAGTCACACTATAGCTTATCAAACTCTGAAATGAAGAATATACAGTCTGAACGAAGTTCAATAACTTCTACAAGTAGTCAGATGCAATTAAGAAATAATATGTTGAATTCAAATAATAATCTTACTAACCAAAAAGAAGTTTATAAAGAATCGAATAGCGTTTCTATGGAATCATTCAGAGGTCATATGAATTCAAAAAATCATCACAACGAGCTGAAGGGAAATTTGATAGAAACGAATGATACCTTGGTGAATTCTAAATTTACCGGAAGTGTGACAAAATTAAGAGGTAGCAACTCAGGGCCAAGAAGCAGCAATGTGGATTCAAGAAACAGCCAAAATGATAACAGTAGGAATCATAACAATAGCAGTAGTAGTAGGGAGGTAAAAAATTACTCGATCAAATCAAAAGACTACAATGGCCACTCGAATAACAACATGGTAGAACACAACTTGAATTTCGCAAAAAGATATCAAGAGGAGTCGCAGCATCATTTTGTTGACGAATTTCAAAAAAGTAAAAAAGACGGAAATGAATTGAAATACCGATATGATGATAAGAGAAAGTACCATTTGAACAGAAGTGAGTATGTTCCCAAATCAAGCATTCAGTATGAATATAAAAAATTTAATACTTGCGTAAATAGTGAAGAGCAGAAGGCTGATTTGTTACAAGAATTTCAGAAAAATATTAAAACAAAATGGGAAACGAAACCTTTACAAGCTGAAAATGTGAATGTAAGGAGGAAATCACGAGAGAATTTAGAAAATTATAATGACCATCTACCAAGTTACATGAGTCAAACCTCTATAAATCGCAATATGAGACAAGATCAAAATCAAAATAAAAATTATTTCTTAACAGATAGTGGGAATTCTAATATGTCTAATATACATGAACAAGAAATTGAAGCGGGATTACGGGGGAAAATGTACTACAATGAATTAGAACATAGTTTTGAAGCCTTGCAAAAAGTTGATAATAATGATGATTCCAATATGGAATTTGACTTTATTCAGGAAAATAAAAAATGTCAATATATATCCAATGATTTTTCAAAATGCATTATAGATTCACAGATGTTAATTAATAGTTCTCACAATTCTATGCAACATTCTGATTTAAATGCTTCTAGCCACTTTGATTTAGGGGTGTCCAATAAATCAAATAAAATTTCTGACATAGAGAAATTTGCCATAGAAAATAATTTTAATTCCAATTATATTAAACGGTTGTCTATGAATGATAATTTTGTTAACACTGACTTGCAAATATCGTATATAGAAAATGAAATTCAAAACAAAATAAAGAATTTTGACAATATATTGGGCAAAAACTTTGAAACCAAATGTAATAAAGTGCTCAACAGAATTGAGAAGTTGCTTTCCTCAAAATTTTTCAGTGAGACATAGGCTCTTTAGATTTTATTTTAGACTTTATTTAACATATATTTTATTTCACTTATTTTATTTTGTTACATTTATTTTATTTTGCTCATTTTATTCTGCCCATTTTATTTTATTACACCTATTTTACTATTTTTTTTTTTTTTTTTTCGTTTGTCCGGGATGTGCACCGCATGGTACATTTCACCAAAAGACAATTTTTATCCAACACGTTTGGGTACGTCAAAAAACGAAAAGTTTTTCTTTTATGTAATTCTTCTCATTTATTAATGGGCACATTTGCTTATTCATTGAAAAAAAGTACGTTTTCCAAAAAAATTTGTTAAATTACCATTTTTAATCATCCACTTATTTTATATATACATATATATATATATATATATATATATATATATATATATATATATATATATATATATATATATATATATATTTATTTATTTACATCTTACTTTTAAATGATTAGCATTGCAAAAAGATGGAATTTGAAAAATCCAATAAACTTGAGTAACCCTACGAACTTGAAACGTTAATGTACTTTTTGTTTCTTAATTAAAACACCTATTAATCAATTCGAACCTTTACATAAACTGTAACATGGTAGATGAACTCACATGCGGGGTTCACATTTATACATGTGTGTATACATTATGTACATATACATGCTGAACCAAACTTAATGATTGTAATATTTTCTAAAAATCTGTGACTCTACAATTGTGTGACCAATCACCAAACATGGTTGGTTCATGCTTTTCATATTTATATCCATATTCTTGGGATACATTATTTTCGAAACCTGGTACAATTTGACCTTCCTTTTCTTCTATTATAGTTCCTTTTGTTATTTTTTCTGTTTTGTCAGTTTTTTCAGTTTCACTTATTTTTAATGTGTTGTCATTATATTCATTATTCCCTTGATAATTATTTACATTTTCCTTAGTATTACTACTTCTTTCTAGGGTTGAATATGCCTCACAGTAAATTGTGTGTGTTTTTTCTGCAAAATTGCATTTTCTAAAATGCTTACAAATATATTGTTTACTCATCATCCATTTTGCAGTTCTATAATAGTAACATGTGTTAAGGTTAAAGAATATATTTTTATTTCTTTTTATGAATATTATGGAACATCCTTTTGTCATGATTATATGTAAGTTTCTTCAATGTGTGTAAGCGTGAATTGGGACATGTGCTAATGCAATATTTTTGATTATATGTTTTGCCCTAAGCACAGGGAGTAATAAACTCTAATATACACACATACACTTTTATTTGTGTGTGTGTCCTTTCTCCCTTATTTCATGTGCTCACTTTTGTCTTTACATTTATGTGCAAATATGTAGATTTATATAGAATAAAAAAATAAATAAACAAAATAAATATTAATAAAAACAACACTTAAAATAACACTTACAATAACACTTACAATAACACTTAAAATAACATTTAAAATAACATTTAAAATATCACTTGCTTGCACATGTACATTTTAAATTCCTTTCCTTTGAATAATTATTATGAAGTTAGCTGAGACAGCATAGGCTTATGCATGTGTATTTTTACACGTATATTTCTACCCTTCCATCAATTTAATGGTTTATAAATGCAAACATTCGATAGTAATAACAGTTTTCCATTCGGCTAAGAAATGTTAATTTTTGAAAAAATTATCTACTAAGAAATTATTTGGCTCTTGTACGTTGTAGAAAAAGAAAAAAAAAAAAAAGCACAATACTTTTGAAGTACCAAAACAACTAAATTTATGCATATACGTATTGTTTGTATACACACAGTGTCATTTAAAATTTTCAAAAAGGCAAAAGGATAAAATAACTTTATTTATAATCCTCCTTCCCACACATATATATATGTACATATATATATAAAAATGGGAGAAAAGGATCTTAATTTGATTGAAAAAAATAACCTTGATGAAGAGACGGTATAAATATATATGCAAACATATGGAACGTGTGAATTGGATTAATTAGCTCCTAATTAGTGTTTTGTTCAACGGGAACATGTCAGTTAAATGTATATCTATTCACATTAGCAAAAGATATACCTAGGCACAAACTGGGGAAATTAAATAAACATGTGTCACATAAGTCGATATGCACACAAAAATATATACATACATGTGCACATTAATTTGGTCACCTTCGCCTCAGAACAATTTAAAAAGTGAAAATTCAAAATATATGGAAAACCATCCAGAGTTGAAAGATCTACTAAATGATTTCATGTCTTCTGTTTTGTTACATACACCGGTAATAATAAAAAAAGTGATGAAATTTTCTCTTTAATTGCAATTGAGATAAGGCAGAAAGCATAAAAAATAATTAACAAGCTGATAAAAGAATAAGGCAAAACAGAGCAAACAAAACAGAGCAAACAAAACAAAGCAAACAAAACAGAGCAAACAAAGCAAAACAAAACAAAACAAAAAAAAATATAATAAAACAGTGCAAAGTGAAATAAAAAATCAACGCAAATTCATTGTTGGCAAGTACACATCATAGTCTTAAAAATTGTAAAACATGTGCTCACGTTTTGAGAAAAATATTCACCACTATAGAGTTGCTTAAAAGCATGAACAAATTCCCAAACGAGTGAAAGAAAAAAGCAAAAATAAAGAAAAAAACTAAATCGATGCTTCATGTATATGCAAATTATATATACATATATATATATATATATATATATATATATATATATATAAAATACATACGTCAAATGTTTTCTTCAATCCCGTATAAAAAAATCCATAATTTTATGTTTCCTTTTTTGTTTCCTATTTGCTTCCCCGTTTTGTTTCCATTTTATTTTCCTTTTTGTTTTAACTTTTAGTTCCATTTTTTTTTTTTTTTTTTTTTTTTTTTTTTTTTTTTTTTTTTTTTTTTTTTTTTTTTTTACCATTTAGCATTTTTATGCAAAAGTTTTTCCCATTTTTTCAGTATTGCTAATTTTTAAAAAAAAATATGAATATGCATTTACCTAATGTCATATGGTGTAATTGCCGTTCAATTCCCAATTCGTTTTTTTATAAAAAATGTACATTACATATATATATATATATATATATATATATATATATATATACATACATGTTTGGTATATAAATTCAGGAAGATATTTTTAAGTACGCAAATGAGTATTTTTCTTACTTTAAAAAAAAGTAATTCATATATTTTGAAGACATAAAAAGTAAGGGAAATTAAAGCGAGAAGTTCATTCATACACAGCAGTTGCTGCCATTTGAAGAGTACACACAGTCTTGGTAGATCACGTTTGTGAAAGTTTTATGCACAAGTATATTTTTGTGCATACATGTGGGGTATGTATGCATTTGCATACACACATTAGTAGGCATTACCATCGTATTCCCTTATGCATACAAAATACCTGAAACAACACAAATACATTTACGATCAATTAAGCTAAGCAGAAGAACTGTGAAAAACTGAGGTTATTTCCTTGTGCTAATGCTAATAGAGAAAAAAGGCAAGAAGTGGTTCAGGGGAAATGTAACAATGATTAGACGTGAAAAGTATCCCTAGCTTTTGCAAAAAAAAAAAAAAAAAACATTATTTATTTATTTATTTTTTTTTTTTTTGTAGAGAAGAAATATTTGTTTGAAAAATAATTTTTTTATAATTTTATTATCAATGGCATATTTGTAGGAAGAAAAAAAAAAAAGATGACACTGCCGTTTTCATTAGTTATTTATAGATGTTGACACTTGTTTGATTTATTTGAAATTTAAACACATACTGTGTATAACAACATATTATTGTGGAAGACCGAAAATTATCTAATATGTATATAAAATTTCTTATACATTATTAAGCATTTGATATGGTATTGCATATACACATTTGTGCCAAACCTTTGCTTTTATCGTGTAACAAAAAAACATGTGTCATTAGTTCTATTTTAACAATGCACCTTTTTTTTTTTTTTTTTTTTTTTTTTTTTCATTTTTAGTAGATTGAAAAATTCAAATTAGGCATGTATAGATAATATATTCTTTTAAAAAATATCTTTTACTGTGGAAATGAAATACATATAAACTGTGTAAATATATATATATATATATATATATAATTATTTGCACTGACCGATATATCTGCTTTCCTATGAATGAGTATTTTAAAAATATATATATAAATAAAAATATTAAACTTGGATAAAAACACTCAAACATCATGTAGTGATGGCGTTTTTTTTTTTTTTTTTTTTTTTTTTTTTTTTTTTAGTTTGTATTAATATGTCTTATAAGTACATATGTATAGACACAAAAATATACATATGATATAATATTTGCCTTTTCACTGTTTACCCTTTCACTGTTCTCCCGTTCACTGCTTACCTTTTCGCGCATTTATTGCGGGCGTAACTAGCGAATGATTAGCCTCGCGGATATTGGAATAAAAATTATTACTTCATTTTAAGTTGAAACAATGGAAGAGGAAAGCAAAGTAAAAGACGGTGCATCGAAAGAAGAGAAAACAAGAATTTATAAAATTCTGCTACTAACGTACGCAAGAAGGTTATCAAAATATCAAGATCAAATAAAAAATATATATTTTCATAATAATATCATTTCATCTATAAAAGATGAAACGCATGATTATTTACTAAACGAACATGTAACATCACAGCATTATTTCATTGATACTTTAATTAAATCAAATGAGAATCAGGAATTTTTGAAAAGTATACAGTTAATTCAGAATCAAAATGATAAAGGGGGAAATAAAATAAACAAAGAACAAAAACAAGATACAGGCAATGGAAACAGAAACAGTAATATGAACAGTAGCAGTAACGATGGTGGTAATAGTAGCAATAGCAACAACAATGCAGAAAATGACACTGCAGCAGAAGTAAGTAATGACACACCAGGTGTCAATCAAGTAAATCAAAGAACCCAATTTAATAATTACATTATGGATATCATGGAAAGATTTCACTTATTTATGTTATTGAAAATATTATTTGTTTTATTTTTGTTTGAAGCAAATTCAAAAATGTATTTTATTGTTTCTGGATTGTTTATTTTATATAATAGAGGTTTTTTTGATTTTCTAATTAGCAATTTTAATTTTATATCAAGCAATGATTCCATAGAACAGGTTTTAAGACGCATGAGTGAATCCAGAAATATGAATAATATGATAGCTAATGAAAACAATGTTCAAATCAGCAACATGAGTGAGGGGGGGCCAGTTAATAATCAGCAAGAGGAGGAAAATATGGAAGAAAATGACAATCAACATCTTATATATGCATTGGAGTTTATACATAAAGAGGGAAAAAACACATCAGAAGAGGATATAGAAGAGAAGGAGGATGACGACAATATAAACAAAAAAACAAACGAACAAAACATCTTATCAACATCCACATCTAATTCTAGGGATTTTATTAATGAAAATAAGGATGATGAAGTAGATTCTTTTCATGCAGCATGGTATGAGGATGACATTACAGAGGATAAAGAATTTGTACGTGAGATTTATGATGGATATAATTATGAACTTAATGATGAAAATTTGCAAGAGACACATGGAAGTGATCATAATAGTAGTGTTAAATATATGAAAAAAAAAAATAAAAAGAGTTTATTTTTTTTAAAAAAAAAAAAGATAGAACAGAAAACACATGCAACTGAATTAGACATAAAAAATGATTCCTGTGCAGAATTCAATTCTTCTACAAATATGAATGAAAAAGGAGATAGTAATTACATCGACCATAGCACAGATAATATATTTCGAGAAATGAATGATTCTAAAAATGTTGATCTTGGGAACTTTTTAGGATCTAGGATAAGAAGAAGAAAAATAAATAATATCAGTAGTAACCCTAATGAAGGGGGGAACAAGGATGATAGTAATGACGACAAAATAAATGTTCAAAATGACAATGGAAGCGAAAAAAATGCTTTCAGTAATAACAAGATATATTATCACAAGAACTCAAAAACAGTAAGTAACGTTTTAAATAATAGCATGAACGAATTTGTTAATTCCGATTGCAACGATTCAGAAAACAGTATAGACAGTGAGCAATCCAGCAGTGGTACTTCTTCCTCCATGAAAAAAAAAAAAAAAAAAAAAAAAATACATATAGCTCAAAATACAGGAGGTGAGGAGGATCGTAATACAGATATTAATGTTAGACGAAAGCCAACAAAATTAGAAAAGTATATTTATCAATCTGTTGTAATGTTTTTCATGACTTTATTACCATGGTGGGTACCAGATATTGCGTATTTGGAGGATTGAAATATTTCCATAAGAAGTGTGTGTGTGGGGGAAATAATAATTTGTAAAATTAGAGTAAAAAAAAAAAAAAAAAAAAAAAAGAGTAAAATGGAATAATAAAATGGGGGAAATGTAGAGGGGAAAAAGTGATATTATCACTTTTGTGCTAGTAAGAAAGCCCTTATGACAAACTGATAAATATATATATATATATATATATATATGTGTATGCGTATGCTTATGTATATTTATGTGTGCGTACACGCAATTGACGGAGAACTTATTGCGATGTAACATATGCCAGTAAATCAGAAGAAGGAAAAAAACAAAAGAAATAACTTCTGTGCATATTGATTTTATTAAAAATTCAAGTGTTGAATTAATTCTATTATTTTTTGTGTGTGCGCATAATTTTACGCATAATATCTAAATTATTTGTAAAAAAAAAAAAATAATAGGAGGGAAATCAGGTGTATATATATGTATACACATTTTACATTATATGTTATGCATATCTCCCTTTTTATTTTATTTTTAAAAATTAAAATTTTATAGAACTCCTACATATTTGTTACTAAATAATTATTGTTTAAGAGCAAAAATTTACGTATAGATTAATCAATTTTTTGTAAAAGTGATAAGCCATTCTAGGTACTTATCTTTAACTAATATATTTCCAGGTTTGTGTCGTTTACGTGTGTTACAAACAGAATAAGGCCAATAAATGGGGCTTTGGAATTTTCACAACTATATACAAAAAAGAACATCCATGTGAAGTAGGTATATACATGTATACGGTGGTGTATTTAAACTTTTGTTTAACGTTTGAAACGTTACAAAAAGTGAAATTCATCTGTCAAGGAAATTCTTTTCTTAAATTTGGCAACTGCATAAAAAATAAGATGAAAAATGTTTTATTATGAATGGATGCAATTCATACCTCTGAAATAGGGAAAAAAAAAAAAAAAAATTATGCACAGGTATATATACACAAAGCACTAAATAATGGTAAAATTATGTCAAGCAACATCAAAGTAGTTAAAAAAAATAATAAATAAAATAAAGTGACTTTATTGTTTCTTGTGCACACAACCGAACGTTGCGATGTATATATTTTTTTTTTTTTCGTTTCGGTGCTCTATAATTTTTACTAAAACAGTAAGTTGCTTATGGCCCTACAAAATAAGATGATGTAGCATAATAATGTTGGAAGGATGTGAATAATTCATGTATGAATATATGTAATTGTCATATGAAAAAGGGATTCATTTCATTCCTCTTACATGAAAAAATAAGAACATAAAAAAGTACACAGTTATGGGGTAAATTATTTATACATACGTTTGCACTATTTAACAGTGTGATCCAAAACATCCAAATTTTTCGAATTTTTAATAAACATTATCGAACTTAGTGCGTAGATTTATGCACATAAAAAAAAGTGCCTTTGCTTTGAGGATGTTATAAAAAAAAAAATATAGAGATATTACATTTTAATGTAACATATATACATGTAAACATTGATGTACAATTTTTTTTAACAACAACAAAAAAGCATATATTTAAGCAAAATTTTACATTTATGAGTATACATATATATAAAATTTTTAAGCAAATAATAGCTGGAGATTACCAAACATATATACTTCCTTTTTCTGAACGCCATTTTTTATTTACGTGGAAGAAATTAAAAGTACCTTATTTATAAAAGAATCCATAACACATTTACCCCCGTATACACAGATCATACGCAGGAGTTTAAAAATGGTAATTTTGCAACAAGGAGAAAATTATACTTATTCAATCGTATATTCAATTGTATATTTGTAGAGTATATATATATATTTACATATTGTGTACCTTATGAGTGAGAAGTAAAGAACTTTGTTGCATATATATACAATACAAACCTATGCACATCAATTTGTATATCGATAAAAGTTTTAATAGTTAACTTAATGAAATACACAAAATAAGCAAATTGTTTACCTTAATACTTATGTTGTATAATTTAACATATGCATAAGCATGTATACATATATATATATATATATATATATATTTATATATATATGCACATATATAAATTTCCTTCTTATAGAGCTCTACAATAGCTAAAAAGTTTATTCCCTTAATGGATAGAATTTTGATAAGTAAAATTGTTCCAAAAACTACGACGAAGTCCGGCCTTTTTTTGCCTGAAAGCGCAACTGAACCGTCCTATACAGGAAAGGTAAAATTAGCGCAAAGTTAGCGCAAAATGAGCACATACTTGAACACAGTGTAGAGCATGCTGGGCACCAAGTTGAAGCATCATACATGGCACATTTTTTATTATTTTATTTTATTTTTTTTGGTATTCATTCTTAATTGGAATATCATTTAATGAGCACACTTTTCTTTATTCGTTGTACATTGCCCATCCTGCTTATCACAGGTTTTAGCAGTTGGACCTGGTAGGATAACGAACAATGGAAGTAAAATCCCTCCCAGCGTAAAGGAAGGAGACGTGGTTGTTTTACCTGAATATGGAGGTTCTTCCTTGAAGATTGATGGAGAAGAATTTTTTGTTTACAGGGATGATGATATAATTGGTATTATTAAAGATCAATAAGAGGAAGATGCTTGAGTAATATCCTATAAAAGACTCAAACATTTAATGGGGCTATTTTTTTTTTTTTTTTGCAACACTTACAATTGTACGTTATTTATTTTAAGTAACAAATTTGAATACCCTCATTTAGCATTTTTACCATTAATTATACTTGTAGATTATTTACTGAATAATTTTTTTCTTTTAATATTTTCGTCAACATTTTCTTCAACATTTTTTCAACATTTTTTTCAACATTTTTTTCAACATATTTTTCAACATATTTTTCAACATTTTTTCAACATTTTCGTTATTTTATTTTATTTTATTTTATTTTATTTTTTTTTGCAAAAAAAGTGAAAATATGAAAATGCCAAAATATGACTGGAACAACCACATGCATGTATTTTCAAAATGTGTCATTTCCCCATCTCTCCCCCCAAGCGCATTTTAAAATTAGTATGTCCTAATGTGGGAAATGAGGCATCCGTTGAGGAAATTAATACACAGCATAAACACGAGAAAAAAAAAAATTAAAATAGTAAAAGTGGTAAAAATGTGAAATAGTTTGTAGATGGAAATGCACACACACACAAAAAAAAAAAAAAAAAAAAAAAAAAAAAAAAAAAAAAAGGGAAAAAAAAAAAAAAAAAAAAAAAAAAAAAAAACAAACAAAAAAAAAAAAAAAAAAAAAAAAAAAAAAAAGAAGAAGAAGAAGCAGGGAATAAAAAAAAGGAAAACAAAAAAAAAAAAGAATAATAGAAAAAAAAAAAATAATATAATTATTGCACATAATAGAAATTGTATAAATTCAATAAATTGTAAAAACAGCTAGCTAAAAATGCCCACTAGGCATAGACATAAAAGTATTCACAAAAAGAAAAAAAAAAAAAAATGTTAATAAAAAAATTGTCCTTTATTACAAGATAAGAAAACAAATAAGTTACCATATAAAAGTAATAGTGTTACACGTAACAAAAGGTGTGTATAGTTAAAACAAATCGGCGTTTTTTTTTTTTTTTTTTTTATTTTCGAAGGTATTGAATTTTTAAGAAAGTACTCATTTCTGCTTTTCAGGTTTTTCAATTTCATTCATTAAGGACTGCCTCTGCTCTTCAGACAAATTCTCGAATTCTTTTTTGGAAATAATATTTTTATTAACATTGTCTGAAATGTTCATCATATTAAAAAATGGAGGACCATCCTGTTCTAGGCTTTTGTACAAACCACAGTTAATAATTTTTACATTATACATAGGATTGCCTAATTTTGTACCTACATTTTCAATCATTCGAATTATATCCATGCCTTTCAAAACTGTTCCAATAACTACATTATGTTTGTGTAATATTGGCATTGGAGAAAAGGTTATAATAAAGTGGGAGGAGTTACTATGTGGCCCTTCATTAAATAATGCCACGTCACCATCTTGTACAAATTCCATATCAAAATTTTCATCTGGAAATTTCTTTCCATATATACTTAGGCCTTCCTTATCATTTAATACATTCCCTCCTACTAACCCAATACCCGGATAAATTTTATGAATAAACGTATTTCTATATCCAATATATTTATCTTTAACTTTATAACCTTCAGCTAATTGAATGAAATTTTCAACTGATAAAGGTACTTGATCAGAATACAATCCAATAAGAACTCTTCCTATATATTTATTTTCAATTGCCATGTCAAAAAAAACATAATCTTTTATCGATCTATTGTAGTATATCTGTTTTTCTCTTGCCTTTCTTCTTTCATTATAATTCCAAAGAGGTGGAAACAGAACGGAAAAACCTATTGCAAATTTCCATGATACATTGAGATTATCCCACCATTGGAAACATCTCTTCCCTATTATTTTAGTTGCCCTCAAGCTTTTGTTAAGCATATTACAAAAAAAAAAAAAAAAAAAAAGAGAAAAAAAATGGTACAACCCCTGAAAAAGTTATTTTAAAGCATACACCTTTTTTCCTTCTTTTTTATATCTATTATGTATGCATTTGGTGTGATTCCCAAGAATAAGGAATACAACAGGGATATATAAATGAAGTCTTAATTTGGTTGCCTCAATGGGAGATAACCCAAATGGAACATGTTCTAGCAGTTAATGTTTAAGTGTTTCTCCTATTTACAATGATAAGCAATTGGGTTCCTTTAAATATTTTCTCCTTTTCATATTTTGCCATATAATGTATGGAATAATTTCCATTTTGTTCAGGGACGCATTTATTCCTCTGTCATTAAACATGGCATTATGCATGTTAGAAGTGCTTCACGGATGCTTGACAAATAGTTTACTCTTTTTTTCTTTATTTTTTATTTTTCATGCATTTAGTGAACGACACACGTGGCGTGGTTAATTTTAACCATATATATAACAACAAATAATGTGCAAGAAATAATGAAAAATAAAAAATAATTCTAACGATAGCATCAGATCAGTAATTGTTTGCAATGGTATAAAAGCATGTTCGAAGACGAAAAAAAAAAAAAATAAATAAATAAAAAATAAAATTACATATCATTTGTTTAATCAAAATTTTAACAAAACTTCAGATGACATGTAGAAATGGAAATGAATCAAAATTTAATAATATTTGACATTATCAAATTACTGAAGGAGTATCTCACGCGAAGATAAAAAGAAAATAAGGAAATAGTAAGTAAAAGTGCTTGAAAGTATACGAGGGTACACATGTGCAAATATTGTAGAAAAGTATAAAAAAGAATAAACAGAAAAAAAACGTAAAAAGGGCTAGTCAGTAATAATTAAAAGAAAACTAGGACGAATTTTGCTATGGTATATATTATAACAAATCCACTAAAAATGGGAAGATCCAAAATATGGAGCTATTATAAGAGCATTTTAATATGCTCGAAACACAAAAATATGTTAAATATCACGTAATTCATCCATTGGGGATAGTGTATAAAATGCAATATGGATGAGAATTACAAAAAAAAAAAAAAAAAAAAAGATTAACTCTGTGACAATAAAAATGCTACTTGTATTTACGTGTGCATTTTTTGCCATGTACCTTCAGTCTGTAGACACATGTGTATGGGGCACCATAATTTTCTGTGAATTCAAAAATTATGCTACAAGTTGGGGAAGGATTGGAAAAATAAAATAAAGTAAAATAAGAAATGGTAAATAAAACAATGCGCAGGGTCAGATCATGACATTACGCAATTGCATGAGGAGTGCTATCATAAAAATAGAGATGAGTAAAGGGGATATATATTTTTTTTTTTTTTTCAGAATTTAGCAAATTCTGTATTAGTCTCCACAATTGTTCCATTTAAATTCACATGCTTACCGCTTCACTGGGAAACAGTGCCTAGTTGGGTAGGTAGATATGCGTTTCTTGCGATCGAAGTAAAAATCTCCAAGGTGTATAAGGTTAGGGTTTTTGTTATTTTTCAACCATTTTTCGAGAATATCTCTTGATTGTAAATTTCCATATACAGAGTGCAAGCAGGAGTATAAAGCACTATTTTTAAAGTCGTCAAAGTTAATATCTTGTGATTCGAAATTTTCAGGCCAATTTAAATCTACTACACCATAAACAGAAAAATATTTAGGTGTTGCATTGGAATTATTACTAATATTCTCATGGACATGTTGAATTGAAATGGATGAAACGTCAATAGTTGCTGGTAGATGAATTGTTATTTTTCCTTTATTTCCATTGAAAGAAAAACAATCTCCTGGAAAATTTGAAGGCTTTAAAATAATAGAAGGATCTTTCCCCATTGGTTTAATCATTCCATATATTTCTTCTGATGGTAGGAAAGAAGCAATTTGATTTAAAAATTTCTCAATAAAATCATTTCGATTTAGAGGAGAACTTGTCATTTTGTAAACAATTCTTGCACCTAGAGATTCTAAAGCCCAATCAATTTCGTTGTAATCTAATATAAATTCGTTGTATAATTCGTCAACTTTTTTTTGTAATATTTCTAAAGAGTCATAATTACCTTTCACTGTTTTGACAGCATCCATGTTATCATTTTTGATTTGTTTCTGTTCTACAAGAGTATGTAAATACTTATTTAAATCATCTTTCATAATTTTCGTTTGTGTCTTTACTTGACTATTAATAGTTTTTAGCAATTCAGATTGTATTTTTTCTTGTTTTAATGCAATGTTTTTATATTTCTCTTCATTATATATCACTTTCGATTCAGTAATTTCATTTATGATATCCTTTTTATACATTTCTAGATAATATTTTGTTTTATTTTCTACATTTTTTAATATTTTATCTTCAAGTAATGGAAATACATCATCCAAAATAATATCTGTTGATTTTTTGGTACTTTTCTTCAGTATTTCTAATTCATTTTTTATATCTTGTATGATACTGCTATGTTCCGCATTCCACATGGCGTCTTTTTGTTTGGTTATATTTACGTTCCCTGTTTGTTCATCATTTTTTTTTTTTGTCGACCCTTCATTTTTTCCATTGATTTTAGCATCTGAAGTAGATGCTCCGTCGTCTATCCCGTTTTTATTTGAACTCTCTTTTGAGAAATCAAGCAATGAATGAAGGGGAGGTGTGTCGCGAAAGTTCAGTTTAGATTCCATAAAATGGATTTTTTGTTGCAACTCATTTATGGTATTTAGAAGGTTTCTTTTTTCATTTTCCACCCTGGCAGACATGTCCTTTTTTATATCAATTTGGTTTTTATTCATTTTTTTTTCGATATCATTTATAATAGAATTTTTTTTATGAATATCCTTTTTAATTGCATCAGTAGTTTTGAGATAATCCTTTAGTTTACTTTGAAATGATTCATAATTTTCTTGTAATAATTTTTTAATATTTTCGACTTCTTTTTTTGAATTCATTTTAAAATAATCTATGTCTTTCGTATTAACAAGTAATTTTTTTTCTAACTCTTTTAATTTATTTTCAAGATTTGTATTTAATTCATATAATGCATTATTTTCTTTTTTATTTATTAAATATTTATTCACATTTTCATTCATCCTTATTTTGAAATCTTCTAGCAATTCATGAAGTCGTGATAAATCGTTTCTGTTACTATCTTCATTTCCCATTTTTATGTAATTCATAAATTGGTTTATATCATCATAATTATTTTTGGATGTATTTAAATTAAAATTATTTTTTTCACTTGTGTTATTAAATAGAGTGATAAATCCAGAAATGAATGTAATTAAAACAGATAAAATTATCATAACTGTTGCTATGTAAGTCATACCTCTTTTATCATTTAATGTATCATTTATTAGTATGCTTAAATTATTTGTAATAGCATCTATGTAGGATTTATTTTTTGAACTTTCTAGCTTCAGGTCATAATCAGGGTTATCATGTTTTTCAACTTCATTCCACATAGCCGCTCTACTGGTTAAAAAATTTGTGCCCTGGGATTTTTTATTATTATTACTACTGTTATTGCTATTTACACTTTTACCATTGTTATTTTCGTCTAAATTTATATTGCTCATTGTGAATAATTTCACTAGCGATTTCCTCATTTTCATTAATTGAGATTCTCTTTTCCTATATGGGTTTACTTTCCCATAGTTCATATTTTTCTTCTGAAAATCTTCATAGCTGTGTAGAACCTGTATTAGTGTATTCGGCTCGTCATTGTCTATGCTGCTGTTATTATCCTCTACACGATGTGTTACTCTATAACCTGTATCCGTGTTTTCATTTTCTCCAAAATTTTTGTAGCTCGGATTATTATGGCCATTGAGGCCGTTCTGTGTATTGTCCTCATTTTGTATATTATGCGTATTCTGATTGCTCTTGCTACTTTTGCTACTTTTGTTGATTTTTCCTCTATTGGTTCCGAGGCCGTTGTTAATGGCGTTTGCACACATATTCACTCTCCTTATGTTCCCACTCTGTACTTTTGCATATGTTTAATTGGTAATGGTTCTCAAAATACACACAGATGATTCACCAGAGCAACGCAATAATTAATGTGTACCACTGTCTGTGTTTATGTTTTTGTGTGTGTACCTATATGGAATGTATAAATTTATATCCTGCTCGTTTATGTTCTTCCCTCATGGGCTCTGCTAATTTATAGCTCCATCTGAGGCCATATTTCGGGGATAAGTTTGCTACACAACATTAACAGAAAAAATAAATAAAATAAAAATAAAAAAAAAATGCATGAATGAATCAATGAAATGAAAAAGCTGAGGAAATAACTAAAAAAAGAGGTAATTTGTTAATTAAATTTTAAATGGATTATACCTATTTGATTTTTGTTCTTTTTTTTTTTTTTTTTTTTTTTTTTTTTTCTAATTATAGACTGTTATTTTGTACGATTTAAAAAAATTTGCATTCCTTATGTAGTAGTATGCCCTTATTTTTTCTCATTTTTTAGGGCAATATCTTTTTTATGTGTAATTTTTTTCGAGAATGTATAATTTTTTTGCTCTCAAAAATGTTACTTTACATAGACCTCTTTTTTGCCAAATAAATAAAATAAAATAATACCTGAAAACATTTTTGTTATTTGGGAACTATATTATATTATGCTGCCTCTTTTTTTTTTTTTTTTTGTGCTCATTTTGTAGGTACCTAAAAATGTTGGAGCTATTTTTTACTTGTTCAATTAGAGATCCACTTTTTTTTTTTTTTTTTTTTTTTTTACTTTACACACAAAAGGAGGTATTTTTTTTTTTTTTGAATCAATAATAATTCATATATATATGTGCTTGTGTTATGACCTTTTAAAAAAAAAAAAATAAATAAATATCGCACTTGTCCAGTGTGTAATTTTGTTTATTTATATACCCAAAACTTATTTGTATATTTACCTACAAGTTCTTATGAATATGCAATTTTTCGTATCATTAATCATACGCATATAAAAAGTTCATCATATAATGTATCGTTTAAATATTTCAAAATGTTTTCTCAGTGGTAACTTTGTGTTTTGTTCGAAGGTACGCACATTTCCTTTTACAAAGTTTGTTTATGCGTAACTGCTACAAGATGTTGGATTATATATAACTGATGAGTGCGTGGGATAAATGGAGATACAGGAAAGAAAAAGACTTCAACGGGTTGAATGGATGCGCGTATGAATAAACAATGGAGACTTCTAAAACGGAGATGGAATAAAATTGAGGTAATAACGTAAACCGGTATTATAAAATTATTAGTTTTTTTTTTTTATTTTTTTTTTTTTTTTAAAAAACAAAATAGTATAAATGTATCATTTCGCTATTTTGAAATAATTATATTCTTGCAATGAACACATATAAGTGCATGTGTACACAATCATATATGTAACTTGGCCTCGTTCTTGATATTCATTTTGTTCCTTTTTACAGATTCATCAGCTCATATTCAGGGGAATGGGGCATTTGGAGATTGTTTACATTCGACACATTTTTTTCAATTTCTACATTTTCTTCATTTTTTTTTCATTTGTTTGGCCCACTTTTACGGATGAATGACACATAAACTATTAAGCAGGTAGAAGATGTATATTATGTGGACGTGTTTGGGGATTATTATTTCTTGATTTCAGTGTTTAAATAGTCTAAGAGTGATTCATTTGTTGGCTTAAAAGATTTGTCTCCTTTCTTCCAATTAATTGGACAAACATCACCACTTTTATCTACATGAATAATAGAATCGATTGTTCTCAAAACTTCATTTACATTTCTACCAATTGGTAAATCATTTACAGTTTGATGCCTGACTTTACCCTGTAAGTCAATTATAAATAATCCTCTTAATGCAAAAGAATTTTCATACAGCACATTATACATTTTAGAAATTTCTTTATTTATATCAGACACTAGTGTAAAATTAACATTTCCTATTCCTCCTTTTTCAATTGGCATATTTTTCCATGCCAAATGACTGAACACAGAATCTACTGATATTCCTAGCAGTTCCACATTTTTCTCTTCAAAAGATTTTACATGTTTATTAAATTCTATTATTTCTGTTGGACATACAAAGGTGTAATTTAACGGGTAGAATAATAAGCAGCAATATTTTTTGCCTATGTACGAGGATAATTGCACATTTACAATTTCGTTGTTTTTATTTATTCCTTGCGCGGTGAAATCATGTGCTTTTTTCGTTACCAAAGAAAAATTTCTTCTTCCTGTTCTGAAGGCATTGTTAAAAAGACTACTTAAAATTGTCATTTTGGCTATTATATATATGTATATATAAATATATATATATATATTTTTATTTTCGTACTACAAAAAAAGGGCACTTCAAATGATTGCAAAATATGATATTACGAAACGATATGAGTTGATTTATGCGAACATGTATCATTAAAAGAAGCTTGTGCATAACAATCTCTATACTAGCATGTGTAATTGCTATGGGAGTGAATATGTTTCCTTTTGCCTTTCTTAATTTAATTCCACTTGATTTGACGTAGAAAAGTATGAATGCACGTAAAAGTGGTAGTTCTTCGGTTGTACTACAATATTGCTTCGATGATACTTCAATATTGTTTCGAAGGTACTACAATATTACTTCGATATTGGCTTATTATTGCTTCACTAGTATTTTGGTAGTACACTTACGCTTTTATCGAATAATAAATAAAATATCTTAAAAATGGGAACAGAAAATTGCACAATTTAAATATTTGTGCATGTGTTAAATTCCCAAACACATAAGTAAATATTGTGCATACATGATTCACTCATAAATATATAAATAATGCACATGCATAACGCATCCCCCCACATAACCTTTGCATGTGCATGGGTAATACTACCATAACATTTCGATGTTATGTTGAAAAAATTCAAGGCACGTAAACTTTGCTTCAGCCAAAAGCTGTACCATTTCCAATAGGTGTAAGCCTTAAGGAATATATCCGGTTTGATGAATGGTGATGGTTCATTTACACATACAGAATACAGAGGCTACCTATATCATGTTTCTTTTTCTTTTTTCCTTTTTTTTTTTAAAATAAAAATTTGATTTGTTAAAACAAAGTCGTAAGAGAAGTTTTCTTTTTTGCTTTTGAATGTCAACACATTTTATCATTTTCAGATAAATTAAAACAACACATATCAAAAGTAAAAATGAATAGAAAAATGAATAGAAAAATGAATAAAAAAACGAATAGAAAAACGAATAGAATAATGAATAGAATAATAAATCATACGCGTGAGAAATGAAGTGAACAAAAACAAAAAAAAAAAAAAAAAAAAAAAATGTGAACAGTTGCATTTAAGCCAAATAAAAGATTTTTCTTTTTTTTCTTTTTTTTCTTTTTTTTCTTTTTTTTCTTCTTTTTCTTTTTTTTCTTCTTTTTCTTTTTCTTTTTTTTCTTATTTTTTCTTCTTCTTTTTTCTTTATTTTTTTTTTTTTTTAATTCTGTTCACTTAAAATTTTATTTTTTCGGTTTAAAATTTACACGCGAAAAAAAAAAAAAAAAAAAAAAAAAAAAAAAAAAAAAAAAAAAAAAAAAAAAAAAGGGGAAATAAGAAATAATATGCATTCCTAAACTTCATCATCAAATTCGGTAACGTTTTCAATTTTGTAGGCTTCACTTTGTTGCCTAAAAACTTCATTTCCAAATCCTGCCTAAATATATTAAAAAAGGAGGTAACATGAAATAAAATGAAAATGGTTAACATGTCCATATTGTAAGGAAGGCTCGAATGGGTTAAATGTAGCACACACGTATACACACACACACAATGGAGGTGAGGAATATAAATTTACTAATCCTCCTAGAATAGCCCCTAAGGGAAAACAACAGTTTTCTGCCTTCATCAGAGCCAAGCGAATATGATGGGATGATTCATCTTCTACATCAAGCAAGCCAAAAATAAACCCGAATATTCCACCCATTGTTATTGTAAACAACAGAATCAAATAAACCTACAAATTATGAATACATTACAAATGTGTGTTTATGCACGAGTCTGGGAGAGGATAGCATTTACATTTTCGAACAAGTCTCCATGCTTTTATATGCATTCGTTCTCTTTCGATCTTTCTATCGTTCGCTCCTTCTATCGTTTGCTCCTTCTATCTTTCACTCGTTCGTATGTCCCCGCACTTTCTCGTGCAAATTACCTGCGCTACTGATTCAATCAATGGTCTCGTTATCGACCCTTGAATAAATCCAATTAGATAATTAATCAAATCTATTAAACTGAATGTTAATGCGAAAGAAATGCTAATTCCGAGAACGCAATAAATGGGAACTTTTGATAAGGGGGATAGGGAAAAAAGCCATGAACGCTCAAAAAAGAGACACAGAATTCCTGAAAAAACAATCTGAGCAGTAAATTTTGGAGAACACGTGTAAATCCATAATATGTATTTGTATTTTTAGCTCTCCCATTATGTATATATATACAATGTTTGGATGTGCACCATTTCCTTTGCATGATCGTAGCAACATAAACATGAGTAGTTGTGAGATCTACAAAAAATATATACATTCATACCAGTCCTGCTAGGATCATCAATTGATTTCTTCTATTTTCAGCTTCTTCAATCACATTCGCGTTAAGCCTCCAAAAAATTATAATTCCAACAACGATAAATAGTATACCAAAATACTGAGATGGTAGGGGTGTCAAAGGGATATATATATATATATATTTAAATTAAATAACATGCTCCCAATGCAGATTTATGCAGCTCTCATTCATACGTGTGTGTAAAGGATTATGCATTTCTACACATGTGTGTAATGTACTGAGGCTTCTACAGATGCCCCTTTCCATTCGTAATGGTTGGAAAAAAAAAAAAAAAAAAAAAAAAGGGGAAATCTGTACATACATATGAATATGTACATATGTATTACGGTGAGAAACTTACCATAGAAAAAAATTTCGACAAGGAAACCTCAACTAATGTACAGTTAACTATGAGAGAACACATTATTCCTAGTATCATGCCTACTATGGCACTTATACTTCCCTTAAAAACCAAATCCTTTGTGCAGTTAATTCTAAATCCTGAGAATTTATCGAAATCCTTAATTTCCATGTCCATTGTTCTTACTCAAATATTTCAATTGACAAAAATTTTATTGTGCAAATTAGTATATATTATTATGTGTACCCTGAATTGATATATAAATAGAAATGTATGCATAAAAATACATACATATGGCATATATATACATGTATAATATGTACTATCATTTAATCGTCATTACTACAAAAAAAAAAAAAAAAAAAAAAAAAATTAGAATATACATAAATCCTTTAAGAAATGTAATTTTTTATTATTCGTTTCTATGCAGTTTTTTTTTTTTTTTTTTTTTTTTTTTAATTGTACTTTACAGGAAAAAATGTGCAGATAATATTGTTCGTTTGTGCTTCGCATATTGCTTGGGATGATTAATACAGGTGAATACCGATGTGCTCTTATTTTCATGTATACATTTTGTATTTTAGTTTATTGAATTTGTAACGAGTTAAGAAGTACTTTTCATACATTCTTGAAAAAACATTTTAGCAAAGAAAAAAAAAAAAAAAAAAAAGTTTTCCCCTGTATTTTAAAAATATAGTTTAAAAAAAGAAAGCGCAATTTCACTAAATTAGTTTTTCATATATATACACAAAAAAAAAATCAATTTTGTCGCAAGTATATGTGAGTGTTATATAATACTATACATACAACAGGTACAACACACAATTGTTATAAGCATGAACAATGTATATGACATTACACCAAAATGTTATGATCTGATTTTGTTACAATAATAATATTCATTCCACGAATTTGACAACATTTTTTTTTTTTTTTTTTTTTTTCACTTGTTGATACAGAGATAGAATACTCTTATTATCGTTTCATTTCAGAAGATAGCAGCTAAAATGAAGCTACGTTGTTTTTGTTTCTTGTGTTATGTTTGGTTTATTTTGTTGGATGTGTTTTATTGGTGTGTTTTGTTTGATACATTTTGTAGGATGCATTTTATCCGTTCTGTTTGGTTTAATTTTTATTGTTTAGTTTTACGTCTTTAGTTTTGCTTGTTCAGCTTAATGGGTTTAAATTTTGTTAGTCGTGCTTTCTCTTACATTATCCACCGCTTTTCGTTGTATTCCCTTTTTTTTTTTTTTTTTTTTTTTTACCATATTGTTTAAGTTTAATGTTTAATTTTAAATCTAAAAAATTACGAATTTTGTTTGTACGAAAAAAAAAAAAAAAAAAATGTCTCAAGCGCTGTGGAAATGTTATAAAGGGAAAAAAAACAGGAAAAAATTGGCATAAAAAATACATCCAACGTTTAACACACTGTCCTTTACTACTTTTTGAAATATATGAATTTGGTAGTCTCATAAAGGTGAAATGAAGAGAGGCATGTATAAATTGTTATATATATGTATATATGTGTGTATATATACATATATAATCATATGCGAGTAAAAATATAGGCACACATTTTTGTTGGGAAAGAGTCGTAAAGAGAACTAACACTGTAAAGATATTTCTCCAGGAACACATGATGAACTTTAAGCATGATTTTAAATCAGCATGCTTTATTTTTTTATTTTTTGAATTCGGAGCATGTATTATTCTGTATCATTTAATTTCATCTTATCTGTTTTTGTTCGCTTTTGTTCGCTTTTGTTCGCTTTTGTTTGCTTTTGTTCGCTTTTGTTCGCTTTTGTTTGCTTTTGTTCGCTTTTGTTCGCTTTTGTTTGCTTTTGTTCGCTTTTGTTCGTTTTTTTTTTTTTTTTTTTTTTTTTGTTCATATAATCCAAAAATCATTTGAAGTGACAGGTGTGTGACGCATCATTTACTTTCACTCCGTAACTGCTCGAAAGGGCATATTTGAATAACATTTTAATTTTCATATTCCAATCGCTGTCGTTCTACTTGAAGGGGAATTGAACTGAATCATGCAAATGTGTGATAATTCAGGATCTCTTAAAAAATATATATTGTTTGTAAAGAACTCAAATTTTATGTATACATGTATATATATATGTGTACACTTATGTGTATCGCACCCACAAGTTACTGTTTTCAAAATTAGAGTAAACTTTTTACGGATACACGAATTTTATAATTTTAACAGGTCCGTTCACATTTCTTTTTTAGACATTTGTGCACCGTAACATTTTTATTTATTTTTCTTTTCTTTCCCCTTATTTTGGAATTCGTCTTACCATTTTTCTAATTTTTCAAATGTTCCTAACCCTCAAATAAGTACTCTTTAAATTCTTCCAACTCCTTAAATGGATACGTCATTGAGTAAATTAAAATGGCTTTAATTTTCTCTGTATTGTAGTATGGTGTTTTCGGACTTATGTAAATAGTCCAATCTCCTATATCAACGTTCAACTGAAAAGGAAACAATAAAAAAAAAAAATTAAAAATTAATCGGGAGAAGGATTTTTATGAGCTAAAAGTAAGACCACAATTATGGAAAATATCCTAAATAAAAAGAAATCCATTTGTAAACCTACAGAGGTACATCATTATATGTTTCGTAATTATGTGCATGTCTTACTTCGTTTTGCATGGAGTCCTTCGCCCTTGACCGAATTTGATGAAAATTGGTCTAATGAGGAAGTATATTAAAAACAAAAAAGGGGTGAAGAAAAAAAAAAAAAAAAAAAAAAAAAAGGCAGACAAGTATAATAACAAAAATATATTAACTGTGTAAAAGAACAATCAGGATGAGGAATTTATATATATATATATATATATATATATATATACAGGTTTTATCGCCTTGAATCCTTGAGATAAAATTTTCAGGTTATTTATGTCTTTTAATCTTCTATAAGCAAACATTGAATTGATACTTAGCGCTGTCATTAAAACGTAAATGAAAAATCGAGCCCTCATTTTTGCTTTGCGTCTAGTTGTCACACAAAAATATCTTTGTAATGATTTCTTTTTTTTATTTTATTTATGCTTTTTTTTTTTTTTTTTTTTTTTTTCAATGTATTCTTATTTATTGTTACTGAGAATATTAAATCTTATAAAATGAAAGAAAATGATGAAAATAAAAATTCGAAAAAAAGAAATTGTTAAAAAATAAATATGTCTTATGAATTTCAATTTTTTTTTTTTTCATTTTATTCTTTTCCATTTCACAAAAATGAGATTTTATTTTTTGTTATATATGGGTAAAAATCCACATGCTCATGATACATTATTTACCCATTGAATTAAAGTGTACCTACACTTTAACAATAATTGCAAACAAACGCATATGCATGTATGTATACAGTTTAAAGTGGGAAATCTTTCTGTTGTTCGCATGAAATTACTAATACATTTGATCTGAATCATGTTATATTAAATTGATAACTTAAGACATACAATCCTTTTCCTCAGTGTGGCTTCTCGTGGGGTCATGGTAGGTAGTGAATCACGTGAATATGTATACATGCACGTGCATATATATATATATATATATATATATATATATATATATATATACACGCACGGGTAATGATTTTAAAACGTTTTGAGCTGTTTTATAACATTCTGCGGTATCCCAAACGCATTGCGTTGTTTTGTAAAAATGGGGGTTATTCAGTTTTACTCAATTGAAGTATGTTCATGCGTGTATGGACAGATTTCCGTGTATAGGAGAATGCATATGGAAATAAAAATGTGTAAACAAAATTAAACAAAATTAAACAAAATTAAACAAAATTAAACAAAATTAAACAAAATTAAACAAAATTAAACAAAATTAAACAAAATTATACAAAGATTAAATGGGGAGAATTATAAAAACAGAGATAGGGAAAAAAAAAAAAAAATTATAAACATTTATGAATACATAAAAAGAAATTCTGTGAATACTTAAAATACTAGTCATCTTTTAAATATGAAAACTTTTTCGTTGAGTACTTTTTTATGAGAACATTTATAGACTGACTTAATTTTCTTTCATCAAAAGATTTGCAAAAACGGGTATGCGCATTTTTTTTCTAAATAAATTCTCAAAAAAAATAAAAAAAAAAAAACAAAAACAAAAACAAAAATTCTCAGCACTACAAATTATCTAACGATATGTCCACAAAAAATTATATTAGCAAGTCACACCTTAATTTATGATTATTCTAATGAATGCACAATGAATGTTAAAATGGGGGAAGGTAATCTGAGTCATCGACAACTATTCTATATAAAAAGGAATTGTAATTTGTATAGTTTTGTATGTTTTTGATTAAAATTTGTCCATGCATCCTATTGCAAGCCAAGAGATAATTCTCACTTTTTAACCAAGTTGAAACAATAATATATTTATTTAAATTATTTAAATTATTTTTTCTTTTAACTATTTTGGTGTATAAATAACCAGGTTGCTTTTGATAAAATCTACACAGGTCTTTAAGTTTTTCTTCAAATACATTTCCATGATTTTCATTAACTTCTAGAAATGTTAAATAAGCATATTTATTTTGCTTGAATATGGGAAAAAACTCATATACTGTATCTATATCAGGATTTGCAAAACTGTAGGTAAAGGCACCACCAATAATGAAACACACTAGTCTGTTATATGTACGTATTCGAAAGGCATTATCAAATATTTTCCCTATCATTTTTTTAATTGTTGCATATTTTTGTGCGTAAGAAATGTTTCGTCTAATGGATTTTTTACTACGAGTCAAGTTCCTCTTTTTTTTTTTCCCCTCCTTTAATACTGTTCAATTTTGTTTTCTTTATAATTTTTAACACTTACTCCATTTAATGTTATTTCCTTTTTGATTTATTTTATATTTTTATTTTTTTATAATATAGTCTCTATTATCATGAGCTTAGACGGTAAGACAATAAGGTAAGTTTTTTTTTTTTTTTTTCTTTTTTAAACTACCTATGCTCTCATTTGATAGTTTCTCCTTTTTTTTATTTCCTTGTAAAATCGACTGTAATTTGTAATGATCCCTATTATAACAATATCAACAATCCGATAGATGTTGTAGTGTACCCAAGTATTCATATGTCTGAAGTTTTTTTATGTATATTTATGCATACGTTTATTTATACATGCATAAACCTACGTAAATGCGCAAATGCCTTTTTTTGAATAAACTGCTATATATATAGGGCACGGAGAAAAGAAAAAAAAGAAAAAAAAGTGTTATATCAGGCTAAATGGTAAAATAAAACTTCACATTTTTGGATCTCAGGGAATGAAAATACACAAAATAAAAGGAGTAAAATGTACCAATAATATAAAAAATGTCATCTATGTGTAATTCTGATTTCACGCTTTTTTTTATTTTTATAGTTTAATATGAATCCATATATAACATATTCGTGGTAAAAAAATATTCCAAAAGATGACAAAACTTCAGATTTATAACTACCAGCTTTTAACGACACTTGATTGAAAAAAATACAGAAAAGTGAAAAAAAAAAAAAAAAAAAAAAAAAGCGGAACTTTTCTAATGGTACTGTAATACATATATTGTGTCATATACATGTTTTTTAAAATTTATTTTGCCTTTTCCCTCTTACTTTTCCATTTTTGTTTTTCCCATTTTCAATTTTACTTTTGATTGCATTCAAGAAAAAAAAAAAAACAATTTTGAATTTTTTTTTTTTTTTTTTTTTTTTTTTTTCCTATTCAAACCAGTCCCAATACATTTTCTTTCCACTATACCATTTTCTTCCCATGTAGTGTATAAAATAGGGAATTAATTTTTTAAACATCCTTTAAAGCACAATTTTGAAAAGCACCATTTATGGCATCTTTTAAGTTATAACCTAGTCTCTTTTCATTATTTTTGTAGCACACATTTACACAGCCTGTTTTGAAATACAAGGGAACTACACTGTAACAAAATAAAGCCGAAATATATACAGTAAAAAGAGCAAAAACAGTAAAAACAGCAAGATCAAAGTTTGTGCGAATATATACATAGTTTTGAGAACAAATTTTACAAGTTAAATGACGGAGAACAAGGAAAATGATTACAAGTAAGGGGAACAGAAAAAATGGGAGAAAAAAGACATAACTGTATACAACGTATGAATAACTTACGTATGTACAGATATATAAATCTGTACATGTAATACAGCAAATGCTCATGTATACATATAACACTAATGCATCTCTCTTCCCCCCCAAAACAGAATTTAGTTTTCTCAGTAGAAACGATACATTCAAAAGGATTTTATTGAACAAGATAAAAAATAAATGCTTTTGCTTTAATTATATCAGAGAGTTCACGACTCAGAGTACCGACGAAATGTGAGTTCACAAAGGTGATATATATATATATATTTTCCCATACATGCGCAGATGCGTGCGCACATATATATATCAAGAAAAATATACACTGCCTGTACTTTTAGGAACATTCAATTTTTCATACCCTATATAATTCCATAAACAGTTAACATCTTTTTTTTTTTTTTTTTCTCTCCATTTCCTAGTGACGTAACTTTTATAAATCAGGACAATTATGAAAAAACAGTTAAAGCTAAAGTTGGGGATAGCATATTAAAAGTTGCTCATGAAAATAGCATAAATATAGAAGGTATAGTTGGCATGCCAAATCAGCACTTAACAATTTCACTATTTCACAAGTAAATGTATATTTATCTTGTGCTAAATAACCACAATTTTATTCTTTCCTTTTCTTCTCGCTTCTTTTATTTTATTTATATTCATTTATGTTTTTATAGGGGCATGTGACGGTTTTTGTGCTTGTTCCACCTGTCATGTGATAATTGATGAAAAGTATTACGACCTTTTGCCTGAAGCCCAAGATAATGAAATTGACATGTTAGAGCTAGCACCATGTATAACCGAAACGTAATGAAGATTGAGTGTTGACACAAATGTCTGTGTACTTGTACCATATGCTCACATAGATATGCAAATATGTATATATATAAAATATATGCACATGTTCATAGCGCGTTATTTTTCCTTTTACTGAGGAGGGGGGGGGGGGGGGGGGGGGGAAGTGGGTATACACACACAAACCTTACACTTATCAAAAAGTCAAGGCAATAAAAAAAAATATATATATTTGTTATGTTTTTCTACCCATTTTTCCATTTATAGTTCTAGATTAGGATGTCAGGTGAAACTAAAAAAGGAGCTAGATGGAATAAAAATTAAATTACCTCCCATGACAAGAAATTTTTATGTAGATGGTTATGTCCCCACTCCCCATTAATTTTGTTTTTTCCTTAAACTTTTAAAAAAAATAATTGTCTTCTTTGTTATTAAATTTGTTTGAAAAGGAAAAAGTGGTATACTTGATCCTAAATTTATACATTTGTATATGCACTTATATATACGCATATGTGTGCTTAAATATTTTTTACTTTTTTATATTATTTTTTTTTTTTTTTTTTTTTTTTTTTTTGTTTAAAACCTCCGTTTAGCCTGAATTTTGCCATTCATGCAAAGATATATAAAATAAATAAAACAATACGAAACAAACTAGATAATTGGTATAGTATTTTTTTTTTAAAAAAAAAAAAAAAAAAAAAAAAAAAAAACGCATAGAGTATGATTAAGTCACTTGTCTCCTCTAAACGTACCTCATTCTGTACTAATTCAATTTTCCTACACTGCCTTGCTCCTTCATCTTAAGTATTTCTTCAAATTAAATTTCCTTTATCGTGATCACATCATTTTTATGAGAAGAAAGGGAAAATAATATGAGGTTTTTTTTTTTTTTTATTTTTAATGAAAAAAGCCGTGCATTTTGAATTGTTATATAACATAGCACGAGATTAAAAATGGAGCTGTGTCAAACTGCGTTATGCTAGGTGCAGTATTGTAGAAAAATTAAAATCCAACTTGTAATTTTCTGCTTTTTTCTCATTATATGTTTACCTTTTTTCTTCCGTAAAGCGTTTTTGCTGTTCGTCAAGCTGTTTGTGTGCAGAAAAGGGAATAAGTATGTGACAACTTGTACACAAGTACGTATATATGCATATATATAAACGTGAATAAATGTGCTAGTTTATCGTGTATATAGACATTATTATATATTTCTAAAATAAATTTAGGCACATCAAACACATACGTCACGAATTCTTGAAAATGCCACGTCCATTTGTTCTTCGCCCGTTAGATCTCGAATGTCCGAGTTATCCAACCTGTCCGTAGTGTTATTCTTGAGTGGAAGGTGTTGAAAAAGAAATGGAAATATTTGTATACATATGAAAATAAAATAAACTGTATTTAATCGAAAATTATATTTAATCATGAGGAATGTGTTTGTGCCATATACATGATTGCAACATTCTGTTGTTCCTTTTAGCAATTATTATGAATATATATTTTTCTTTTCTTTTACTAATATTGATTTTTCGAAATCGTCTGAATATGTTCATAAAAGGAGGAAATAAAAAAAAAAAAAAAAAAAAAAAAAAAAATGGATGTGTACTACTGTAAAGGTCACTAGTTTTTTATTTTATATTCAATATAGGTGTAATATTATGTTAGTTTTATTCTTAATGCACAGGGAGGGTGGTGGTGGAGTAATAAAATAATTTAAGAATAAATAATAACAATATATAAATAATGTAACCATCATCTATTCTACTAATAATGATATATGGAACAGGCTCAGCGAAATTTCTTTCATTTCCATTTTCCTCATCCTGAATTAAATAAGACAAGTCCTCGTAATCCTTAGAATTAGGGAATTTTATTTCAAGATCGAGAGCATTGCCCTGTTCATGTTCTGCAAAAATTATAATAAGAAAAAGGTGTTCTCATATCGATGTAGCAACGTGAGTATTATACATGTATATATCGAGCATAGACCAATGTCTGCACAAAAATGTGAATATCACATAATTGTCCCTTTTAAGCACAACCACGTGAATGTATCAAATATAACCTGACTTATGTGCATCCTTTTCATCACGTATATCATACAAAATATTTTCCAGTTCGGCTAAAATAAATTTAGAATTGTTATATATATTTGTTAACTTATCATGGGAGCATAAGACACTAGAACAGTTATGCAAACTATTCCTATCATAGATATTTGTCGTAAAACATTTTATATTTGATAAGAGGTAGGAAATAATAAGCAGGGACACGTGGAATATTCTATACATTCTGACATGAAAATAAATAAAATAAAATAAAAGGTGTGAACAAAATGCAAATTTTGCTGAGAAAAGGAAAATAATCATTAAATGTTCTAATGCCTGAACCTATGCATATATGTACGTCTGTATATATAGCACAGTCATGTACAGGTACAACCCAGTTTTACAAAACAACAAAAATGACAAAGGATAAAGGAACAATGAAAATTAAACAAATAGTAAAGACACCGTCACGGGGTTAACAAAATTTATGAAAACTGTATTCAGTAAATATCGATTGGAAATGTCAATTAAGGGTATGTTGGGAGGATGTTAAAAGAGATTTTTCATTTTTATATATTTTGTCTGTACACATAATATAATGCATTACATATGCTTTTTTGGTGCATGCACAGAAAGCCATATAAAAATAGTTCAATAGAAGTGTCTACTTCCTACAGATGAAATGACATATGTTAAAAGTTTTAAGAAAAGAATTTTAATTTGTGTATCTACACATTTTTTTGTTACTTGTAAAAAAGGGAAAAAAAAAAAAAAAAAAAAAAAAAAGAGTTGTATCTTTTCATACATGCCTGTTTTATAAAACAATAAAAATGAAATATGTGTGAAAAAAGATTAACCTTTTCATTTTTATCACCTAATATTATGTTTCAGTAGTGGCATAACTGTATTATAGTTGTTAAATTAAAATGATGTCCTATAAGATGTCATTATGCTTTTTTATTCTATTTTACTTATTTATACTTTTTCAAAATAACCATAAAAAAGGGAAAATATATGATGCACCTTCATCAGTTTTGTAAAATTTTTAGAAGGTGAATGTTAGATTGGCGTATTCTTTTTTTTTATTTCTCTTTTTAATTTCAAGACTTGGTGGTAATAATTAATCTTAGGATTTACATAAATTCAAGTAAAGGGAAAAAAAAAAAAAAAAAAAAAAAAAAAACGAAATCCTTATAATGTCCCATGTAACATTACTTAAGGCTTTAAAAAAGGAATTCGTATTCCCTCATTATTGTAACATTAAATTTAGAACTCTAAAGTGCATATAATTTACACGTTTGAAAATTTTCTTTTTCACAGGGGGATGAGAGGAGTCATTCCCTGTAAACTTCTTTGCACCACTTAAAAAAGCATAACGAATTTTTGACCTGTACGTGTTAACTACTATCACTTCCTCGCTGCTTACCATGAAGCTGTAAAAAATAAATATTCAATTTCAATATGTGTTTTTCTCAAAATTGTTAATGTAACATGCGGAAATTTTTTTACACCAGTTTAACTGAAAAATACGCGATCATATAAAATTGTTTAAAGTATGCAAACTCTTTGAGAGCCTTATTTAATGGATACTATTGCAAAACAACGAAGATTTATTTTCTTCTTTTTTGATTTAATTCTGACAAGATCATTGTGCCCAAGTTAGGATTCGAAAAGGGGGAAAATGCGTTTTTTCTTTTTTTTTCTATTTTTTTTCTATTTTTTATCTATTTTTTTTTCTATTTTTTATCTATTTTTTATCTATTTTTTATCTATTTTTTATCTATTTTTTTTCTTTTTTTTTTTTTATTTTTTTTGACATGTTCTGCTAGCTTACCTAGCATAGTTTTCATAAAACTGCCTCCGTGATCCACACAACCTGAATAAACCTGAATATATCTGAATATACCTGAATAAACCTGAATAAACCTGAATAAACCTGAATAATTTATTTCTTTCCGCTTTTTCAAATCAATAATGGAAGCAAAGCCAAATGTGAACAAACAAAATGTAGTCATTTTAAAAAACATCTTAGACGCTAAGTTGTCAAAGGATAAGAATTATAATGAGAGAAGAATTAGGCACAATAAGCATTCATTAATTCTGAGCAAACAATTTCACGGAATAATTGGGGGAATTACTGTTGGTATTTTAGGGGTTCAAGGTATTTACGGTTTTTTGCTTTTTTCTATATTTACTATGATAGGAACTCTTATGACCTTTTCTCATATTCGAGCAGATTACAAATCATTTTTTATCAAAAAATCGGACATTTTTTGTCGTGACTTCTTTAGTGGATTGATAGTAAGACCTAATTAAAAACACATCCTACGAATTGTGTATTATGTCCATTTGTACATCATCTAGTATGTTCACACGCTGTTTTATATGTGGGTGTATACACCCATGTACAAATTATATAAATAGTTCAGTTTCATGCGAAATTTTTTTTTTTTTTTTTTTTTTTTTTTTTTCTTTTTCTTTTTTCCCATTCCACCTTTTTCCTATTTTTAGTCCTTTATTTTGTTTTGGACCCTATCGTACGACCTAATATATATTTTTTAACGTCCATCATTTTTAAAATATTTTGGACTTACCTAACTCTATGTGAAAAAAATTGAATTATAGTTATACATCGTTCCCATGATTATTTGCTTTCGCCGTTACCACGCTTATGTCCCATTTCCCAACTCACATATCTATGCCCTTGTGTATTGGCCAATTATAAATCTGACATACCTATAGGAGTAGCATGGATTTAGACTTAAAGTTACATGAAAATTATTTTTTAAACATAATAAAAGAAAAGCTAGGAAATAAATATAGTGAAAATGATGTATGTAGTAAATATGAATCCATATTTCTTAGTGGTATTTTTTGGGTTCTTAGCGGACTTTGTATGGTGAAGAAAAACAGAATGAATTTAGACGAAGTACTAGACAAGAAAATAATAGACACTTTATACAAATTAGTAATGCAGAGTTTACAAAAAAAAAAAATTAAAGAAAAATACATTTATAAGTTAAAAAAAGAAAAATATTTTTTATCTAATGAGGATATTAATAGAATAGTTGCTACATCTAAATGTGACCCTAGCTATTTTAATAAAAATGTTTCTGCAATGGGAAATAGTAGTGGTGGTAAAATCGAGTCAGAAAATGAGAGAATTTCTTCCAACTTTTTTATTGAAAAAAGTGTTCATCAAATCGAAAATATTAATTCTCGAAATGAAAGCAAAACAGATAATTGCAATGTTGTAATGAGTGCGGTAACTGAAAAGATGAGTAACCAAAAAATCTCATCTGTCGAAAGCATGAATAGTAAACAGACGGATAGTACACAATATGTAAATAAAATGGAAGGCAAAGAACTTAAAATAATTATGAATATGACATCTTTAGGTAAAAGAAAAAAAAAGAAATTCCATTTGACAGGATTTAGCCCCTGTGGCAAAATATGTTTATATGAAGCAAATGTAATATCAACATTAAGTGCTATTCAAATTTTATTCTTATTAAATAAAATAAGTGAAGATGATATAAGCACGAATATACTATTAGAAATATATAATTTTTTATATTTTATTCTTGATGAAGAGAAAGGATTTTATCATTTTTCTTTAAACAGTACACGATTTCATTATGATGGCGATATGCGTTTTATGTTTTGCTCTCTCTCAGTCTTATATTTTATAAATCTTTTATTAAAGAAAAGAAATATATATATGAACTTATATAACAATAACGAGAAATGTGCGCAGTGGATATTAACATGTTTTAATCTAGATGGAGGATTTTCTAATTTCCCAGGTTCAGAATCACATGCAGGTACTACATTTTGTGCCATCAATTCCTTAAACATGCTAAGAGCTAACAGTAATGGGAACTACATATTGGATAATGTCATAGTACGGGAAAAATTAATTAGGTATTTAAAACTATAGTTACTCGTTAAAATTCATCTTAAATGTGCATACAAATATATGAGCACACTCGTACGCACGTGTTACATGCATGCACATCTGTCAATGATGAAATTCGATCTACTTCAGCAAAGTAGAACCTATACATCTGCATCGATTGCAGCAGCCGTTTTTTGGCAATATCTACGCAAGACGTGCCTGTGCATGTCTGCACAAATATATACACATACATACGTACATATATATATATATATATATATATATATATATAAGCATATATTTGTATGTATGGTTACCCCCCCCCCCCCCCCCCCTGATTAGATGGCTTTGTGATAGGTGTGACAACTTGGGCATTAATGGGCGAGTAGGAAAAGAGCACGATGTATGTTACGCTTGGTGGGTTTTGGGAAGTTTAGTTTCATTGAAAACAAATTTAAGTGAATTATTCAATGTGAATATATTAATAAATTTTATTTTGAAGTGCCAAGATCAACAGAAAGGTGGTTTTTCCAGAACTGAAAATAAGGATAATTATTTTAAAAAAAAACACTTCTTTAATATTTATGAAAAAGAAATGTTATCTCACCAAGAAGTGGATCTGTTTCACACATTTTTTGCCTTGTGTGCTTTGTCTCTTATATATCAAAATATTTGTTATTATAAAAAGAAGCAAAGAAAAAAATATAAATTCTTTGATGATGTTGTAATCCCGATGCATTTAGAATCTATTCTGAATGATATGGCAAAAATACACCAGTTTCTAGCAATGCCTATTCATATGACATACTAGCATTTTTTTTTTTTTTTTTTTTTTTTCCTTAAACGGTTACATGTTCCAATAAGAACGTAAAAAAAGTGTCAATTTTTTTTCTTTTGCTTCGTCGTCGTCGTCTTCTTCCACAGCTACATGTGTATATACGTATATGTATGGGTATATGTATATATATATATATATATATATATATATATATATATATTTTTTCTCTTTTTTTGTCACAACTGACATTGTCAGAAACGCTTTTGAATATATGGAATCCCTTGAATGCCATTTTCTTATTTTGACATACGTTCCAAGTTTTTTCTTTTATCACATGACATGGCATGACTACATTTTTGATGGATGTACAACCGCCTTTCCATTGCTGTGTGAGTAGGTCAAATATTTTCTTAAAAAAAAAAAATATGCATAATTTATTTCCTGATTGAGAATTCCAAAAATTCATAACTTGTGAATTCATGCTAATGATTGGGCAAAAAAAAAAAAAAAAAAAAAAAAAAAAACTAATTAAAAAATGGAGAAACAAACTTATGCATGCCTGTGTTCCAAACGTACATATATATACACATACATACTTAATATGAAAACATGTATAAAGGCGTGAATAAATACGCTTGCACACATTTTAAAAGCAGCTTCCATTGGCTTTGGCTTGCGAAGATTAGTACGCGCCGTACTCATTTTCTTTTTTCGATTACCCAACTTTGTCAAAACACACGTTACATATTTTCAAATAAATATAGGAAAATATATTATAGGCCAAAATAAGAAAAAAGGCCAAATCCTTAAAAAGGATCGATTTATAGAACGCTACTGATTGAAACCAGTTTAGAAGTGAACTTGTAAATATATATTTATTTGATTTCATACATGCCCATTCTGAAAATTTGAAGAAATACGCATTTTTTCACACTTAACATGATATATGGAATTGTAACTAGTAAATATGTACCACTACTCAAGATTGGTTAAGTTAAAACGATTTATGTTTGGTCATTCGAAAAAAAGGTTTTGTTAATTCGTTACGTAACATTTTTTTTTACGCATTTTGCTCCTTCCCAATTTTTAGTTGTACTGTGTGCATAAAAATGTGCAGATGCACACATAGACATAGATATACATACACAGATATAGATACATAAACATATATACACATGTCCAGAATTTATGCGGTCTGATAGTATAACCCAAATGATTACTGGTAAAAGAAGATTTCATAATTATTTTGCAAAACATGCTTTAAGACAGGCTTTAAAAAAAGAAGAGATAAATTTTCACGAGTTGCACAAAAGAGTATACGTTGGCGATTCTTCCCTCAACGGAGTTGGTATATTCTCGTGTGACAAAATAAAAAAAAATGAAATTATTGAAATATGTCCAACAATGAAAATTAAAAATGAAGATATTCCAGAAAAGTTAATTAATTATTTATTTGAGGGAAAACAAGAAAACATGAACACACAAATAGTGGAAATCCTTATCAAAAAAAAAGACGCTGTGAATTATAAGCTCTTTCCCTTGGGTTACGGGATTTTATACAACCACTCTGATTCCCCCAATGCCTCTGTTCATATAATACCAATGCAGGAGCACAGGGACGAGAAAAATGTTACACACCTTTTATTAGCGCTATTACTGCTACTACTATTGTTGCTACTGCTATTATTGCTACTGCTATTATTGCTACTGCTGTTATTGCTACTGCTATTATTGCTACTACTATTATTGCCATTCCTGTTACTATTTTTACTTGTAGTTAATATCCGTATTGCTGCTTCTGTAGACCATTTCTCACGCCTTCTCCCCCTGTGTGCTGTATTTATCTTTTCCAAACTTTTCTACATTTCCATATCACCTGTATTGTCAGCTACACATATTTTACTTCTCTCTCTTCTATCCCCTCTACAGGAGACAATTGCGTCCAACCAAATAATAATGTTGCGCGCTCAAAGGGATATACAAGAAAACGAGGAAATTTTCATTTCTTATGGACATTCTTGGTGGAGCGTAAGTTAAGGATGAGGCGAAATGACATATTCGTCAAAAAAATGAGAAAAAAAAAAAAAAAAAGTTCGGAATTTTAAAAATTAAGAGATTAGAGCGCTCTTCACGGGATGTAAGGGGGAGCGCACGTGAACTCGCGTGTTTATATATACATATATATGCCCAAAAACACAAGCAAATTTTTTGTTAAAAAAAAAAAAAAAGTTTGTAGACATACTATTACGTGACATATTTTGCATGCATTATAAATGAAAATTTATAATTAAAAGGTATAAATTAAGTTTGTAAATGAAAAAAAAAAATGAGGCGGGGATATACAAAACAACTTCGCGAAATGTTCATGTGATGTGAAAAAAAACGAAAAGTATAAAGTGTTTTCCTTTTCTTGTTGATTTTCAAATATGTTGTTTTTCTTCGTCGACATATTTATGGGCTACATATATGTAGGTACATGTTAAGACCCAAAAATAAAATTCAAAAATGATACAAAAATATGCTATTCGTAATTTACATAAATTGGTGTGACATGTTTATGCGTAGGAGGTTGGAAAACTTGTACATCCAAATAACTGCTCATCGTTTTCGTTCATTTTTCTGTCCATTTTTCTGCCCACTTTTCTGTCCATTTTTTTGCCCATTTTTGTGCGACAGGATAGGGGCTGGGCACCCTTAGGACGAGAAGACACAATGAAGAAAATTTTTCATCCATCCAAACAAAAAAAATAATAACTATCTTAAAAATATGTACTTCGTCAGGGATAGTATTAAAATAGAAACAGTGATGAACACAATATTTATTGAAGTTAAAAAAAAGTAATTCGGTATAAAATAGTCATACAGCTGAAAGAGGTTAAAAAGGGAAGGAAATGAATATATGTGTAAAGCTTATGCGTGTACTAATACACGAGGAATGCGGAGTGGGGTGGGGGAAGGGAGAGAGAGAGAAGCATGGGATAAAGATAAATACAATGTGTTATTAGGATCCATTCAAACATGTGTAGAAACATATTTTCTTATCCGTTCTACACATGTTTTCTCATGATGATGTGCATACCATGAGGTGCGTCTCCAAGTAAAAAGCCACCCATAAGGAAGTAAGACACTTACAGCAGAATATGAAAATGATCCTAACAAAACCGGGGGAAAAAAAATGTAATGATGAGTAGTAATTAGTAGTAATAGCAGGATCACGGTGGTGCATCCAATTTTGGCATGATAAGGGGACCATATGCTGAGATGCCGTTTCAGTTGCTTAACCGCGTAGGTACACTTTTTTTTTTTTTTTTTTTTTTTTTTTTTTGGTGTATATATTTTCTAGACTTACTTGAAACAAAAATTAATCAAGGGGTAAAAATAAAAATTATACAAATCGACTTGCTTAAAGGACGTCAACAATTTTATCTTTCTTAAATTGAACACATAAAGAATGAAAATAAGAGAAAATAACATAGGGAAAAATACATGAATAAATATATATAGCTGACTTATAGGCCAAACATATTTGTTAAAACCAATATATGCCGCAGTTAATGGAAAACTATTTAACACAAATTTATGTCCTGTTAAAAAAAAGGAATATTTAATAAGTATTGCTGATAATAAATAAAAATCTGTATCATTAATATTGAAAAATGGGATACTTTTTACTAACTTGCAAATTTGAATTTGAGTAGCATCTACTTCGTTAAGTATGCTGCATTTATCCAATAACATACACTTTTGTTGCACAAGTTTCAAATCAAATTTTTCTTTTACCCATGTATTTACATGATTATGATGATTATTTTCAGTATTACATTCTTGTTCTTCATCTATCTGGGTAAACATATCTATATGTCTATTCTCTTCAATCCATTTGATTTTAATATTATTCATGTCTATATCTCCTTCTGATTTATTCGTGCTCACAAAAAAAAAATAAAAAAATATTAATGTTGTATATAAAAAGAACACTACACTTAAATTTGTATTACTATACACAATAAACGATAATTGAAGTGAGGAAAACAAGATGAGGAAGAGACTGATAGAGACTTCATAAATTTTTTGAAAAGATTCTGATACTTTTTCTTTTTTTATTATACTACTTTTGCTTAATATAACGAAAAAATACAGTAAAAAAGTTATGAGATAAATAACTGGGGGATTCCAAAATATTACTTGTTCATTTACTTTAAGGAAATATAAAATTACAAGTGCGAATTGTAGGGTCCACCCTACTAACATTATTAATTTTATTTTTCTTCTCAACTTTTTATTTAAACCACAATTTATTAATAATATGCTTAATAAATAACACGAAATTGGCAATGCCATTTCCAGAATGGATTTTTTTAAGTAAAATTTTTCTACATCGTGCTCGAAATAACGAGGGGTATAACTCAATGCTCCATTCAAAACCAAAACGATGAGAAGTATCATTCCTCTGCAGAGATTCAAAAGGTGGGAAAGAGTGTATTCGGATCATTTGTCATAAGATGGTATATAAAACAAACATTAGCACGGGCTATATAGGATAAGGAAAGAGGAATATATCACAAATTGGAGAAGATTATTACAGGCTTGGCTATGTAACACACACGGACTCAATTATTGTATGGACGTATTCGTGCGGAGGATGCATGTAAATGGGAGGGAATATACTAGGAAAACATATGCGAACATATGCACATCTGGGTAGAAGCAAATCTGCAGAGAAGCACAACCACACGAAGAGGTATACACAAGTGCCTACCTTAAAAGGTGCAAGGAAAAGAAGGAATCATTCTTGAACAGAGATAAGAAGACGTAGGAAATTAAAATGAAGTGGATGTAATGTTTCTCATTAAAGACATAATAGTATGACAATTCAAATGAGCTCCAAATAACAACAAATAAAAAGTAGTTGTTATTGACTAATATTTTAAATAATTTTTTCATTTTCGTGAAAAAGAATTTTATAATATTAAAAACATGTGGAAGTACTATATTTGTACTTTTGGTAATACTTCTCTTAATTATTACAAACAAGCATTTAAAAAATCTGCAGAATTTTCGAAAAAAGGTGTCCTTATCTTGACATTTGTTGTTAAAATTTTTATTTTTCTCATTATAAATGGATTCCGTATGTTGAGGATGTATAGCTGTATATTTCTTTAGGTTTTCATCTGGAAGATTACTATATATTAAAAATACTTTTATATACATAATAAATCTGAAAAAATCTGTATACTTATTTCGAGAAAACAAATGTCCAACAACTAACAATGCAAACAAAAATGTAAACGTAAGTAAGTTTAAGGACTTGTTATAAATGTCTAGTGGAATTAGCATAATGAACAAAATTGTTAAGAAGAGTATAAATGTGCCTACTGAAATTGATTTGTAATAATAATTTAATTTCGAATTGAGATAGAATATTTTAAATATAATAAGAAAAAATATGTTTATTATAAAACATAACAGAATAAATGATGGTTTCTTAACAGCAAAGATAAAATAAAAATATTTCTGTGTAATTTCCATTAAATTTCTCATTTTATTTATATATTTTATATATTCTTCCTTTTCACTTGTTAAGATTTCTTCAATATCCATAAACTTTTTATATGGTTGAAAAAATTTCTCCTTTTCATCTTCAATATTCTTCCAATTATTTTTAATGAAAAAATAATCTTCATTTTTTACTATACTATAATGTTTTTCATACTCATTTAGGTACCTATTTATTTGCCATAAATTGGCATAATTAAGTTCAGCAATGTAGTGTAAATTTAACAATTCATAGTATAAGTCTGAGTGCTTACTATCATCCTGAATTTCATTCAATTTTATGTTTTCTACATCATTTTCAGAAATGTTATTCCCATTAATTTTATTTTCACTATTTTCACTATTTTCACTGTTTTCATTTTTTTCATTTGTATTATGCTGAGCCTCTGCAGTTTTACCATTACTTTTATTACTCACCTTTCCATATGCATTTGGAATAAGGTCCATCATAACATTTCCTACGTTACAAAACGGGATAGTAGATCCAATTAAAAATGACAAAGTACTTACTAAATTTATCTGTCTTGTGTTTCTTACATTATAGAAGTAGGTTCTATCGTTATTAGAATTATTTAAAGCAGAATGATAATTTTTATAACTTTCAATCAAACATGCATTATCCTCCTCTGGAATACATGCACTAGATGCATATGGTGAATCTGAATTGTTTCTATCTAGCCACTCCTTATCATATAAAATAAAATTATTGTTGTTAATATTTTTATCTAATTGCATAAATGTTAAGGGGGAATACATAAATAAAGCAGTATCAGTTTCATCTGCACTTAATCCACTGTGATCTCCTGTTTGTGTTTGACCATGGTCACCCATAAGAACAAATAAAGTTTTCTTCTTCTCCTCTGATTTTACCTTCTCTACTATGTCGTTTATAAAAATATCGAAATCTTTTAACACACTTTTCATCTTTCTAGAATTAGGTTTTCCAACATGTCCTACATGATCAACACCCAAAACATGAACATAGAGGAGGTCCCAATAATCTAATGGATATTCTTCATAAAAATGATTCTTGGATTTGATGTCTAATGAATATAAATCAAAAATATTAAAACTTTCATATACTAATTTTCTACTTACATTTTTTGTTAATTTTACCATTGTATCATCCCCAATAGCAGTAACCGTTTTTCTATTATAATAAAGTTGTTCTATAAAATTATCTTGTATATCATCAGTTGGGGAAAAATTTTCATTTATATCTAAAAAATTTGGTATAGATCCAATTACCATAGATTTTAGTCTTGAAGTTGTAACTGTAGGTGCATCTGCTTGAAATCGAAATAACCTTGTTTTTTCTTTTTCACTTTTTAATATATTGTGCAAATTCATCATATTATTTTGAAAAAATCTCACATTATTTGTTGTATTCTTCTCTTCATCTATAGACTCATCATCTTCTTTTTCTTTTTTATAATTTGGATCGTATAGTGTAAAATCAAATCTCAGCGCGTCTATAAGTAATATAACTATTCTATCATACGGAGCATTCATAATGGAATGCACATTCTTTTTTTCTTTTAGCGATTCTATATATTCATCTCCAAATACATTTCTACTAAATGTTTCCAAATCCTCAGATTTGTTAGTAATTCCTTCTCTTGGAAATAAGAACCCATTAATAAATGAAAAGAATATCAATGCATTTAGTAGAAAAATCAAGAAAAATATTAGTACATGGTTGGAGAGCAAATTATCAAAGAGGTTGTATTTCACTTTAGCCTTCATTCTTGCCTTCACTCTTGCCTTCACTAATTTATGTTTTCTCTCGCCTATAATTGCTGATGAATTAGGAGTTTATTTTTCAGCCCCCACGTATAGATAAATATGAAAGTGTCTACTGGTGTGTCTACCAATGTGTCTATTAATGCTTCTGTTAGTACTTCTATTACTACTTCTATTAGTGCTTCTACTAGTGCTTATGGTTTTGTACGTGTATTCACACGTGGAAATATTCATGGGGGAGAAAACAATGTTATACGGCAAAAACAAATACAAATGGGATAAGGAACAACGGTATAAACAAAGAAAGTAAATATTACAATGGTCAGTGCACTTTTAAAAAGGCATATCCAAACCTAGGCAGGATATAACAGTAATGTGTGGTTACCCCTCATATGTAAGCGTACCCTATACATATACACATATTCATGCACAAGTTGTTTTATAAATGAAATGCTTAATTGTTGCTTATGATAAAAAATTAAAAAGGAAAAATGTGTCAAATGATCCGGGCATAAAATGGAGAAACAAGCTAACAAAATATACACACACACACATACATGCATCCATATATACATAATGGATAATGCGACTGCCCGTTCATTCAAAAAAGAGGATGAATATTTAGAAACTTTGTGTAAAAAAAAAAAAAAAAAAATGTATGGGTGTATATATACTGGTATAATAAAGTAACTCAGGGTGATCTAATAATGTACAAAAAAAAAAAAAAAAAAAAAAAAAAAAAAAAAAAAAAAAGAAACGTTTAGGTTTAGCATACTTTTGGAAAAAAAAAAATTTCTTATTTGCAAGAAGGAATGTCAATTGTTAAAATAGTAACTTTGCACAATATTTCGGGAGAAAAAAAAAAAAAATAAAATAAATGAGTAAACAAAACAAAACAAAATTTGCTAAATAAAATATACACAAAATAAAAAAAATTTGGAGACTATTCTCTTTGACGCTCCTTTTTTTTACATTTTTTTTTTTTCTTTTCTTACCTTTTATTTTCTTTTCTTACATCTTTTTTTCTTTTTTTACATTTGTTTTTCCTTTTTTACATTTTTTTTTTTTTTTTTTTTTTTTTTTTTTTTTTTTTTTTTTTTTTTTTTTTTTTTTTTTTTTTTTTTTTTTTTTTTTTTTTTTTTTTTTTGGTATAAATATTTCAAAATTTCCTAAGCACAATGCAATAATGGGGAAATAACATTATGTACATTTGATAATGTTTTTAATATCAGTGAAACATGTAAAAGCTGCTAAAGAGGCAAAACAAATAAAGCAAATAAAAAGAGCAAGGGAGCATATTTTATATTCTTGTTACTACCAAGTGTTCATGCGGTAAATTCTTATGCAGGTGTAAGGAATTCCATATTGTTGTGTAAGAATCTCGCTTTTTGAGACATTAGGAGTACTTTTAAAGGGGGCCATAAATTACATTAATCATTGCTAGTCATAAGTACATATGTGAATAGATATGTATGCTTACATAAAAAAAAAAATTATATATTACATACACAGGTGAAGTAATTACATAGTTTGCATACATATGAGCTGCATTCGTATTATACTTAGCATCGAAATAAGTTTGATCTTTCAGAGCCGTGTAAAATTAATGAAATGTGTAACAATTGGGAATTCAATGTAAAATTAACATTTTCTTATAAAAGCGTTGAAATACATAGTAGTTTTTAGAGGAACGAAAAGGAGAGGGAAAAAGGAGAAAAAAAAAAAAAAAAAAAAAAAAAAGAATGTTCAAATTTCAGCAGATAAAAATAGGATGGAACGAATTAGGTAGGACAGCAAAAATAGTGTATGGATGCTTCTTTTTCAACATCATTTTACTTATGGGAATAACCACTAGAAGACATATGGCTAATAAAAAGGCAATTGATTTCTACACAAACAAAATAATAGATTCCAAAAATGAAAATAGTGATTGGAGTTGTTACAACTCAGCAAAGCAGTATCATTATGAGTGTGCATACTTGAATGAGTAAGCAGACATAATAGCAAAAAAAAAAAAAATAAAATAAAAATAAGAAAAAATATGAAAAAATAAGGAAAAAAAAAAAAAAAGAAAAGGAAAAAGAGTTTTATACAGCATACACGTTCATACACATTCATGTACCCAATGCATCCAAGAGTTCAGCATTCATCCATTGTGTAGTGTAGGTTTCATATATGCAATACGTATATAAATGCACTTATATTATGTTCTTATTTGTGTAAGCATAATGGAATTTTTTTGTGATTAGATCATCTAAAAAAAAAAAAAAATTCCAAAAGGTTATTTTATTGTTATATATACTACATATGACTATTATGAAGAACGCCATTCAAAAGAAATCGCCTTGGTTAGTACAAGGTATATGTTACACACAAAACGTGATTATTTTATTTTATTATTTTATTTTATTTTATTTTATTTTTTTTTTTCCTTAATCTCACGCATTTAAGAGAAGAGACGCAGCAGTTAGATATATGTCAGAAACTAACTATTGAATTGGAAAATTGTCGAAATGATTTGCACAAGTTTATAAATGAAGATACACCACCTGCTATGAAAAAAATTCCATACATTATAAACAAGCCCAAGTGGTTGAGAGACCCAATTTGGTTTCAAAATATGCAAAATCAAAAAAAATGAATGATTTTAAAATTATAAAATAGAGATGTTTGCAATTTGGTAAAAAATGTTCCCAATTCTATAAACCACAATACTATTGTTTATAGAGTGTTTCACACACATCACATTGTACACTTTATTATAAAAAAAAAAAAAAGAGTATATTGCTTTTTCTTTGTTGCTTTTCTTTACTTTGTTTTTACAGTTTTGCTTTACCGTATCGTATCAGAGATTTGGTTCGCCACTTCATGTCAGATATTTTATTCATCACTTCTTATCAGAGATTTTATTCCCCATTTCGTTTTATAGTTTGACTTTTTTTTTTTTTTTTTTCCTTTATTCATTTAACCATCCTCTTTTCTTATATGAATAAAATGTTTTAACTAAAGAATTCTCCTTATTGTGTATTTTAAAAAGTAGTAAAAATACACCTATTTCTTTCTTTATATTTTGTACAAAATTGTGGAGCACACATATATAATGTGAAGTATTTTTTTTTTTTCTCTACCATTTTTAAATCGTGTCGATTTTTATATTCTGAGACTCCATTTAATGGTTTTTTATTTTTCCATATATTATTCATTGCCTTTCGGATGCCAATGAATACACATAGTGGATAACAAATTAAATGTTTTTTTTTTTTTATATAATGTTCTTCTAATGGCGTACTTATTTTATTTTTTTTTTCTGATTCATCCCTTAAGAGGCACATATTTACTGAAACATGTGTGTATGTATGTAAATACATAGTATGAGATAGATAAAATAAAAATGTATTCATTAATCGCGATAAACCTTTGCAAATAATGTATTCATATTCGTTCTATACTTGTATATTTATAAAGTAAAATTATGTTCCGTGCACGGCGGTTTTTAGTTGGTGAAATGAGTTTGTTTAAGTGTATAAATGTATAAAAACTGTATACATACATACGTATATATATATATATATATATACCTGGTGAAATATTTTCCAATTTGTCGGTTCATTATACCATAGGGTTTTTATATTTTATTTCTTTCCTAAGTATACTTAATTTGCTTTTACATTTTATACACTTTATGAATTAAGCTTTTGCTTTGAACCTTGTATTTTATTTTGAGCCTTGTTTTATTTTTTATTTTTAAATTAAACATAAGGACAATAAAAAAAATTAACACTGATTACTTCGAATGTAACATGAAAATTTGGTACCCTTTTAAATGAAGAAATAATTCCGAACTTTTTTTTTTTTTTTCTTTCTTTTTAAAACACGTTAAAAAAGTTACATTTTTTTTTTTTTTTTTTATCTATCTTTATCTCTCAGTTGCAAGTTTGTTGTAATTTTGAAAAAGAGTGAAAAGTCCCTTTTTCTTTTTTTCCCTTTTTTTTTTTTTTTACGTGCCATATAGGCATTTAGCAAAGATATATAAGGTATACACATGAATGCATGTAAATTTTCATTCATCACAAGAGATTACATTTACACAAAATAAGGAGAACAGAAGAAAATTTTTCATTGTTTTAATGAAATGTACAATAAAAAAAAAAAAAAGAATAAAAGAATAAACAAATTAAACAAGAAGAAAAGTACAGCTTTAACTTACGATATATAAGTATCTCCTTCATTGTTATATTATTATAATATTCTGTTAACCAATAATTAAAGCTTAAAAGAAGGTACTCGTGGAAAGTAAGATAAATAAGAACTTGCTTTCTACAGGTGACATTACAACGAAAGTTTTGTAATTCCCCGTTTGTTACACACCTAGTAAGGAATAAACGTGTGGAAAGAAGAGCCAAGAAGATTTAAAAAAAAAAAAAAAAAAAAAAAAAAGAACAAACGAACGAACGAAATTGCAAAAGGGTCAAATACACAGAACAAGTACTAAAAAACTAACAGATGTACAGGAGGGAAAATTGCATAGATACACCAATGCTTGCGTATAAAATTCGAGGGAACTGAAAAATGAAAAAGGATGCAGATTTTAACGTGTTCTATGATGAGGAAAAGAAAAACCTTGTAGGGTTATTAGTTGAAAATAATTTTGATGAAATATATGAGCCGTTAACAACTGAGAGTCTGAGATTGTTTTTGCCGCTTAATGGAGTGTACCTAATTGATTATCAGTTACATTTTTTTAAGCAAAATAATATTAAAAAGATTTATATAATAGTAACTCATCATGAAAAAGAATTACTTCATTACATTGAAAAGTTTCAAAAAAGTAAAAAAAGATACCACGATTTAAATATAGAGATAATTAAATTGAGTAAAAAAGTAAAAACATTAGGAGATGCATTGAGAGATTTTAAGAAATGTGTAGAAATTTATCATGATGTATTATTGTTACTTTCTGATACAATTCCAATTGCAAATGTAAAAGAAATTATAAAAGCACATTTTACAAATAAGGAAAAGTGCAAAAATCAAATTATGACACTTTTCTTATCTCATTGTAGTGATGAATATAAATCACACAATGACGATTTTGTAATAGGATATGACAATTTTTCCTTCAAGCTTTTATTATTTGAATCATTAAAAAATAAAAATTATTTAATATTAAGTAGTGAAATATTTGATGAGGTAAAAAAAAACGATAAAGCAGTAGCAAGTGGAAAAGGAAAAGGAAAAAGTGGTGGATGTGATGGAAGAAAGGTAAATGAAATATCTTGTGTAGATAAATTAAATGAAAATAAAGAACACAAATTTCCATTGTCCAATTTTAATACATGTACTAACTCTATTATTATTTCGTATGATTTAGTAATACCAAACATTTTTATTATTACTCCTCAAGTTTTCAAATTATTTGATGATAATTTTGATTATCAGTGCATAAAAAAAGATTTTATATACAACATACTGAAACAAGAAATTAAAATAGAAGAAATTTATGTACATATTTTGAATAATGATTACAATTACACCGAATGTAATCAAATAATAACAACTTTAACAGATTTTAGAATATATTTTAAATTTTTTAAAACATTAATTGAAAGAAATATACATCCATTTCTAGCCAATTCTTCTCATTTATTACCAGATTTACCAAAGTTTACGTTCTCGGAACCAGGATTATACAAGGCAAAAAATGCCATTATTAATGATACCTGTAAATTATTAAAAATTGTACTAGTTGAAAATTATACAGAAATTTTAGAAAATACAATTATTGAAAATTCCATTATTTGTAAAAATTGCAAAATTGGAAAAAATGTAAAAATTGTAAATAGTATTATAGGAAAAAACTCTATAATTAAAGATAACGTAATTATACTCAGTTCATTTGTCAGTGAAAACAATATCATTAATCAAAATGTGCTTATTGATGAATGTTGTGTAATCGGGAAAAATATGAACATACCATTCGATACACAAATTAATAAACATACTAGGTTAAGTGTGTACAAACATATAAAGGAACAAATGAAATTGCACAAACAAAGCAAAAAGACGGAAGACAGTAGGCTTGAGAATGAGGAGGAAGGGAAGAAGAGTAAGGAAGATAATGAGGATAAGGATTTTATCACAAACGTAAACAAAGATGTGGGTATTATGAAACTTGAGCAATTCTCTAATGCAGAAATAAATGGAGAAAGCACACGGAATGAAAATGCGAACCAAGAGTGCTATCAGCCAACCTGTGCAGAAGTTGTTCAGGAGGAGATGAATGCCTCTAAAGAAGTAGATGAAATGAAGGTAGAAATGGGTTCTTCCAATGAAGTAGGAGAAATGAAGGAAAATGTGGATTCTTCAAAAGGAGGAGAAATGAAGGAAGATGTGGATGCTTCAAAAGGAGGAGAAATGACGGAGGGGACAAAAAAAGGAACCCACGAATGTGACATTTTTAATGCAGAATCATTTGATCTGAACAACTTCATCGTAAAAACCAAGTATTCAGAGGATCAGCTGAGGTTATTTTCGTTAATTGGGAACGCCGAAAATTATGAAAAAATGAAAATGGCTAATTTTTCAGAATATGATTCAGAAGAAGAAAGTGACGAAGATTCTGTTTATTCGACATCTAAAAATTACAGCACTTTGAGTGACACAAATGTAAGTAACAAAGAAGATGAATTGAATAAAGATAACTCTACAAGCATTAGTGATATTAATAATCACTTTGAAAATATAAATGTGGAAAATGAGAAAACCTCCTTTGTAAAAGAAATAAGCTTACTGTGTAAAGAAGCACTTGAGAAACCACAATATATGAGTCACAAAATATTGGAAATGAAAAGTTTCAGACTTTCATTAAATTACACAGATTTAGATGTTATCATTTCATTTTTTCCAATTTTCTGGGATTTTATTAACAACATGCAGTTTGATAAAAATACATGGGTTGGAAATTTCGACAATGCAAAATTGGATTTGTTATTTTCTTCCTTCCTTCTAGATGATCAGATATACTATGAGACAATTTATGGGTTGATTTTAGACTTTTCCAAAAAACAATACTTGGAGAATAATGTTAAAAATAATATATATGGCTCTGATAAACTGTGCGGGGCCTTTGAATACATTTACCACTCGGATATATTTGAATTTAACCATTTTAATGAGTACGCAGAAAAAAAACAAACGTAAAAAATAATAACAAGAATGATGTTTATATTAAGCACTCATCACTAAAGATACAATCCGTTTTACACACCAATCAAATGATGTGTGAATCAATTTTGTATCTCCCCTAGCTGTGCATATTATTTTCGAATTTGTACTTCATCTGATGTGCATTCATCCCACTAAAGGTGTGTGTAATAAGTATTTTCAATTTTTATGTATGTATAATTAATTTACATGTGTTTCTCCTTTTTTTTTTCTTCCCTCCCTCTTATGCAGATGGGTCTGCAAGAACGAAGCAGATGAATATTTGACAAACAACAAGCGCTTAAAGGCTTTTGCAGAATGGCTATCAGAAGAATAAATTCATGTTAAAAAAAGAAAAAAAAAAAAATTAGCACTCGATTTTTTCTCTTTTATAAAGAAGACAGTTCTTTTTTTTTTCTTTTTTTTTTTTTTTCTGTTTCTCACATGTTGCTATATATTACATATATGTTTATGAATACTAATGATGCGCAACAGGTTGCATCATTTAATGCCTTATTTTTAAAAGTTAGAAAACAATTTACGTGAATGTTATGTTTACGTACTTTACATATATATTTCTCCCATTTACACCCATCACTCATTCTTGTATGAATTGTTCATTTATGAGATATATATAATTCAATCGAAAGAATTTTTTTTTTTTTTTTTTTTTTTTTTTGTTACATATAGAATATAAATTTTACGCATTTTTTATTTATTTTTTTTTTAATATCTTTGAAATTGCCTTTCTCATTTTTTTACCTGACGAAAAAAAAATTCATAAATTTAAAAAAGGAAAAAAGGCTGCAATGAATGTGCCGTTATTATGTGTGTATATCCTATATGCATGCCTATCCATGTATATCAATAAGTGTCCATATTTATACACTTACGTATCCATATGCACATTTACAAGTACATGAACATATGTGACGCCTTTTTAAAGCTAACAAAAAAACATGCACAAGTTTCATTATCCATAAGTTGTTAGATTCGTTCTGCATAATGATATTTTTATAAAATTGTCATGTCGTGTTAAAATCGACTATACATATTTATATGCATTTAAAAAATATGTTTAATAAAAAGTATTTTTCAAAAAAAAAAAAAAAGACAACTAACAGATGACACTCCACACTGGATGATCATTTGTTATGTCACTTTTGACATTTTTCACACGTCATTACTGATGCATACTCCATATGTATATGCTTTTTTGTTATACACCTGTACATATAAACATGTATAAATACCATACATACATAATAAAACTAAAGTATAGGATAAAAATGTGAAAAATTCTTTATTAAAAACTTTTATTAAGTTACCTGTACCAAGATGTGAAAAAGAAAAAAAAAAAAATTTGTACTGTATAAAAAAATGGTATGTTTTTACATTATATTTTGATAAAGCTCTTTCTTGTATCATAAAAAGAAAGGCAATAAAAAAAAAAAAAAAAAAGTATTAACTCATGTGTAAATTTAGTGAACCTCCCAACTATGGTCTCGATTCTGATTGGCCACTTTATATGCATTAAACCTTCATCAGAAAAGTAAAAGAAAAAGTCACGAAATGGGGTTTCCGTCATGTATGGAAAAACAAGAAAAAAACTTGATAATAAGTGACAATGAACAGATCACAAATAATAGATTAATTACAAACAATAGATTAATTATAAATAATAGATTAATTATAAATAATAGATTAATTATAAATAATAGATTAATTATAAATAATAGATTAATTATAAATAATAGATTAATTATAAATAATAGATTAATTACAAATAATAGATTAATTACAAATAATAGATTGCATTGTTCACCAACTTGTTAATTAACATACAAACCTGACACCAAGTGGTCTCATTCAGTACCCAAAACAACGCATAAGTGACAAAAGAAAAAGAAAAAAAAAAAAAAAAAAAAAAAAAAACCATAGCGTAGCAGTGAATTGTATACAGATTTAAGTAATCCTTTATTTTTCCACTTACTATTTTAGGAAAAAAACCTTATTGTTATTTTTCCATAGTTTATTTCTGAATGTATAAATTTAAAAAATATGTTCTTAAAACAGTTTAAAAAAAAAAAAAAAAAAAAAAAAAAAACTACATTTTTTGTAAGGTATTTGCGTTAAAGCTATGTTTCAAATTATGTATTTACAAAATAATATATTCTATCATTTTTTTTTTTTTCACACATTCGCATGTAAAAAGAAATATTGTCAAATGTTACACTTTCTTAAAGAACCCTCTTTTAAATGTACATAATTAATGTTATTATCACTGTTTTTATTTTATTGTACTTTAACCAAATTGCTTGTTTTGCATGTACCTTAAGGTAGTTTATATATATATATATATATATATACATATGTAAGTCCACACTTACATGACATGTAATACTTAAACCTTTTTTATATATACATATTTTTTCATCCCAATATAAAAAAAGTGATTTGTTCAACTTTATTCATAAGTAAAAAAAGTTTGTGCTTAGATAAAAATAGATATATGACAAATTTGTGGTAAATATAGTACCATTCTTCACTGTACCTTTTTTTTTTTTTTTTTCGCACATGTATTATATTGTCATTTTGGTGATCTGACTTTTCCAGTTTGAACAAAATTGCTGCAATTTATGTTCGTTCAGTTGCAACCGTAACTTAGAGCACTCGTTCGTCCATTCTGCTACTTTCTGTATTGAAATTTTTATATATTTTTACATACCCTTGTACATATTCATCAATATATATATATATATATATATATATATATACCGAGTATGCCACATACGTAGCATTTCCTGGTTGCGTACCATGGTTTCATCAAAGAAAAAAGGGAAAAAAATAAAACAAAGACGTATGTAAATAAAAACAAATCGATTATAAACAAATATTTTACATGTGCATATATATACGTACATGTATATGTGTGTACAAATACACAAAACTGTGTTCATGAACCTATGCAATAACCCACCCCTCCTTTTCCGTTGATTATCACACGTAAGTTTTCATCTGGATTAAAAGCTAAGCTTCCCATTTATGGTATCATGAAAAATTCATGAGACTTTTAGAACCCCTTTTACATAATATAATAAAAGTCCCCAATTGTAACAAGTTATTGAACACCTTTGTAAGAATTAATTATATTTTTAAAAAAATGAACAACCCCAATTCTAAGGAAAATGTGTTAGAGGAAGAATTACAGAAGGCTAAAATTTTATGTAACGAATTAGACGAATTAAAAATTAGCTATAAGGAGGTAAAACATGGAAAGGCTGATTGTATTCAGGATTTATTAGATATGAATTTAGAAAATTCGAAAAATATTATAAAAAATTTATTTTTAAAAGATAAGAAAAAAAATTATTTTTTTTTATGTACAGTAAACTGGAAAGTAGTGGACTTGAAACATTTATCGAACATGTTAAATACATCAAATTTAAGATTTGTTGATGAAGGAAATTTGAAAAGCATGTTAAATTTGCAACCAGGTTCTTTAACTCCTCTTGCAATGAAATATGACAAAGACAACCTCGTAAAGCTTTATTTTGATGAAGAAATGAAAAACATGCAAGAAGTTATTATTCATCCACTGCATAATTACAGCAGTTTATATATGAAACTAGAAGATGTAGTAAAATTCTGTGAATTGCATAATCATTCTCCAGAGTATGTTCACATTAAGGAGGGAAATGATAAAATAAAGAAAGAAGATATGAAATTGGAAGAGGATAAAATGGAAAAGAAAAAAAGTAGTAGTAATGGAGAATCACGCATAAATGGAAAAGTAAACCCAAATAATGACGACAAGGGAAAGGATATCAACATATTGGGAATTACATCCAAAAAAACTGTAAACTTTTCAGATTGGTATACACAAGTAATTGTAAAAAGTGAACTTATAGAATATTATGACATCTCAGGTTGTTATATTTTACGACCAGCTTCCTATTACATATGGGAATGTGTACAATCTTTTTTCAACAAAGAAATAAAAAAACTAAATGTCGAAAATTCTTATTTCCCCTTATTTGTAACGAAAAATAAATTAGAGAAGGAAAAAAATCATATTGAAGGTTTTAGCCCAGAAGTTGCATGGGTAACGAAATATGGTGATTCTACACTGCCAGAAGAAATAGCCATTAGACCAACAAGCGAAACTATTATGTATTCTGTTTTTTCCAAATGGATAAGATCTCATAGAGATTTGCCTCTTAAACTGAATCAATGGAACACTGTCGTTCGATGGGAATTTAAACAACCAACTCCATTCATCAGAACAAGAGAATTTTTATGGCAAGAAGGACATACAGCACATAAAAATGAAGAAGAAGCTGTCAAAATGGTTTTTGATATACTAGATTTGTACAGAAGGTGGTATGAGGAATGTTTAGCTGTACCAATTATTAAAGGAATAAAAAGTGAAGGGGAAAAATTTGGAGGAGCTAATTTTACATCAACTGCAGAAGCTTTTATAAGTGAGAATGGACGAGCGATACAAGCAGCTACTTCACATTATCTTGGTACGAATTTTGCAAAAATGTTTAAAATTGAATTTGAAGATGAAAATGAAGAGAAGCAATATGCTCATCAAACCTCCTGGGGATGCACTACGAGATCCATAGGAATTATGATTATGACTCATGGAGATGATAAAGGATTAGTTTTACCACCGAAAGTTGCAAAATTTAAAGTTGTTATTGTTCCAATTTTATATAAAAACACAGATGAAAATGTTATATTTAACTATTGTAAAGATATAGAAAAGGTTTTAAAAAATGCACAAATTAATTGCATTTTTGATGACAGAGATTTATATTCTCCAGGGTATAAATTTAATCATTGGGAATTAAGAGGAGTACCCATAAGAATAGAAGTAGGACCAAAAGATATTCAAAATAATTCCTGCCTTCTTGTAAGAAGGGATTCTAATGAAAAATTCAATGTGAAGAAAGAATCCGTTTTGTTAGAAACACAACAAATGCTTGTTGATATTCATAAGCATCTTTTCCTAAAAGCAAAAAAGAAATTAGATGAATCCATCGTTCAAGTAACAACCTTTGGAGAAGTTATGGATGCTCTAAATAAAAAGAAAATGGTTCTAGCTCCATGGTGTGAGGATATATCAACAGAAGAAGAAATAAAAAAAGAAACACAAAGATTATCGCAAAACCAAGGAAATACTGAAACGTCACTATCAGGCTCCATGAAACCTTTGTGTATTCCATTAGATCAACCCCCACTTCCTCCAAGTACAAAATGTTTTTGGTCAGGAAAACCTGCCAAGAGATGGTGCTTATTTGGTAGAAGTTACTGAGAATTCTTTTCTTTTTTGCAAATCATTGTATAGCTGGACTTACTGTTGAATTTGCAAAAGTCTACACTATTTTAGTTAATAATATATATATATATACTATAGAAACATTTTTACGTACAAAATTTTTCTTTTTCTATTTTTAAGACGAGTCAAAATAAAATAGTTTACATTTAATTATTCCATTATATCGAGTAACCTTCTTGCCACTTTTACGTTTTGTGAAAAGGGTGGTGGGCCACCATAACCCTCGCCACTTTATCACATTTTTATCATATGTTATATGTATACCGTCATAAGCACGTAGCGAATAAAATTATATAAATATTTTAAAAAAAAATTGTAAATTGAGGTAAAAATATGTAAAATAAATAGTATCCCCATTTATTTTTTCATAGCTGTGTATTACAATTTTTTTTTAATTTTTTTATCTTTTTTAAATTCCGAATTATGTGTAAAATACACCCATCAAAGGGACTTAACCGTTATCTGTATGAATAACACTGTATCTTAAGAACACTAAAATAATTTGTATCAATTTATGTATCACTACGCCAGAGCTACAAATTGAAAATCATATTTTGTCTTTCATGGTATAAAACGCTTTCTTCTGCACAAAAATGTTCGCAATTATATCTCCTTTTTTTTTTTTTTTTTTTTTTTACAATTCTATTTTATACTATTTTTCTTTAAAAAAAGTAAAAAAAAAAAAAAAAAAGGATTTAAGCTTTTATTTTTCTTTTTTGGCAGAATTTGGATTGCGTTTTTGTAGTAATTTTCAAATTTTGTTTTTTTCATGTGTTGATTTGTTTACGAAACAATTTCGAGGATGTATAAAAAGTTTATACACAATAACATAATGATGTAACACCATTTTTTTGTATTTTTCCTACACACAAATGGAACAACTTTTCCAATCATCATGGATCAACAATTTTTTTCTATAATCACATTTAGTGATTGATCCTTATAAAATAAATAACTAGTTATTATTTTCATTATCTCTGAAAAAGGAAAATGTTTTTTTTTTTTTTTTTTTTTTTTTTTGTTTTTAAATTTGAACATTCTTAAATATTGAATTTTTCTTCTTCGTTTGATTTAATGGTACTCACGTAATTTATAATATATTCACACTTTTAAGGGAATCTTTATCTTTTTTATAACGTTTCCTACTTTTTTTTTTTTTTTTTTTTTTTTTTTTACTTAAACTAGCCCTAAATTTTTAAGATTACAACATTTTCAAATCTACATATGAAGAGAAAAAAGTATGGTAACGCTTCTTTTTATATATGTTCATAACGACATTAATGTATAATGCTATAATAATACACTTGATCAGTTTTCTATGATTTATTATTATATTTTTTTTTTCCCCCCTTCTTTTACTACATTTTAATGATCACTTTTCACCTCTTTTTTTTTTTTTTTTTTCAAAAATTTGTAACAGCAATAAAAGCTAATAACTTTGCTTATGCAAGATTTGTTTTATTTTACATATGTTAAATTTATAAAAGAGGGGAAAAAAAAAAATATATACTATGGCGTCAAACACATTGTTTGAAGATCGTTTTGTTATAAGCAGTGTAGATAATTCTAAGTTTGAAAAAGTGAGCAGAATTAAAGCGAAAAGCACGGGTTATGACGCAGAATTAATTCTTGATGTCCATTCGGAGTTGTTTAAAGTAGAAGAAAAGAAGGTAACACACAGACTGAATTTTTTTTTTTTTTTTCCCAACATTACCTCTTCACCTCGTATCTGATTTGTGTAGATATTTATTTCATCCTATTATGTGAACATAGAATATTCCCCTAACACACATGTTGTATATTCATGCTATTGGCAAACTTCTAACAGGCTATTTACTTAGCTCTTCAAGACAACTTTTTGGGAAGAAATGAAAATAGCTCATGGGAGGAAGGTGAAAACGTTTCTTTGAATACTGTTGAGTACATTATGAGTGGAAGGATTTTTAAGTTTGAAGAATTGTCCTCAGAAAGGAGGTTCGTTCGATTTATGCTTATGCCCATAACCACGTTCAATAAATCCTTATTGTGATACAAAAGAAATTGCGCTAATTTGGTGCAAATTTTGTGCAAATTTTGTGTAAATTTTGTGCACATTTATGTGATGTATATATTTTTTCTATTTTTCTATACACAAATATTGTCACATGGAACATTGCATATACCCATGTACACATGAGTGTACTATTAAGAATATTAACTTGTTTATTCACTTGTATGTTAACGAGTGTTTTAATTACTGCTTTAATTAGTGCTCTAACTAGTTCATTTACATGAGCCCTTGATACAGAAAGGGAAGACATATTTATCCATATGATCGTTTTTTTTTTTTTGTAGGACTGTTTATGCTTCCTTTGGTGGACTCATGATGGCATTAACAACTGATAAACAGTTTATTGGAGATCTTGAGGTTGATATGAAAATTTACCTGCTCACAAAAAATGTAGACATCGAAAGGGTATGAAAAAAAAAAAAAAATAATACCAAAAAATAATATACAAGAAAAATGATTTTGTAGCATATTTTTACCTGCAATATTCTTCAGAAGCGATACTAATTACAAAAGAAGCTTAAAGTTAAAAATTTGGACTCTTCACATTTTCAATTAAAAAAAAAAAAAAATGCCTACTAGATTACGCTGTTTTTAGATTTCATTACTTTAATTAAGCTTAATTTAATTTAGTTAATTTTATTTATATATTTTTTTGTTTTTGTTTATAAGTGTAATTATTTTAAATTCAACGAATGTATTTAGGACGTGTCTTCTTAGGGAAGGTGCTGTATCTTAATTTATTAATCAGCACTTTATGTACACGAAAAATGAATTCATATTTGTTTTGTGCGTTTTATATATATATATATATATATATATATACATACACGTACACATATGCATGTAAACTTAATTCGCCTTTTTTTTTTTTTTCGTTTTTTAAATTAACTTTCGACATACAAGGAAAAACACATGATAAATTATTTTTGTCACTAATTGTTGTTACAGATATGTAAGTTGGATTTAAGAATATGTTGTCATACTAAAAATATTACTAAATGGATTATTTAAAATGAAAAGGAAAATTTACTATTGTGATTTCTTTGCTATAAAATATTCATACTTTATTCAAAAAGGAAAAAATATGTCGAAATGAAATGCAAATTTTCAAATTAATATAGACTGTTGGACATACATACAAAAAGATGTGTGTATATGTAGGTGCGTAAGGGTGAGGGGAAAGTTTTCATTGAAATTTGTGAAATGCATAAAAAAGTAAATGCAATTTAGCGGAAATGCGAAATTGAGAATTGTGTAAACAAAAAATAGATTGATAATTGGTTATCAAAATGGAAATAGGAACGTGTATAAGTAAAAATATGTATATTCGTGTGTATTTGCATTTATATTTATCTTAACACATCTCTGCTTAATTGAAAAGGGACATGTATGAAAAAAAGAAAAAAAAAGGAAAACGTAATAAAAAAAAGTTCACTTATGAAGAACTTTTCTGCTCATAGTTTTATATATATATATATATATATATATATATATAATATAGTATTCTCTATTTCGCATATATGACGCGAAACAGTTCTCCGTTCTTAAGGTCATAAATGTTTATGTTAGTCTTCTTATAGAACATCACGTGTGTTTATTTTTTCTCCACTTGTCGTTTCTATCAAATAGTATATCTACACCTTTTTACATAATATCCCTCTGAATTATTCTTGTCAAAATATAAAAAAAAAGAAATAAAATTAAAGACAAAAGAAATAACACAATGGGGGATATATACTGTTATCCTGATTTAAAAAGCAATATAGCCACTTGTCCAATATAAAAATAAATAAAATTCTTAGTTTCATGTGTAACATAGGAACCGAAATTTCTGCCCACTACACAGTGCCATGTTGGATCATATTTTCTGTCAAATTCTTTTTTTATATGTGCTGCAATATCTTTTTCTACATTATATTTTTGTAAAGCTTGATTGGCACAATCAATAGCATCAATTTGCATTTCTTCCGTCATATCTACATTTTTGACAACGGCATTTTTATTTGATTTTCTATCTGCCATTTTGTGATATTATATGTATAAACTGGTGCAAAAAAAAAAAAAAATTTCTTTCTGTGAAATATCTTATATATACAATATGACAATGTATTTGTTTGAATAAAATTTATATAATTTTGATCACGTAAAATAAGACTCAATATATATGTACGTGGTAATTCTTTATATCCCATTAACTGCTCTTAAAAATTGTGTGTGCAAGTCACAATGTACACATATAATCAATCCTTAAATATTATGACATGAAAATTTACGTGCCTTGCGCATGTATTCGTAATGTAGTAGTAAATAGGTACAAAGTGATTTAAGATTTTTTTTTCATTTTTTTACACTTTTTTTCACTTTACTCATTCGTGTAGGTATCCCTAAATAAATGTTGACGTTTCTTTTGAATAAAGATAGAAAATGCAAAAAACAGAAAGAGAAAAGGAGGGAAAAAAAAAAAAAAAAAAATTAAACAAAAAATAAAACTCATATCAAGTACATATTACACTTACCTATTTCAATCGATTATTATAATTTTTTTTTTTTTTTTTTTTTTTTTTCAAATGATGTTCGCCTTTTTTGTGGTGCTGAATTTTGGCATAAAGAGAGTCACCACCTGTTTTGGTTAATTTTTACACAGTGTTTTAAGCATGTGCATATATGCATATATATATATATATATGTAAAGTGTAAATATGCCTTAACATATATATATTTTTTTGTAAATATCTACACTTGCACATGTGAATATTTTCACGTGACTATAGCTGGGGAGACGACGTGCTTTTGACACACAAATAAGCTCTAGGTATAGTATTCACGGAATCATAACATTTTTTCCATGCGTCTAAATAGCATTCATATGGAACCTCTAAATAAAAGATTCCTAGTGGGTCATGTTATGGCTTCAAGAGGAATTTAATTCTGGTATGTTCGTATGTATGACGCATATATAAAAATTATTCCCGAAGCTAAAATGTACTATTTTTCATGTATAATTGTATTTACAAATTTATGCATGTGTAAATAAAATGCATAGGCGCACAAAAATAATGCATTGATATCTTTGTATGACATAAACAAATATTCAAGAATATGCTACTGGATAACATAAGTTTCTGTAAAGTAAAATAAAAACCTCGAAATCTTATATAAATTTTTTTTTTTTTTTTTTTACGTTCTCATGATAGCCATTTCGAAAGGTGTAAATTTTATTCAGGTGAGAAAAATAATGGTATGTACTTACACCCTATTGCCAAAGTGAAAGGTAAATTTTCTAAATATCAAAAAAAAAATGTGTGAGCTTAAATTTTACTTACATTTGAGATTGTCCGCTAATTTTTAATTTCGTAACACTTGCTTTTCTCGCTTGTTTGCTCTCTTGTTTGCTTCATTGCTGGCTTGTTTTGTTTTATTTTAAATTTTTTTTCGTTTTTTCCCCCTTCATGCCATTTATGAGCAGCACAGAATTAAGAAATGAAATGTTAATTAAAATGTTGAATAAAAGACAAAAACTAAAAAAAAAATATCAAAGCCTATGTATATGCATAAACATACCCATACACACACGTGCAGATATATATATATATATATATATATATATATATGCAAAATTTCCACATATACAAGTATGTACTCAATAGGTACATAACATTAACAGAAAAAAAAAAATAAAAAAAAATAAAAAACATAAAAAACATAAAAAATATATAAAAATATATATAAATAAAATAAACATGCTCTATAGGGAGCGAATTAATTAAGGTATAAAATTTTTTTTTTTTTTTTTTAATATGTATGAACTTTCTGATTAAACCAACTGGTGGTTGCTCCAGGAAGATCACTTGCTGACATGTCTGAAACTTTAAAATATTCCGAATTTGTTAGGAACATTTTTGTAATAAAATATGTAGAAACGAACTGTAAAAAAGCTGTTCCAAACAACATAAATCTTTGTCTCCAGTATGTATCAAATATGTAGCATATCATAAAAATTATGGGAAAAGAAACTATGTAAAATAATCCACATATATATATCTTTTTTAAAAAATTACGAATAGCAGGAACCTTTGCCACTAAAAATAAATTATTTATATTAACATGATATACTATTGCTAGTATTACTCGCAAAACTATTATTATGTATCCTGTAATATTATCATTGTCAAAGAATTTTGAAGATGACTCCATAATGTATGTATTATCCAATATTACTAAAATAACCTAAAGATAAAAAAAATAAGAATAAAATAATAATAATAAAATAATAATAATATAATAATAAAATAATAAATAAATAATAATAATGTCAAGTACGTGTATGCTGTAGATATGAGGGGCTATATCATCACATAGAACTTAAGGTGTCTATGAGACTAAAAGAGTAACACAGGAGATGGATAAATGGAAACATTATGACGTCGAAACGACACAACGTCATTTAGAATAATGGGGAAAATGCAAGATCTCATTGAAATTCTCATTGTTTTGCAATTCTCATAATTGGTGAATAATGTTAAAAAAAATAAATAAACTGTATAATATATTAAATGCATTATTAAAATTTTATATCGTAGAAGTAGCAATATTATGTAGGTACCACAAATACTTAAGCTTAGGGTGTGTGAGCATGTGTATATATACATATGATTATATATATGTTTGTATGTTCTTATGTTTTGAGAGTTTGCCGTTTCTTATGCATATGCTGGATGCGCTACTTACGTGAAAAAAGGTAATAACAGCAAATATCAACTTTATCCTTGCAAAAATATTGAACGTGGCTTCGAAGATTGTTAAACCATAACTCAAAGAAAGCAACATTGTACACATCATAATCTGTGCCAGAAAATTCATAATATTGAAAGAAATCTTAAAAAGCTCAATTCCAATTCCATTTTTTGAATATACTAGTAAATGTATAAATAATAAAGAGTTAGATATTAACTGTACTAGTATTACAAAAGCGACACACAATACCATTGTGTGTTTTTGCTCTTTTGATAAAAGGTTTTGAATAATTTTATTACCATATTGTAAAATTAAAAAGATATATAAAACAGTCAAAATAAAGGTAAGAAGAGGAGAGTATAATAGTTCATAGGAAAAATGCGAATTGTTCGTTTGAAATATATTTATATCATACTCCACATTAAAACCTTCATTTTCATATATATAATCTAGTACATGTTCGTAGAACCCATTTTTATATAAATTGTTGTACATATTAGTAAAACTTTTCATATTTTTAAAGTTATGATATTTAAGGAAAAAAGAAATATCTTCTATCTCCCCTTTTGTAAAATTGTTTTCGAAAAATAAAAGTCTTTTAGGATTTTCTAAAAGGGTATTCTTATCAAAATTGTATGATGTATAAAACTTTGAATTACTATCATCAGGTGTGCTATCATTGAGATTTTCTTCATTCCATGCAGTAGATAATGAACTTGAGATATCGTTCTTCTTTGAAGCATTTATAAAATATTCCCAGTAAGCTATTTTAGCCTTTATGTTTAATTTCAAATTACGAATAAAACTATGATAGCAATCATCAAACATTAAAAACCATACATGAACACGATGTGTTGTTTTAGCACTAATATTAACGAATTCATAATTTGAATCCTTTTCATTTATAACAGATGCATGCTTAGAAATTTCAGATTGTACTATTTTATTATTCTTTAATTCGTTATGAATAGTATTGAATGGCGTAGTATATTTATTGTTCATAAAATTTTTTATGTTGTATGTTTTGCTATTAATTAAATCAGAATACTTAAAATAAAAAGGTATCTTCAACCTATGTACGCTCCTTAAATTTCCCAAAGCTTGACATTTATTACCTTGATTTACATAATTCTGTTCAATATCAAGCATTAGGGTTATTCTTTGAGACACAGCGTGTGTGTCATTATTTGTTAACACATAGTATGCATTGTCATAATCCATGTGAAACAGCTTTTTTTCCTTGTCTTCAGAATCATTTGGTAATTTACCATCCAGTTTATAGTAGTAATGAAGTAATTTCGAAATGATGTTATCCTTAAGTTTCATTTTTATGCTAAATTGGCACGTTCCTATACTGCAACTAAATTTTGTTAAGTAATGAATTTTTTCATTTTTTTTTATGTTGAAATTTCCGTGGAACACTTTGCTTTGCACATTAGTTCGGGCTATTAATAACCCCAAAATCCAGAAAAAAAAAAAATAAGTTGCTCTTTTTATCATTTGTATGGATCACCGCCGTACCAAATATTTAACAAATCTTTCCTCAAAATATTTTCAATATATAATTCTTTTATTTCTTTTTCCTTTTATCCTATGCATGTGTTTTTTATGCGAATGGCATAGACAATTTGTCAAGGTAGTTGTAGTAGAATTAATATATCCAGCCCTTCTGTGAAAAAGTGTTACGTCATAACGAAACATGCATATTTATATTACATTTATTATGATACATAAACGCCTTTCTTATGTGCGAGCTTAAATTTATGTTGTAGCGTAACGTACACACATTTCCGAAGATCTTACCATGGCTAGAAGAGGCAACCAAAGTTTTCCTCTTTATTTAAATATTAATGCTTAGAAGAAAATATGTAAAACTTTTGAAACATATATATATGTACATATAAAAAAAAAAAATTAGAAAAATGTACGTACAACTGAAACTGAAAAAAAGTGTTAAGGTGAAAAAAAGGAAAATAGGAGCAATGAACAAAAATATAGCGCGGAAACAACAACAAAAGTGAGACAAAAATGAAAGAAAAATCTTTCTAAAGGAAAAAACAAGTAAAATAATTAAAAAAAGGAAAATTTTCTATTGTTTTAAGTAGAAAACTACAAACTTTAACTTAAGTACAGTATATTATGATAGTTGTATATAATAAACATTTAAGGGCATTTGACAGCATTTTTTTTTTTTTAATTTTCACTGATCGACTTAACATTACCTACTAAAATGTGCCTAAGAACAAAAAAAACTGCTAACCTATATACATGTGCAAAAGGCAATTATAATCCTAAAGAACCCCTTAAAAAAAATGAAAAATGAAAAATGCATGGAGGGTTGTACAAGAACGCATCAAAATTTCAAAAAAGAAAATTCCTTTTAAATGTTTTTTAAAAAAATTAAGATTACACCTGTGTTTTGTGATTATTTTTTATCCCTCATGTAAATTATTAAATGCCTGAAAAAATTTCCTAAATGTTGTGAGAAGCTTTTTTTTTTTTTTTTTTTTTACCACACATTGTGAAACATGTTGTTTGTAATTAAACATGTGTAAATTCGCACATATATATATTTTTTCGTGTACGATTTTAATTGAGTATTTCAATTGTGAACAACCTTTTGTTTAAGAAAATATAAAATCGATTTTCTATGACATACCTTTATACTACCTTTTATTTTAACCGAATGTGCTGTCTTATATATATGGTTGCATGAGGACAATGAGGGATGAATAAAAAAAAAGTGAAATGGCACACACTACATATTCTTATTTAAAATGTAACTAAGGCCATAATACATAAACTCATTAACACATGAACATATTAACGAACGAACACATTAACACACTTTCATTTTGCATGAACACGTTTCTTTTCATGTCAACTCCACTATACATTTATAATAATGGTACGAATACATAAATTCGAGCTCAAGTGATTAATTTGTATCATGTCTACAATTTTTATTTCTTTGTTAAGCATTTGTAAACGCTCAATGTTAATTTTAAGGGCCTATATTAAGAAGAAGCCCTCATTTTTTTTTTTTTTTTTTACAAATTTAATGTTAATTTAAAACATAAAATTTTTTTTTTGGAATAAAAACGCAAAAACAATGATTTTGCATTTGCAATATGTGAATACGCATTTTTAGAAATATTTACATGCCTTAATTTTGCTTATGCATGTTGTAAGGCTCAGAATATAAAAGAGACAGGTAAATAAATAAATAAATAAATACATATATATATATATATCATTTCACACTTAATAGCTAGCTAACTACATGCATTTGAAAGTTTTAATATTTTTTTTTTTTTTTTTTTGTTCATAGTACGCATGTTCATAAATATTTACATGGAAATGAAACATGCTTTCTCTTAAAATAGCATTTTCGTTTTTATACTTAATTTATGTGTGCAATATTTCTTAGCAATTACATAAGATTCTTTATGTGGCTGTTTACGTAAGATTTTTTAAATGTTGTAAAATCTGTTGTCTTTTTTGTTCTCTTAACAACATATATATGTATATATGAACAAAAATATATATGTAATTGTATGGACTTAAGTTGATGTGTCTCAATTGTGCTCAAATAATATTTTTTTTTTTTTTTTTTTTACATGTGTCACTTTGCTTGTAAATTTATTTTGCAATCTCTTCAATTTTAAAAGGCATCACAATAACGAACGTGTTAAAAATAAAATAAGTCTCTATATTTTGTTCTGTATATAGTACCCCCTGAAAAAATTGGAAATTACAATTAAACAAAAAATTTGACGAATAACGAGATAAATCAATAAATATGCATGAATACGTACATATGAACAAATATAGGTATAAACTTATGAACACAGAAAAGCGAATGTTTAGCTCAAATCAAACAGATTGTCAATTCGTTTTGTTCTCATTATACACATCTTCGCAGCATATAAAAGCGTATTAATTTTTCCACAATCACAATATGTGATTTCTTTTTTAATTAAAAAGATAGGGTAAAAAACCAAATTTCACCTGTTTGGAGAAGGATAGCTACTGAAATATTGGAGCCCCCAGCGCATCAGAGAAATCATATAGCTCCCCTACAGTCATCAAAATGTCAGATATATCAGATTTTTCAGAAACGGCAGAAATTTCTGAAAATGAAAAGGAAAAGAAATTCTTCAAAAAGAAAGCCTCAAAGAATTCAACTCTCTCAAAGAATAATACGATGGACAAAACGGAATTGCTCAGCAAAACCAGTAGTATCAGAAGTGTTGACAATGTACAAGATGAATATGGGAAATTATCTATACAAAAATCAGGAACACTTAAATCGACAAAAAGTTTGGCTACGAAAAAAGAGTCTGAAGATGATCATATGTTAATTGGAAATTATTCAAAGTCATTTAAAACTTTAAACAATGCTTCGAAATTGAGAGAAGACGGAAAACCTAATCCCCTCCCCAATGCAAGAGTAGCAGATTGTGTTATGTCTCCACCAGAATTTTTTTTGTCTCACATTTATCATGATAACAAAGTGTTTACAAAAAAGTATGGTCATTCTATAGTAGAATACGAGAATGAGTTTTTTATTTATGGAGGAATAAATTCAAATAATGAATATTTAGATGAATTCTTAACATTCACTTATGGTCTTAATACATTTACATCTAAAAAGTTGGATCTTAATCCAGGAAAAAGAGCATATGCATCGATGACATTAACATACAACATTAATAATAATCCATCATTATTATTATTTGGAGGATTATGTGGGTCAAATACATTGGCAAAGGATTGTTATATGTATGACTTTATGGAAGATAGCTGGTCTAGATATACACACAAATTAGAATCCATTCCAGGATCAAGATATGGACATGCTTATACCTTTTGCCCTAATACATACACAACAATTATATGGGGAGGATTAAATAGAAATAATGAATTGTTAAATACGGGTCATAAATTCGTTGGAGGTGAATGGTCTGAAATCAAACATAAAGGTTTATGCCCATCAGGAAGAGTTCATTCTTCCATTGTTTGGTTAGATAGGGTTACAAAAGATAACGTAAATTATAGTTTTCTTTATCTATTTGGTGGAGATCTTACAAATAAAGGTACTCCGACAGATGAATTATGGGTATATAATTTGAATAATGAGAGTTGGGCAATGGTTAAAAATTCATCTGGTGCATCCCCTTGCCCTAGATGGAAACATGGAGCTGTTATTATTGATAAGAATATGTGGATTAGTGGTGGACTTTGCTCTGGATGGTTTTCAAATTATTCTATTCCAGATTTGTATGTATATGATATACCTTCCAATTGTTGGTTTAACTGTCAAATAGCATCTAAGCAAATTCATAATTGTTATGATTATGGTACATTAAATATACATTCTCAAACAAGGGCTTTCTTTCTATTTGGGGGGAAAAATGCTAATAATGATCCCACCTCAAATGTATGTAGGTTTGCACCTCTATGCACAAATGTATCTATTATGACCATGCGGAATGAGATAAAAAGATTCTCCAATTATGTACTTGAAGTAAAGAAAGAATCTGAAGAAACTGCAAACAATGTGTCAGAAATGCAAAAGATTATTCATACCTTTAGTTTAGATATAAAAGATTTTAAAATATTATTTGAAGCCCTCACACGAAGTATACAGATGCTTAAGGAAAATATAGAAAATGTCGATCAGGAGGTTGCTCTTCTTAGAAAGCAAATTTCTGAAGGTGAAAAAAAAGATGACACTGATAAAGGACAAATAAACGTTGTTGAGACTTCAACAAAAGAGCCTGAAGTCGAAAATGTAGTTAAGGAAGACGAAAGTAAAAAAGCCGAGGGGTTGTAATTCTTTTTCTGGTCCGAGATTTCCCATTCATGTGGAATGTCTTATACACTTATGAATGCCAGATATATGTGCATATAAGCTGTTAGATGTAGATGTGTTAAAAAAAAAAAAAAAAAAAAAAAATGGGTTAGGGGTAGAAGAGAAAGGCAAAGAAAAAAACACATGACTATCTGTTATGGTTTATTCGCTTGTTAACATTATATTATTACTGCATCAATCATTATTTACTTTATACCATATGTTTATTGCTTTTCCTTCTTTGCAAAATTAAGATAAATGCCTTTCATTTGATTACATTTTAAAATTACAATTTTTAACCGAACATGCTGATTTTATAATCTTATGTGTTTGTGCCTATATTGGACCATCCGCTCCTTGATGAAAATTTTCATATAACGTATCTGTGTTTATATCGAGTTTTTCTTTCTTTTTTTTTTTTTTTTTTTTTACTTTTTCCTATTTTTAAAATATTTATTCATTCCTTATTTTTCACTTCATGACAACACTTCAGATTGTCTACGTTTTGTACATATACTATTTTAATATAATTTTTTTTGCAAATCGATAATTTATTCATACTATATGCATTAATAAAAATAGTGATATGTTATTCATATGATATATGTAGCTATTCAAACAATGCTATGTTATGCTAATAGGCTCATTAAATAAGTTTATTCGTCGATAAATATTTTTAAGATAAAAAAAAAAAAAAAAAAAAATGCAAAATGTTGAAATAGACACGCAGTATTCATAACAAAATTGTAAATACTGTGGTGAGGAAATAAGAAAAACGACAAAATAAAAAAAAAAAGAAAAAAAGTTCTTTATTAACTTAAAAAAAAGGAAAAAAAATTTATGATCTTTCTTATGAATAGTTATTATACATGTGGGTAACTCTAATTAGCAAAAGAAATGCACATTGACTCATGAAATAGCAAGTAAAAATAATTTTCTCAAAGAATTACTAAACTCATTCTGTTTTTTGCATATAATAATCAAATGGATACAATCATGAATTTTAAAAAAACAGAGTTATCGAAAAATAATGTTTCCTTAAAAACATGTCAAAGTAAGGACATTTCCATGTATGGAGAAGATGATTTTTTCTCTAATTCCACTTTATCTGATGTTGAAGATTCTTATAAATTTTGGGAAAATGCCGATGATAGGTATGAGAAGATAAGTAAAAATAAAGTAAATGATTCCATACACATAAAGTTAATGTGTAATTTGCATAGGCAATTTTAGATATATTTTTATTAAAAACTAGCAATATCAACTTAAAAAAAAAAAAAAAAAAATTTACACTTATCTTCTTAATCAGCAACATTTTTGAAATATGCAAAGAGTTCGAAAGTTCGGGAGATGAAACTGAAAAAAACGGTATAGAACACAACCTAGACACTCCCAAATTGTACTCTAGCGTTGAAATTAACACGTCATCAAATGATTTAGGCATTATTTTGGAGGATGAAAATTATTTTAAAAAGGATGTGGAGAAGACATCATTAAATGATAATTAAAAAGTGCAGGAACATAACCTCATGGAGTCATAAAAATATACATATGTACGTGTACGTATGTATGAAAGTAATTTCAAGGGGAAGAAAACAAAGGTTGTAAGTAGATGGTGGTGGTAAAATATGCTTACCTATGCAAATGCAGAAGTTGTTGTATCTAAAAAAATATTTTGAAAAAATGTAGAACAAAGTATACACTACAAACACCACCTGTCATGTAAAAACTTGCTACAAAATAATAAAGAAAAAAAAAAAAAAAAAAAAAGGTGATTCGATGAGTCAACAGACGTGTTTGTATTATTTCTTATTTTTTAAGCATATACACTTGTATATACTTAAGAAAGTATATTATTCGAGTTGCATCTACCTAGTCGATCATTTCGAGGCATCCTGTAAATTTAAAAGGTTCTGGAAAGACTGTCCTTAATTTGCTCCACGAAGTTATTATCCACCTTTCTAAGTGAGATGTATGGCTTGAAAATTTCTGCATAGTTTAGAAGATTCTTCTGGGTTATATCTGAATATTTATTATAATTTGAATAAGATTTTATCTGCACAAGTGCCCTGTCGTGAAATAATGGATGCAGAAAATTCTCATCTTTGTAATGTCTCATGACTAATATGATTATGTGATCACTGTTTCCATATTTACTATGGAATATATGAGCTTTTGTATATATTTTATGACTCAATTGATAGTCTAGTGATTCAATTATGTTTTTATAAGTATCATGAACAATGTACTCAGATACTATTTTAGTATCTACTTTATTTTTTTCAGAAGTTTTTAAAATAGCTCCTTGTTCATATTTTCTTAGTACAGACATATTTTTTAAATGATTTGGCTCTAAATATTTTCTAAAGAGAAAATCCTTGTTTTCAGATCGTGGTGTTAAAATATTAAATTCTTCCTTAACATCAAATTTGAAATAATAATCAACCCACTTATATTTGTTATTCACATCTGATGCTTTCGTTATTATATTTATAAATGTTTCAAAATTTACATCTTCTTCCAGGGAAATTGTGTCATCTGACATGTATAAGCTACTTAACGAATATTCCGTGTATTTGAAAAAGTTCTTTTTCCCTAATTTTTTTAATATAGCTTCACTGAACACGCAAGATCCCTCTCTGTTACTAAAATAAGGGACGTTTTCATTATTCCCACCATCTGCATAATATACACCCTGTTTATCATTTACATCTGATATGAAATCGTTGAATATTTTCTCTAACTTTTCACTCATTTGATGAAGTGGTGTGCTGCATATATATATATATATATATATATATATATATATATATATATATATATATATATATATATATATATATTTTATATCTGTATGGTTATAAAAATGAGACACTCAAAATTTTATACACGTTATAGATAACCCTAAAGTGAATCCACACTTTTTAAAATTGTATTTATAACATTATATGATCCTTATTCTCACAAATTGTGTATAAAAATGTGGTTTGAAAATGTTATATTATAATGAACTGACATGGGCAGGGTTAAATCAAGGCATATTCATGCATGCAAGAAACATTTTTATTTGGAAAAAAAAAAAAAAAAAAAACATAATGAAATGAGATAGGATGGGATGAAATTCGATAAAATTATCAAGTGAAATAAGATATAATAAAATAAAAGGAAATGAAATGCATATTCCTTGATGTGCGAACAATTTGTCATAGGGGCACACATCTTCACCTTTTACATGATTAAATGCAATAGATAAACTGAGAAGAATGGAGAAAAGTTCCTACAAAAATTTTGCACTTGCAATAATCTTCCACTTTTATCAACCTTGACAAGGTGTAAAAACAACATTATAAAAAAGGACATCTGTTAATGGAAACTTACACATGCAGCACATAATAAATAGTTTTACTTACATGTAGAATAGTGCAAAGATGAGATAACTACAATTCTGTATATTTGCTTTACTGATCGTCTTGCAAAAGAGAAAAGATTCGTTGTTACTCACATCTCAGTTCTCATATTAAATGGAAAATAAATGTAAAGAATGCTTCACACGTTAACAATATTTAGTGCTATTTTATTGCTATCCCTTTTTTTATATATAAAAAAAAAAAAAATAAATAAATATAATAAAAAATGGGGCTAAATCATCAATTTTATATATTTAAAAAAGGAAACACCTTCATGGATTGGCATAAAAAAAAAAAAAAAAAAAAAAAAAAAATACTTGACTCAGTTTGCTCAAAGAAAAGCATATACATGTAGGAAAAAAATTGATGCAAAGTAATGAAGTACAATTTCAGCATTGAAAAAAGAACATAATAAAATTATGCACTGTTTAAAATTTAACTTACCTGGCTGGCGTTTGGGGTAGCTCACGAATTACCCTGGCGTAGTTCGGAGCAGAGCATTGCACTCAGCTGACTGTGATGAGCTATAGACTTTCCACATGGAAGGTGCTAACAGCAAAATTTTTGCCCGTGGCATATTTCATCTAATGAGTATGCCATTAATCCCTACAATTATAATTAATCAAATTTTTTGCACATCAAATTGTTTGTATAATTAAATTCCTCCCCCACCCCCCTCCCCCCAAGTGTGTGTATGTATATATATATTTTATGCATTTTTTATTTGTGTAAATAATAAATAAATTTATTTATACACAAGAAAAAACGAGTGGGAGTACGTACTTATTATATATAAAATGTGTCAATTTTTATTTCCCAGCGCGTGTTGTTGTGATTATTGGATGATTTATATAATATATTATGAATAAGCAAAAAATATTACAAATCTATGCTTTTAATATTTGTTCTCATTTTTTAAAATGTGGTTATATATATTGAATTATCCAGTGTTTCAGGGAATAGGAATTAATATTTGAATTGAAGAGAAATGTATGATTACATGTGACGTATATGTTATATATATATATATATATATATATATATGGTGTTATTAATTATTTCGCGCATAACATATATATATAAGTTAATTTTGTTATGACTTCATGTGTAAAGGTATCATTAAATAAGTACTATTATTTATGAGAATAAAACAATATTATATGGCACAATATTGTTCTTACATCATAATAATATGTAATATATGATTAAAAAATTTTATATTTCATATTTATCATATGTATGGTGTTTTTTGCTATTTTAATAATTTTTAATAAACAAGGTTTTCAACATATAATGATAATGATGGTCTTAAAATTCTTTTGGTAAAGTTGTTTGTTCATTTTAAATATTTAGTTCTCCTTTTTTACATTTTTTTTTTTTTTTTATTTCTTTTTAAATGACAAAAGAAAACAAAAGCAAAAGTAGCAGTTGTATGTAATATGTTATTTAAAAAATACATTTGGTAATATGGAAAGAGTTACCAAAACTTCTATAATAATTATTGTGAGTTGTTCACATTTTAATGCGTTGTAATAAAAAGAAGACGGATAATAAAATACTATAATGTGGAATAGAAATTTGTATGCAGCATCTCATAACATATCTTTTGTAGATTAAGAAAAGTAAAAAATATGTTCTATGTGTATGGACAAACATTAGTGTTACATAAGCATTTAATAAGTAAACTATTAACGACAGGTAAGAAATTATTTTGTGCCAGTGTAAGAAATCATTCAGTATATTTAAGTAAATGGAGGAGAAACAGCAATTTGTTCACCATTGCAGTTGCTAACAAATTAATTGTGTGCAAAGCCTACATAAATATATGCAAGTATTTATAAAAGGATATGATATATATATATATATATATATATATGTGTGTACATTTAATACTATGTGAATAAAAACATGAATGTATGAACACACAAAAACCTGCACCTGTTTTTGTGAGAGCTGATGAAAGCATCATGCATAGAAATCTAAGCGCTTAGAAATTCTCAAAAAAAAAAAAAAAAAAAAAAAAAGTAAAAATGATTGTAGCTATTAACGTAAAACTGCTATGTGACCAAATTGAAAAACCTCCGTTATTTTAATTTAAAAAATCAAAACTTTGAAATTCAAAAAAAAAAATAAAATACTGTATATTTCGAAATATAAAATTTATTCAAAATTATAACTTCCACATATTTATTTTTTCCCTATGATTTAAAATAAAAGAAGCAGGATGGTATGATTATTTAAAACATTTTTGATAAAGCACATCTTAAATTTGTGTACTACCCAGTTGTGGACATCCCCCGTGCGGAATTTGCGTCCAGAGCTTCACTGTTATAGCTATTAAAAGTGTACATTATGAGCATTTCAGAAACGTATATGTATGTACATATATATATATACATATATGTATCATTCTGTGCACATGCATATGTTCGTATCTGCCAATCCACTTAGATGAATAAGTGACGTGATAACAAAGAAATACATTTAGTGCCACACAACTAATTATCACTTTGTTACAGGATCAAAAAATCGAGCTTAATCTATACATACACACCCTATACATACATAATATGCATGTATTTATGTATGAATGTGTCCATTTTGTGTTGTGCTTCCCAATTTGGAGCTCCGTCGACACTATAGCCCGGAAAGGAATGAATTTTAAAAAAAAAGTTCCATTGTTGTGCATTTACGCATGCTAAAAAGGGAATTATAATACGTTCAAATCTTCTCTAGTGGTGTTTCTATTTTCATTGGTACTGATATTTCGTGTTGTTTTAAAACACACATTAGCGTTACCACTACAACAAGTAGAATGAATTGTGAAATCTTAAACCACTTATTATTAAAAAAAAATATACATTATGAGCATATACATATGTACAAATGCTAACGATGTGTGTCCACTATGAGACATGCAATTTTTAACAGAAAAAAATGCTATTTAAAACCATTCAATTTTTCCTAAGCTCTGAATTATTATTTATTCAAAAAATTATTTGTCATTTTTTTGAAGTAACCAAAATGGAAATCAAAATTGAAAGAGCTAACATAAAAAAAAAAAAAAAAAATTCTTCTGTTCATTGTTATACCTTTCTTCTCATTCAATGAACTCATCATAATAAAAAATTGAATAAATTTATTTGTCCCAACTTCCCCCCCCCCCCCATATAAACTCTACCACCTTTCCACGCATAAAAAGTAAAGAAACGTAAATATAAACAGTAGTATGCAAAAGGGTTTCACGTATAAATGCTTGTTATATATATATATATAGAAAACGGCAAAAAAAAAAAATTATATTTTTTACATTACATGAGAATTTAAAAAAAAAAATTCATAAAAAGCCTTATTTTTCGCGTCAAATAATAACAACTGCGTATATGTATTTATTATGAGTAAATTTTATATATAACACAATTATGAATATTTTGAACGAACATCACATTTCATATATTTGTTCTGTTTTTGTCACATTACGGTATGTATATAAAATACATAATATTATAAACCTTAGAGCCTTCCTTAAAATACACTAGTGTTTAATTAAATCTTAAAAAAAAAAAAAAAAAAAAAAAAAAAAAAAAAAAAAAATAAAACCTGTTTAATATTATAATATGGTACATATGAGCAATATTAAAAAAAAAAAAAAAAAAAAAAAAAAAGCTAAAATCTTATTTTTTTAAATGCATGTGAGTATTTTTTTTTTTTTTTTTTTATAATTTAAAAAAAAAAAAAAAAAAGGATGAAGAAAAGTATAAATTTATATGTACGCATAAATTGAAAAAAAAAAAAAAAAAAAAAATGGCACTTAAAAAGGAAATATTGCCAGGTTTTAAATAAAAATTAAGCGAAAATATAAAATTCAAATTCAAAAAAAAAAAAGCACTAAAATTAATAAAAAAACGCATTACAAACTATTTTTGATCACCGAATATACATATTAAATACATTAAATAAGTACAGAAAAAAAAAAAAAAAAAAAAATAAGCAAAAAAAGAAAAATACATAAAATGCAAGTTTTTTTTGTTTTAAAAAAAAATAAAATGTAACATACAATTTTTATGTATCTTTAAAACTCTACCTTTTATTTATATATATATGTAAATATATATATGTATGTATTTTTTAAACATACGAAGAATTTTTATAAGCATTGTGATGAAAATACGTAATATATATTTTTTCACATACATATATATATGGTTGCTTATTAATTATATATATCTTGTATATTAAATATGATTAACATATGAAAATATACATATACTTCATGTATACGAACATATATACCAGCTTACTTATGTACACTTGTGCATATACGATCTTTTATATATAGAATACATTGAATATATAACATATACATTAAAGTATGTACATACACTGTACATGTTAATGATTGTACATATACATTGCTGTACCTGCAGCGAAGTAAAAGTCAAATTAAAAAGTTTTGCAAATTCCCCGTATAATGATTAGCGGCAGAGAGAAAAAAATGTTTACGTGAATACAAGGAAAGTGCAAGAAAATTAAAAACTACGTAACTAAGCACATGAGCCTTTACATGTATATATATATATATATGGCTCTACACGCACACTTGTATGTATATTTACAATACGACGTTACTTGTGCATATATACCATCTTACAGTTACTTGAAATTATTTTCATTCTTCGTCCATAGAGGAGATCATATATATATGTATAAGGACAAATATTGACATCAACAAAAAATGAAATGCATCAGTGTTATTATAACCTGATGTGTACCTTTTTTTTTTTTTTTTTTTTTTAAAACTTCACAACAAATATTTACCAAAATAACGTTATTTATAAAACGCAATTATTAAATAAAAAGGTCACAACAAAAAAGATGAAAAAGAAAGAAAAAAGGATATAGCAAAATTTTAAATAACAAATTTTATTGTACACACGAGGCATGACAAATTTCGTTAACAAAGATTTCAGTTGAATACAACATAGCATATAATTTATTCTAGTGATATATAGAAATTACACGCACCGGTTTGTAGAACACCCAAATAATACTGGGTAGGGTAATATTGGAAACCTAAATGTAAAAGAAAAACCCACAGAGGTGTGGTATTATAGCAAAAGAATCTCTCCAACGCATGTTATATATTCACCAACGAACAATGATATTGAATTTGTAAAAAAAAAGAAACTAAACGAAAGTGATAAACGTGAATAAAAAAAAATTATACATAAAAATTAAAACTAAACTGAACAGCGTGAACGTGCAAATAATTTTGTAAACGAAAAAAATAGGTAGAATAATAATGCTATTAGTAAAGCGCTTAAATGGAGTAGTTAATGACTTAATTAATGGTTCAAGTTATAATAAAACCATTTGTGTAGTTTTATCCCCTCTACTTAGTGATATGTGTCCATAGCTATATATATATATAGTTATGTCATGACGCTGTTTATGAATATATAACTATGCAATTATAATAACTCCCCCAATACTGAAAATTAGCAATAAATTCCAGCCCCCATAATCAAAAAAGCTAGTTCATCTCTAAATGACACTGGCAATATATAGGGAATTGGAATATATTTCATAAGGGCGTAGCAATTGCGAAAAAAAAAAAAAAATGAATTCCAATAATCACGAAATTGATGTAGTTTCTAATGATAACAATACTTGCAGCAGTAACATAAGCAGTGTTAATAATATTAACAATAATTTAAACCATATTGACTGTGATAAAAATATAAACGGTGGTATCATAAATGCTAACCATTTTAATAGTTCAAATAACTTAGAAGATTTAGCTAAAGGAGATAATAATGATCTTCTTGGACTAAAAAATGCTCATATGAGAAATAAAAATATGAACAATTATAGATCATTTTCAAATGAGAATACAATTGATGATAACGGAAATGATATAAATTTTCTGAATGATGATGATAATGATAATTATAATGAAATTAATGAAAATAATAGCAGTGGAAATATTGGAGTTATGATTGAATGCATGAACATTAGCAATAATAATGGAAATGTGGATAATTCAACCCAAGCTATCGGAATTAATAATGTGGATCAGGGACAAAGTGAATGTAATGATGTATCAAGGAATATCAATGAGAATAATAACGATATTATTAACAATTGTACAAAGGACGATGGGAGCCATAACATGAACAATAGCAATAATGGCCAAACGAGGGATGATGGACATACAAATAGAGATAAAAAAAATTTGCAAAACAGTAATTACAAAAGCGCATTTTTTAGGAATGTAGACGAGGTGCGAAGCTTCGAAAGAGGTATTTTGTATTTAACAGATGAAGAATTCAATTATATATCGAATGCAGTTAATTTATTGGGATTTCGATTTTTTGAAATTCCTTCAGAAAAGAGCAAGAATGAAAAAAGAAATACTTATAGTTCTGTATCAAAAAGACATTTAAATGAAATAAAAAACTTACGTTGTTCATTATCGAATAATATATACGATGCAGGAAAAAGGAAGTCAAAGAAAACTTTTGATCGATATTATTCCAAAGATGAAACTAGTAGCACAACCACGAAAGATAATAACGACATACAAAAAGAAATCAACAGGAAAAGGGGAATAGGTGGAGGATATAATAATTATGAAGATGACAACAATAGTAATCCATACGATGATGATAATAAGTACAACAATAGTAACCTCGTTAGTAATAATACATCTACTTTTGGTGCATCCTCCAATAGAGGTTTAGGAGGAGGAGGGTATAATAACAAAATGGCTAGTAGTAATGGTTCAGGTATTAATAACAAGATAAATGAAAACGATAAATTTTCACAAGGAAAAAATAATAATATGTTAAAAAAAAGTTCTCTTACTAAGAGTGAAATGAATAACAATAACAGTGTGAATGAAATTGTCTGTGGTACATATACCGATGTAGGAAAAGGGAAATCGTATAAATATATTGGTAGTAATAATAGTAAAAATAATAATACTAGTTTGCATCATAACCAAAGTAATTATAAACAAGGAGCAGCAACATCAGCAACTTCCGGAGGAGGAAAGGAAGTTCAAAAGAAGAGACAAAGAAATAACATTAATAGTGTCCATGAAGATGACATGGTTGATGAATATGAACAACATAAAAGAACGTATAAAAAAAGAATTTACAAAACGAATAACCCATGGAAAAATTGGTGTTTTAAAATATTACACAAACTAAAAAAAAAGGAAATTTGTTGCTGGTTTTTAAAGCCAGTAAATCCTGAATTAGATGGAATACCAAATTATTTTAATATCATAAAAAATCCCATGGATTTTGAAACAATAGAAAATAAGTTATTAACAAATAAGTATAATAATCCATTTGAATGGCAACAAGATGTTAGACAAATATTTTTTAATGCTTTTACATATCATAAAGTAAAAAATTGTGTTTGGAATGATGCATACAAATTAGCAAAAGAGTTTGATAAATTGGTTAAGCAAAACACAGAAATGAAGAATATTCTCCACGAATGTACAAAAGGTACTAATTCTATGTTCTTAGATATGAATAAATATAATGAAATTTTGGCAGAAAAATATGATTATGATGAGAATAATAACAATACTACTAGTAGTAGCTACACTGGAAGTTCCAGTGAAGAAATTAGTTCAGATGAATACCATAATAACAAAAGATATAATAAGAATAATAGTTCAAGTAATGCATATTCAGTAAAAAAGAAAAACATGATGATGCATGGTGGAGGAGGTGCTGGAAGTAATGCATCATCATTCCACAATATGACAGGGTCGAATCATATGTATGGAGCGCATAATAGAAAAGGACCAGCAGGAGGAGGAGGAGCTGACACTAAGCTTAACAGGATGAATAAGCAACTTTCCTCTATGCCATCTAAAAATGCGCGTGATAAATTTATGAATAATAAAAAAGATAATTGTTTTAATTTAGGAAATAATAAAGGTAATAGTAAAATGAACATGAACAACAACAATAATAATAATAATAATATAGAATTCGAACCACCGAGCGTAGGAACCATACCTGAACCTCCAGGAATTCAAAAAATTGGAGCAAACGACAAAGGATTAAATAATTACCAAGTTAATTTACTTTTTAAAAATTTAAGGAGATTGGCGCCAAATCAAAGAAGAGCAGCATTAGAAATTATCCAAGATGATTTGGGTATACTAGCAGAGAATCATATGTTTGATAGGTTCTTCACATTTGATACTGATTTATTGTCAATTGAAAAACAGAAAAGAATATTTCTATATATTAATCATATGGGTAGAATTAATTTGGAACAATATAAAGCATCTTTAATACCATCAGATCATATGCCAAATTGTAATATACCGAAAGGAAAAATGCCAATAAAAAATATGAACAATAAGAATTATTTAAATAACATCAATAGCCTTAGTAATAATAATAATAGTAATAATCCCCATTTTGATAAAAGAAGAACAAATAGATACTTGTCATCTTCATCGAACTCATCTGATTCTTCTTCATCGAATTCGTCTGATTCATCCACGTATTCTACTTCAAGTGATGATAGCGAAACAGAAGATAGTGATTCGGATATGGATTCAGATTCTTATGATAAAAAAAAATCAAGAAAACAGTTATCATCAAATGAAAGGAAAAAAGAAATAGTTACAAATAAATATTTTGATAATAATAGAAGGAAACCCATACCACAGTACAAACCAATAGATGAAAATAAAAAAAATATACAATTTCGAGCTGCCATGGGAGGAGGAATGCATTCTGACATTTTAGCATCTATGGATGGATCAAAGAATTCCAAAAAAAATCTCAAAAATTCGGGAACTGCTTGGCCAGAGTGGAAGGGACAAGTCATTCAGCAGGCAATCCTGACACAGCATCAGGCAAATGTGCCATTAAACAAAAAGGAGTTGATAGCTGAAGGGTATGATGCAAAAATATAAACCCATTCAGAAGAAAAAAAATAACAGAAGAAGACAAATGATAATAAAAAAGAAAACACAAATGTTGAAAAGCTTTCATGATCACTGTGCAAGTATTATACTCTTGTAGGAGAGAAAAAAAAAAAAAAAAAAAAAAAAAAAAATTATAATACATGAACATTATGTAAAGCACACCTACTAATAAATGTCGTTATATCTTTATGTTATTATGGATGAAGATGATGCATTCTAGTAGTGTGCTGTGTATATATATACTTAACGACCTGATTATTTATTCTGGATTTTTATATAAATAATTTTATAACATTTTGTCGAATGGAGAAAAAACCCCATGTGTATGGTTCAAAGTAAAATGAAGGAGGGAAAGAAAAGGTATAAAAGTAAATAATTAAATTAAAAAGTTTAAAAATATAACAATATAATAATAAAATATATTGCAATTATGTGGGTTGAAACGATATAAAAAATTTGCAACAAAATATATTACATATGTATTGAATTTTCCACCACTGTGAAGGAAGATAAAATATGCCAGAGGGAGTTTTCATTTTCATATATATATATATATATATATGTACTATATGCATATACATATATATGATGTTGAAGAAAATATAGTTTTCAATTTGTAGAAAAAGGACTAGTGCATCAATTTTATCAATTTATTATTTTATTCTATTCTTTTTTTTATAAAGCAACTAATATGCCGGCAAATTAAATGGGCGTGGTGGTGGACTAATGTATTAATGGCAAAAGATGTTTGTGTTTTTAATTTATATAACAATGAAGTGTCCTAAATGTTTGTTATCCAAAAAAATGTTATAGTATTGTTAAATAGAATAATACATTTGGATCAATAATGCAGTGTATACACATAGCACAAAAAGCCCTTGATGAAAGGTTAAACCGAAAATAAAGCATTATACAATTTATTTCATCAGTTCTAACATTCTTTTTGCCTGGTGTACATGTATGCAGATGCAATGTACTAAACACTGTATTGAATGTTAATGCGTACGCAAATGTTATTATATATATATATATATATATCACACTAGTGTGAATTAATGCAAAATTGCACAAAAAGAAAACCCTGTGCAAGTTAACAGCGTACAAGTTCTCCATTTTTACTAAGAAAACTAAAAGATGTGAGAGCATATTTATTATTTTTAAATTTTATTTTATGTACGTACCTGCATATATATTTCATTTATTATTATTTTTTTTTTTTTTATTCTGATAAGATAAAGAATGTTTGTACACATTGTGTGCATACGTAAGAAAGATTATTCTTTGATGATAAGGGTGAAAGAGTTTATTTTGTTTAACGTGTATATATATAACAATACATACATAAATATGTAGTTATTTTATTATTTTATTTTTTTTGAGGCAGTATTCTTTTATGCCCATTGTTTTTTTAGCTCCCTTGATATTACTGAATTTTCCATGTGTAAATTCACCAATTTTGTACATTTCTATGGTTTGTAAAAATGAGGAAATTAACCTTCCTATTTTTACCAGTTTTTTTTTTTTTTTTTTTTTTTTTTTTAAGTCTCAATGCTATATGCATATAATAAGAATGCACGAACTTATATTCTTACATATGTGTATCTTGTTACTATCATGTGCATATATATATAATATATATATTTACGTGGTTTAATACCGATTCATTTTTGCCTTTTTTTTTTTTTTTTTTTTTTTTTTTTTTTTTTTTTTTTTTTTTTTTTTTTTTTTTTTTTTTTTAATACAAGGGAATTAATTAAAAAAAACATATCACAACACAACAGAGTGTACAAAATAAATACAAATTTTTGTGAAAAAGGAAAAGCAAAAGTAATAGGATTTGTTCTTTCATAGGAAAAACATTTTTTATACACGATTAAAGTTAAAAAAATAATCCATGTGAAAATATTTACATTTATTCTTTTACATGTTGGGTGTATATTATAATTTTGTATATTTTTTTTTTTTCTTTTTTTTTTCTGATCGTATGGTTCATTTATATCAAAACAATAAAAAAAAAAGGATATGTGAAGCGTTGATACTGTGTTATTCTTACACAGTTTGCTAACCCTGAAAAGTTGTATTTTTATAGTTTAAAAAAAAAAAAAAAAAAAAAATTAAAAATAAATATTATTGTAGGTATTTAAGAAATATGTATATTGTATAATTGCATTTTTGACTGTATTATTGATATATCATTTAAACTAAAAATAATCCACAAAAAGGTGTGGTAAAAATAAAAACATATCTTATTATTTATCCATCTTAACATAAAAAAACATTCGTAAAAAAAAAAAAAAAATAAAATAAAATAATAAAAAATAATAGAAAGCAAATAAATAGGTAAATAAGCACACATTTATTGCATGTCAAGTATGACGTGCACATAAAAAAAAAAAAAAAAAAAAAAATGGATAAAACGAATATACAAATCTTAATTTACAGGTTTTCCCTAATATATAATGTAATTAGGACGACGAACAGATATTCAGTTAAAATGTTCTCTAGCTACTTGGTTTTTTCCATCTTTTCCTTCACATAATTCGAATGTGATTTTATATTCTCTTTGGAAAAATTTTCCTGAACTAACTCTTTCATATTTCTAATGGCTTTAGCTGGGTCCAAACCTTTCGGACAACATACGGTACAATTCATAATGCCATGACATCTGTACAACTTCATAGTGTCATTAATTTCCATTAGACGCTCTTTTGTGTATTCATCCCTACTATCAACAATCCATCTATAGGCTTGCATTAATGTTGCTGGGCCTAAATAATATTCTGGGTTCCACCAATAAGATGGACATGACGTGGAACAGGATGCACACATAATACATTCATATAAACCATCTATTTTTTTTCTATCCTCAATGGATTGATGAAATTCTTTTTGTCCTTTTTCCTTCTTTGTTTTTCTTTTTAACCATGGATCAATTGATTTGTATTGATTGTAAAAATTTGTTAAGTCTGGTACTAGGTCTTTTATAATATATAAATTTGGTAGAGGATGAATTTCTGTGATTTCCTTTTTATCTTTATTTACTTCAGTTAAGCAAGCCAATCCATTTTTTCCATTTATATTCATAGCGCAACTGCCACATATACCTTCACGACAACTTCTCCTAAAAGATAGAGTAGAATCTATTTCATCTTTTATTTTAATCAATACATCTAAAACCATAGGTCCGCAGGTATCTATATCTACTTCAAATGTTTCCATCTTGGGTCTTTTATTATTCTGTGGATTATATCGAAATATGGAAAATTTCTTCAGTTCATTTTCTTGCACATTTTTTCCCGTATACTCGGGATTGTTTTTCACAAATGCGTTATTCTTCCCTGTTTCTTGCAACGTGTCTGGATTTTCTGCTGTTAATGAAAATAGCCGTTTATTTGAAAATTTCCATGATCTGTTATTATAATGAATAAATGATCGTTTAGGGAACATTTTCCCTACAGTTCCTAGGTTCCTTGCTGTTCTCCAAGCTCCGGTGGCCCTTGGCATGCGTATTGTATTTGCTATTCCTACAACATGCGTCACACTTGTCATTTTTTTTTTTTTTTTTTTTTTTTCTTCACTTAAAAAGGAGAGAATGCATTGTTGTAATATAAATATATAAGTACGAGTCCATGAGCATGTGTCAAATTGTAAAATATTTTTTATTCCTTTTGTGAAAAGGTTGCTTAAATATGCTTATAATATGAGAATTATTCCACAAAAAAAAAAAAAAAAAAAAAAAGTTGCACAAAGGAAAATTATTAAAAATGTGTGGGTACCACAATTATCTCAACTTTAAATTGGTGTTTAAAAAAAAAAAAATAAAATAAAAAGATAAAAGAAAAAAAAAAAATGGAAAACAAATAATTAAGCAAAGAATTAAGTAAAGAACTAATCAAAGAATTAAACAAAATAAGTAAATAAGTAAAAAAGTAATTAAATGAAAAAAAAAAAACCGTGGATCAACAGTTGTGCATTGCGTGTCACATGTGTGTTTTTTTTGTTTTTTATTTGAAAAAATTATACGCCCACATAAAAGTTATTAACACAAATATACTTGAGAAAATGAGCGATTTCGAGCTCATTAAAATGTGAAACCACTGGAAAAAATTTACGATTTGATTCAAAGGTTTTTAAGATATTCATGCAGGTGGGCTTCGCATTTTTAACTTATCCTTTTACCATTTCACAACGTTATTTTATTCCAAAACGGAAACTTTTTATATTTTGCGTGATTAATTATTTCTTTATGTGGAAAAGTGACAAAAACATGATGAGTAAAATTCCTGTGGAAGAACATAAAAATGTACATATATATATGTGTACATAATATTTTATTAAGTGTTCATCCTATTAAATCCCTTGGGTTATGAGTGGAATTATGTAAAAGCATTCAATTATATGCACACAAAAAAGAGGATACACCGCCCTTTATATTATATAAAATATGCTGTGATAATGTAAGCCCTTTTTTTTTTTTTTTTTTTACTGTTCGTATATGTGACATACGTATAAATATATATGGAGAAGACCATTAATTCCTGTATTGTATAAAAATTTACAACACATTGTCAATCATTTGTGTGTATGTGTGTGTGTAGCGTTTACGAAAGTGTAAAAGGGTTAATTCAAAAGGAATTTAAAACAAAATGTTATTTGCCTTTTTTTTCTTTTTTTTTTTTTTAACCCTATATGGATGTAGATAAAAACGTACCGTAAAACTGAATCGTCGTTCTTTTAGTTTCACAAAATGGGGTGAATATTCTATGCGTAATTAGTAAATATATATTGTAAACGTATTTATTCAAAATTTTAAAATGATTACTTTTATTTTAGCAACTCTTATATTGTTATATCACTATTTATTCCATTCAGTGCATTGTATGCTGTTCTAGACTACCCTTTTCACGTTAAAAAATAAATTAAATTAACAATACTGCATACCATATATATGAATTCGTCAAATTAATATGGAGATACCACCACCACTACTCCCTTTACAAATATATGCTTTTATTATATATGAATACCAATCTTTATTTGAAATATATACTGAATTCAAAATAGAGTTGCATTTCACTACTGTTTTTAATACGCATATACCATGGAAGAATGGTGTAAGAATTTTGGTTCATATATTTACTTATTTTTTTTTAAGGACACATAAGAATGGCCATTCTGGGAAGAGAAGCTGTTTCTGTTCTGTCATTTATTCGTATTTTTCTCATTCTTCTTATATTTTTATCTAAAAATTCGGCACAAACTAAAAGTGTGTTGTATGGATGGAGCTGCTTAGAATGTAAATCTCTGCTGTAAAATGAAATAAGCTTTTTTTACCTTTTAATTTATGTTTTTTTATAATAAAAAAATGGGGGAAAGCACATTTTATGTAAAAATGTTATTAGTCGTTCAAAGCATTCAAAAAAAGGGTAAATATATTAAAAACAAAATAAAATAAAACAATATAAAAAAATTGTAAAACTATACATGTGTTGAAAATATTTTTTTACCACCACATGAACCAAACATTTTGATGATGATAATAAATATAGAGTGGGGATATTTTTTTCCCCATTTCTTGGGGGGGGGGGGGGGGGGAAAAAGTGTCCATTATAATTATTTTCGATTCAGTATTTAAAAATTTATATATATTAATATTTATTAAAAAAAAAATATGTTAAACTTTTTTTTTTCAAGAACCCCTTT